AGCTTAATTGTAAGTTAAAATCTAGCTTAATTATAAGCTTAAATCTAAGCTTAATTATAAGTAGGCTTGTAGGTAGGCTCTATTATAGGTAGGCTTGTAGGTAGGCTTAATTATAAGCTCTATTATAGGTAGGCTTATAGGTAGGCTTGTAGGTAGGCTTAATTATAGGTAAGCTTATAGGTAGGCTTTATTATAAGCGTGTAGATAAGATAGTATTAATAGTTAAGTTTTTAGCTTATGTAAGGTAGGCTAGAGCAACGTTATTACAATTAATTATAGTGCTAGTAATAAGAAATTTAAGAAAATTACTAAGTATATATATACGCAGTGTAAATTTACTTATACTTAGTGTAAAGTGTAAATTTACCTAATTCTGCGGTGTAAAATACCTAGTGCCGGTGTAAATTACCCTAACGCAGTACCTTAGTAAATTACTCTTCTTTTCTAGCAGAAATACAAGTTAAAAGATAGGAATACATAATAACACGTGTTGTAACACGGTAGCAAGTGGTGTAGTAGAGTTATAAGTGTAGTAATAAGCAGTAACAAGGGTTATAAAATAGTAACAAGCTATAACAAGAGGTATAATATATAGTAACAAGGCATAACAAGCACTAACACGCGGTAACAAGGTATAATAAGCATTAACACATAATAATACGCAGTAACACAGCCTAGCTAGAGGAGTAACAAGACGTAAAAAGGTATAATAAGGCGTATCACGCAGTGACAGGGTATAACAAGACATAACATAGCGTACTGAGAGTGGTAACACAGTCTAACAAGGTGTAACAAGGCATAACAAGGTATAACAAGAGTAGTAATAACAAGTAACAAAATATAAGAAAGTATAATATGCAGATAAAAGGCATAATAAGTATGTAACAAGGCATAACAAGTATAGAACAAGGTATAACAAGCATGTAACACATATATAAACAGCTTAACAAGGTATAACAGGTACGTAACAAGCATATAACAAGTAATAACAGGGCGTAACAAACTATAACAAGGTATACTAAGGTATAGGAAGCGCGTACTAAATACGTAACAATGTATAACATGTACGTAAAAAGACCTAATACGCTATAAGAAGCACGTAGAAAAGCGTAACAAGGCATTACAAGCATGTAACACGTTATAATACGAACGTAACAAGCTATAACAGGCACGTAACAAGCTCAGAACAAGCAGTGATAATAGTTATAACAATCTCACATTCCGACAAAGTATTTGTTATGGTAGCGAAACTTTTGTTTCAACATTCCACATGCTATCGTATTAGTCGATGCATTGTGGAACATAAGTTGAGACGTGGTGGTGGTGTTGCGGAGTTCTCGGAGGTGCCAAGATGACGTTCTTTGCTTGCGCTCGCCAAAAGTTCAGACGACACCACCATCACCTCCAATAAGATCTCCATCCCCAAAATGGCGCCATCAAGAGCCTATGTACCATCAAGAGCCCTTTTACGCGCCCTTTCACGACCTCAACCGCTGCGATGTCCGTTCGCGCGCCCTCTCCCCATCCAACTCCTGCGCGGCAAACGCACAAAAGCAGCGAAACTCGACAACTCCAACGTAAAAGAGGCGGGGAAAGCCAAACACGACATCATACTCGACCCCAAGATTCCCGGCATAAAACCGCTCAGATTCTTCGACTCGGACGCAGATGTAGACAAGGCAATGCGGCCGTTGCCCGACTCCGAGCTCGAGGCGGATGACATGCCTGTCATAAACTGGTATGAGCAGGACTTGGACAAGGGCGGGCCGCGGCGTCTGATACAGCGCATAGCAACGCCGGAAGACCGCAAGAAGGACAAGGAGATGTTCCTCATGATCGAGGAGTCGGCGACGAACCCGGACTACGACGACGCTGAGCTGAACAAGCGCCTGATGGACAGTCTGATGTCGAATCCGAACTTTGCCGACTTGACGCAGGAGCTGAAGGAGATTAAGCAGGGCATCAAGACGAAGGAGGAGATTAAGGTGCTGGATGAGCAGGCGGAGAAGGATGCCCAGCCGGAGATCAAGCAGTTCAGCGCGGGTCTGCGCATGGCGACACATCAGGCCATTCAGGACCTGATTGACGATCCGGATGTTGGCGACGCCAAGGCTGAGCTGCGAGAGGTGCTCGACAAGATGCCGGAGATGGAGGACATCGAAAATCCTGAGTTCCAGGCCGCGCTGGACAAGGCGATGAGCAAGCTGAGCGGCAACGAGGCGCTCCAGAAGAAGATGGCCGCCAAGGCAGACGACGTGACAGACACAGACTTTGACAAGGAGTGGACTCAATTCGAGACCGACGTCGACGACACCATCAAAGAAGGTGAGAGCGACGACTCGGACCTCGGCTCCAACTCCCTCGAGGACCTCGAAGACGTCGACAAGCTGCTCTACCAAATGCGCGACGTCCTCAAGTCCCTCGGCGGCGACAGCCAACTCGAAGCCGAGCTCGAACGCGAACTCGACGCCGAGCTCAGCGACGATCCAGAATCCAACGACGAAGCCATATTCGAGCGCGAAATGGACCCAGAGGAGCTCGCCGAAGAGCTCACAAAGCTCGCCGCATCCTCCAAGCCCCCCTCGACGCCCGAGTCCACGGCAGAAGACAACATCCCCGCAGACCTACAAGCCAAAGTCGACAAAATAATGGACGACCCCCGCCTCATGGAAAAGCTCACCTACATCCAAAAACTCATCTCAGAATCCAAACAGTCCCCAAACGACCTAACCACAATCGCCCACGAAGTCGCACCCGACCCCCTCATCCTCGACCCCGCCCGCACAACAACACTCAAACAGCGCATCGCCGCCGTCCGCGAAGACCCGGAACACACCGCCGCCCTCGACAACCTCCGCGTTACCCTGCTCCCCCCCTTCAACATCTCGCCCGCCCTCAAGTCCTTCAACCAGGCCATCGAACTCGCGTATATCGGCGCAAACGATGATATTCGTCGGATTCTGTGGCGCGCGTACCAGAAGGCGCGCGAGCTGCCGACGTTCTTGCAGAATGTTAGTGACGATGCGTGGGATATCTTGTATTACTCGCAGGCGGTTACGTGGGGGAGCAATCAGAATCGGGAGAGCCATTTGAGGGTGCTGTTGGGTGATTTGAGGAGTCTGGGCAGGGAGGGGCCGCCGACGCATCCTGGTTCGCTTGTTAATAGGGGAGAGGGCGAGGGGGTGGAGGAGTGATGGGTGGTAGGGGTGGGCGGGATATGGTTGATTGGGTTGGTTTTGTATATGTCGGTTCAAAGTCGATGGCTATCAGGACTCTTTGATCTACACTCATACACTCACACATTCTCTTTTTTTAACCCACTCTCACTTCATGTCCCCGTCCCACCCTTTCTCCACCAACAAACCTCCTTCCCCGTACCAAAAATCTGCATGCACGTGAAAGTAGCAATTCGGGGGGCTAGGATTCGCTCTACGGTTTATGCGTTCACAATCCAGACCCAGGCTCACATCGTTACGATAATAATTCTTAGTGCCCAGGGCCATGCCCGCTTTCCCATCAATGGAGGGGGAAGACAAACCACGACATGCTATGAGCAGCGAATTACACGTCGACAGAAGCAGCCTTGGGACCTAGACTTAACGAACCAGACTTCAAGTGCCGGCTACCAAGGGTCTTGCACACTCGCGCCTGAGGCTATTAATAGATTCTTCCCATGCGGAGAGTGGGTTTTAGCTCCCTTACTACGCCAGGGTACCAGGCTGCATGTTGTGCGGTATCCGCCAGGCTCGATCGAGTTGTAATCGCAAGGCTGTGAGTGGATATGTGAGGTCTACCACGATCGTTTTTACGTTTTGCTGGTGTGGTTCATGGTTTTTGGCTGGACGGATACAAAGTATTATGGCTGTGGTTCCTTGGTTGATGTATCGTAAGTGGGGTTGTGGTGGGAGGTTTTTGGTTGGTGAAGGGAGGAGGAGATGGTTGAAGCGGAATTCTGTGAGGGGGTGAGAGTATAAGAGGAGTGCTGGAGTTCGTTGTTGTTGTTCATATCTTCCTCGAATTCCAGATACCCATGTTTGAAGAGCTTTTAGCAATAATCATTAATACTCCTCGTTAGCATTTTCATAACATCCTCACACAATGGCCGCAAACAATGAGTTCTCATTGATTCCTCGAGATAATGAGAGTACCAAGGACACAGTAAGTCATCTACTTATCTCTTGTCAACATTGTCTGACATAATACAGAGCCCAAGTCGACCAGAAAGTCAAACCGGCTTCGAAACGAGGCACCTAGACACAACAAAGCCAAGCGATGCCCAAGCGGCACGAAAAGACAGCCATGTTTCGATTCCAGACCATCTGGTGTCCTCATCATCGTGCACAGCTGGGCTGAATGCGATGCGACAGCAGTCTCATAGGCGTCCGACGGATGAGCTAAAAGAGGCCATTGAATCCAAGGGCGAAGCGATGAGGAAGAAAGCCCTGGAGATTGCTGCTGGGTCAGAGCCTGAAAGCAGTATGAGGAGTGGGAAGAGCGTTGAGAGCCTGCCGTGGATTACTCCTTCTTTCTCGCCTGTTGGTGCGGCTTCCGTTTCTGATGGGAGGGCAGTCGTTGGTAGTGACGACGCTCTGTCTACAGCACCCCTGAGCGATACTGCAGGACTGAAGGGGTATGCTGATCGGGAGAAGAAAGCAGAGGCCAACGTTTTTACGATGTTGCGGGGAAGAAAGATTCCCGAATCCTCTCCAAGTTCAACGGATGACGAGCCAGCGACTACAGTCGCGATCCATGGAGACGAAGGTCTGGTATACCCCGACCAAAGCACGATTACACGGAAATGGCCCAAACCTCCCAAACGAGCGGTAATTAGGGATGCGAACGGCTCCGCTTTCCACGAGCACATGAACGTCGAGCACCCGTTCGTGGTCCCATCCGACGCTGCAGCACATATGGCAGAACCCAGACAGAGACAGGAGGTTACAAAACCTGGCCCCGAGTATGCACTAGTAGCCAGTATGCCAAACTCTCCCGTGTCGGAGGATGCAAGAGAACGAGAACCCCCATTCGTCGGTCGGGCGCGTGAGAAGGAGAAGACGGTGGAGGAACCAAGGCGCTCGCGTGCTTTACGGTACTTTGCTTGTCGCCCATGATGAATTGGCTCAGCTTTCAGGCCCTTGTGGTTCTGTGGTATTCTTCACGCAGCCTGTGTGTCTGGCGTAGGGCTTACGGTGGGTGACGAGCAAGGTGGGCTCTTGTATGCTGCAAGGCCTGTTCTGTTCCTCCGTGGGTCATGGCGGACGTATACTGGGCGGCCTAAGTTCCACGTCTGTCGTGCGCTGTGTGTGGCTCGACGTGCGGTGCGGTAGATGGAGAAGGTATTCTGGGGTGGGCCGCAAGGAGATGGTCACTGATCGAGGAGAGCGCGAGACACTTACTGGCAGATACCAGACTGCGGCGAATATGAGCGGAGCAGTCAGATGCAAGCTTGAGTACCTCCGGGAAGGGTACGGAGCAAGTGCACCTTCGGGCTTGATTGCACCAAGAGCATGCCAGTATATCACATCTTGCTCTGTCACCTCCTGTACCTCCACATAGCCAGGCTTTATCACGGGCAGCCACATTGTCAGGCAGGCTTTCCGATAAGCAGCAGCTCAATCTCGCGTTCCCTTCGATATCTACCCCACCCCATTGGCTGTTCACTGTCATTGCTATGACGAACCAGAAAAAGCTAGCGCCTACTTGGCGAAATTTGCGCACAAAAAGGCTGCCCTCGCCTCGTTCTCACCTCGTCCTCAACACAAACGCCTCCACTACTTTCTCATGAAGCCACTACTACCTCTTTTCTCTCTCGAACTAGCCTTCGACCATAAGCCCATTCTCCTTCTCTCTCCTTCATCACAAGAGCCCTTGAGGCCGCCCACTATGCTCACGGCGGCGAGTCCGCAACAGACTCGCCTCGCAGCCGTTCAGTCAGGAGAGGAGAGAGTTGCTCCTCTCCATGGCTCGCGTCCAGACTGACCCCGACGCGTACGTGAGAGCTCGGCTCTGTGGCATGGCGATGCCTGCACCGCATGCTCCAGTGAGTCCCCTTCATCTGACTTTTTCTCCCTCCATTTGCTAACAGTGACTTGAGTAGCTTCCTATGGAGCAAGGGACCTTGCACAAGTGATTGGACCTATTGGGTCTACTTGCTTTTGGAGCCAACAAGTTCATGTTCACTCAGAACGACTTTCCCGGCAGCCTCACAATGTGGAAGACCTCACTGCCCGCCCATGGCCTCTGCACTAGTTTCGGAGTTCGATACTTGTAAGTCCTTCCTCTTCACATACTCAATCTTGTCTAACACCTTGCAGCAACCTTTCTTGGTGAAGACACAAGACGTTTTTATTACAGGCTATCCTGTCACGGTAAGCTCCACCATGCTCTTTCATCATAGCTTCCATGCTGACCATATATATCCAAGACACCACAGTGGGAGGATGCATGGTCGCGCAAAGACGTCGAGCCCGAGGAGATACAAGTGAGATTGGTTGGTTGATACTGTCATAGTTGGAGGTATGGTGAGACTGGAGTATCTCGACACAATGCATCATCGCAAAGTGAGGACGTCAGGCAAGTTACACGGTGCTGGCGACTGAGCGGTGCGAGGCTGGGGCCCCACTCTCGAGATACATGGATTGTGGTTTGTTGTTGCTGCAGGCAGCCGTTACTAACTACCCGGAGTTTCTGATCTTCGATGTTTCCAGTGTCTTTACCCAAGATCACCTACCAGCGAGGTGCTTTTGAGCGAAGGCACTGCTTTCATCGAAGGTCAAAGACTCCGGGTAGATAGTGGTGGTTGCCTGCAGTGATACCTTGGATTTGGTACTGTGAAATACATCCTTCTACAACATTTTGTCTTCCTCATTCTCTTTTAATGTGCCCATTGTTGGAAGTGAGCTTGATGACAGCTTGGACTACGAGTTGCCTTGAATGATGAATCTGAACGACTCGGAATGTTGTTGTGTCGTTTGCCTCTATGGCGGGGACGTGGCGGCCTAACCGCATGACTGAAAGGGCAATACGTGATGGAGTAAACTTTACCTGGCTGTCCATTGCAAAAGCGATAGATACGAATTTGATTCACTTGGAGTTATTTCTCTCGCCTGTCTTCGCTGGTTGTTTCACGGCCTGTGAAGTGCTCCGCCAGCACGAAAGACGCGCGCGCGCACTCACCGCTATACACAGCAGAGATGTGTTTGCACAAACAATTGGCAAAAAATGCAGGACCGGTCACTGGTCAATCACTGCACAGCCGAGTTCGTACGCCAATGACTGACACATGAACGCGCCCCACCCACTGCCACTTCACTGTTTACCATTCAGTGCACTGACAAAAGCAAAAAAAGAAGTCACCCCGAGGTGAGCTGGAGTCGAACCAGCGAGCAGAGCAGTGTGCAGATAGACAAACAACATCAAGAAATCAAACAAATCAAATAAATCTGTACGTACCTTGTGTGTTCTGATCGATGGCCTCAACAGAGGTCATCGAAGCGGAGTACCGCTGAGCCATTCTGGCTTTGTTGTTGAGATGTAGCTGGTTTGCCTGAACTATATGGTGGGTAAAAAGGGCCGTAAGGAATGAGGAATTTGTGAGAGCGGACGGGCGGGGAAAAGCGGACAGTGGGGCGTTGTTGTTGTGACTCGGGTATCCGGCCTGAGGGATCGGGGAGGAGTGAAGGTGCATGTACTTTTGGCTGACTCGAGTGCTGAGACGGAGCTGGACGCTGGACGAGTTGCATGCAGTATCTCTGTGAGCATGTAGTGATCATGGGGGTCTTTGAACATACGCGCTCACTACAGTGATGTTTTGATGATCATGTTCATCACAGTCCCCGACGTCTTTTGTGAACAAGCGTGAGGCCACACTACACCCGACGTATGTGATCTTGTCTACCTTTATCCGAATACAAGATGTGTTTCACAATGAGCATTGAAGATTGTTTGCCGTTCTTTCGTGTTGTGAAGATTAGGCAGGTGTCTCACGTTGATGGCAAGGGCATTGTCAATCTCAACGAAGTGATGAGGTACTGTGAAATTATTTTTATTAATCATTGCTATCTCTGTCATTGTGCCTTTTCGCTTTGCGAAAGAAGTATACGTGTACAAATACTACAAGTAAAATTTGTTAAAGAAATGACCTTATTGCTCCAAGCTTAAGTACGGAATCCAAGTACAAATCCAGCCTTGCGATGGATTGTCTCCTCTGCTCCACATCAATTGCCACCAGGAACGCAGAAGGTATGACCAGCAGCAAAAAGATGGCCGGTCTGGACGCATCCGACCCCGCCACTCTTCTTGGTGAGCTTGGTGGATTTTGTCGGCGTGCTTTTGTTACCTCCTCATCTACGCTTTGGACAGGCCGAAATGCCCGCAGCGTCAGGCTCTCCCAATTCTGTGCCAGAACTACATGGTTAGAGTAGCTCGCCAATGTGCGAAAGTCCATGCTCAAGGTCTTTGCAGCTCCTCGTACCTACGTTGATACGTTTGCAGTCAACATCAGCACAGCGCCAGACATAGAAATTAGCGAACTCGAGGACGAGGCTCCAAGACCTCGTCCCGGGAGCATACGCAAATGGTAGAGAGCCTCGACAAAGGATGACCAGATCTTCGTCAGCACCGGTGGGTGCGAAGGCATTGATTTGGAACTGGAGGCGAAGATGCTCGACATACTCACCGATGCACTCCAGAGCAGCCGCAACGTGTTTTGCGTGCACATTGTTGATCTCGCCATTGATGAGTAGCCTCGAAAAGGGGCTCTTGTCAGCGACTGGCCTCGCACCATTCGTGTAAGCGTTGATCGGAAGATGATAGATGCCGTTGTGGTAAGCCGTAGCTGTATCTAGGACAGCGTCGAGTATGGAGAGCTCGACGCAAGGTCTTTTGACCTTGCCGATGGAGCATACGCGGATGATAGGAGAGGGCATGACGTTGTGCCATGTATGTTGTAGGAGTCGACAAAGCCGATCCTTTGTGCCGACTACAAGATTATGTTTGGTGACTTTGTTGGTGTCAATGCCGGTGAGGCTTGTAGCGTCGGAACCTCGTCGCCCAAACCTTCAGTCGAGCACTGAGGAGTGAATACCTGTGCTTTTATGCAGTAGAAGGCTGTGAATCCGGTAAGTGCACCCGGAGTGCTTTATTGTCTCTTGACATCGTGTTTTGCTTCGTAACCAAGTGCTGGTAGGCAATATTAGCAAGTGTAACGGCGAGGACAAAGATTCTGTTGTAAGGGCTACCTACAACAGGCGCTCCATGCACATCAACACATAGAATTGATAGTACTTGCCATGTCGATTGAGGGCATAGTGACTTGGCCAGGCGATGTAGTCGAAGTTCCGAACAATGCGGCACTGCTGCGTTGGGAAAGTCAGCCCTTGGCTACGTGACGTTTGGCGGTAATTATAAGATCTTACCGGCGCTAACAGTGCGTATGCATCTCAAAGTAGACGTGCGCTTTGAACGGAAGTTTTGAGGTGGCTGAAGAGTTGGTGAGATGGGGAGGGTGAGGAGGTGAGCGAAGTTGAAAAGGTCGAGCCCAAGGAAGCTTCTCAGACCACCGAAAAGCTTCTAGCTGCGGTGGAATGGCAGCCGCTCGTTCTTCCTTCCGTTTTGTCGAGCAGCTAGAGACGGCTAGCGTAGATGTGAGCGTTCCTAAGCTGGACACTCGAGCAAAATTGTCAGTAACATCATATATGTCGTTCTAGAAGGTGCATGTTTTGCCATTATATTTGCAAGTCTAGCCGTGATATAGCTTGTGTCAAGCAATGTTTCTGTGAAAGCGATGCAAACTGAATGCCCACTACCATTCCCCTTTGGGTGTAGCGTCATATCACAGTCAATAAATGCACCTCAAGCCCGTTCACTGATGAGTTTACCACCCCACTTCTGCCTCTCAACCTCCATTTCATCACTCGAACTCGCAATTCCGAACGCCTATCGACGCAACCATGCAATTTTTGTTCAACTTGGCCGTTCTGGCCATCGCTATCATGACTGTCTCCGCGTCTGGCATCCCGTCCGTCTTCAACTACAGTCAACTTCCTTCATGTGCCCGAAACTGCAAAATTCTCGATATCTCCGAGCGAAATTGTCTGCCTCCTGCTGCACCTGTATCCGGCAACGCGACTTATGTCGACTGCGTGTGTCACTCCGAGTACCTTCGTAAGCTCCACAATGACGGCGAAATCTGTCATGCGTTTTGTGCTCACGAGGACGATGTTCTCATCTATGACTACTACACCCACCTCTGTGGTACTGCTCGTGCTTCTCCGACCATGTCATCGCTACCAGTCAGCACCCTGGTATCCTCTGGAACATCTGCCAGCACCATTACTACCTCCACAGGGGTAGTAGAGTTAGACACAACTGCGGAGCCTTCGCCTGCAGAGGCATCACAGGAAGCTATAAAGGATCCCAGGATACGGTAAGTTGGAATACTGTATTCGGCAAGCTGCTTTAACCGGCCATTTGTCGTCATTGCAAGACTACTTGTCGGACGTCAGCCCAGGACATTGCGCTAACAGATTGCAGGCTACGCGACAGCTGGAAGTTCCTCTTAATTCCTGTGGGTGTTATAATCTTCTTCACGCTCTTCTTCCTTGGCTTCGCCATTTATCGGCGCCAGCGACGCAATTCCAAGAACAATCGAGATCTGGAGCGTGCCAATCAATACAACCAACCCATGCCCCTCGAGCAACTCTCCTCCCCATCATCGCAACAACTGCGCGAGAACAACACCTGGCCTGGCCAGACACCGGTCAAACCTAACTTGACAAGTCTTATGTTTATCCATAAACCACCGAATCGTGACCCCAACTTTGGGGCCCACTTGCGGTTCTACAAAAGCCAGATCGTGGAAGAAGAGAGACTCAAAGTCATCAGGGGAATTAGGCCATTGCCCAAGGCCCCAAAATTGTCGCTGGAGAAGATTGATGCTCTGATGATGGAGAGGATACGACAGTTTGGACGTCCAGATCTTCCGCTGAGGATGACACCGAAGATCATGAGGTAAATGGAAGGCTTGTACAATTATTTGTGGTTTTCGTGATAAGATTTCAAAAAGTTATGGGTGGCTGGATGTATCTTGACCATAATGTTAGGACGAGGACGGCATGGGTTTGACGGCGCGTATTTTGGCAGAACTGTGGCAACGGCATGTTTTGAGTTAACAGTGAAATCTGTTCATTTATCTGCTTGGCTTCTACTTCTACGTTTGAAGAGTGTTCTTTATCAAAATTTAGACAGTGGTTGGTGTACGCACCCTTGTCTTGCCGCTCCATGACATTTTCAGAGTGGCTGCCTCGCAATGTAATCGTATCATGACTCTCACACATCCTTACTTCCTCAACGTCCATATCAAAACGTTCCTTGCGCTTGATGCATTTCCATCAGCTGCCCTTTTCCGATTGATTATTCCCGCCGTCATCCTTTTCATCGTCATCATCATCATTTTCCTTTGTGTCCTTGTTGTCTCCATTGCCCTCTATGCTCGCACTACCTTCGTTATCCTCAATGTCCTTGTGGCCTTCAGTCTCAATCCCTCTACCGCATCTCCAGCATGTTTGTTGTTGTATTCGGGACAACGGTATCTCATTCGTCTTGGGTCATAGGCTGTAGAACCCTCTCAGGCTACTCGGTGTTGGACATGTTGATAATTCCTCGACCTCGATCAAAGCCCGCGCAGCGGGTAACGGCTGCTCGCGCATGCATGTCCCTTATAATGTACCTGAATGGAAATCGATGGCGCCGTTCGTAATTCTAGCGCTGTAGCCGTTGTCGCCGGTGTTGTCTCTGCTGTTCTTGAGCGCGTTGTTCTTCTGCACGGAGCAGTCTTTTGATTCGAACTGCTTCTTGAGCTTCTAACGAAGGGTAGAGAACTGTAAGGGTTGTGGGACGGCGGTGTGAGCGAGGCTTTTGTGAGGTATTTGGGTTCTCGGGGTCGGGTGGGGACGATGGTTGCATGTTGGAGATGTTGTTTAGGTGAATTGCTTAGGACAAGCGAGTAGAAGAGGCGTGACATATGTCTGTATGGTAGACGAATTGCTGTTCGCAGTTTTTCTGAACTTGATTCGGTCACTCACGGGACGGAGATGTTGGTGTTGGCAGGTTTGTTTGCAATCCCGACAAGGAACGGGTAGGCGCGTCCTACAGTCAACTCGAAACATTCGAACTTCACAACGCCATAACAAATACCAACATGCGACCAATTTTGGTGTATGTTCGATGTATTGTGGAGGGATGTACTTTTAGATTCGCATGTCTCTCTTCATTTTCAACAACTGCACCAACCTCAGACCGCGACTCGCTAATTACGTCACTGCTGCGTTGTTGCGCACTCTTTCTCTCCAACGGCCTCTCTGTTGACCCTCACCTTGCAGTTCAAAAGCTCTTTCCTCCCTCAATCAGTTACGCTTTACGTATTAAAACAACTCCTACCTTCGCGGTGCGTACCTTACCCTCTCTCTGCGGCTTCGGTTTGCCTCTCATATATCGCCCATAAACACTGGCGAGGCCAACCCTTTTGGCAAGTTCGCAATATCGACACCTTCGCAGCGAGATTTTGAAGAAGGGACACGCATATCGAGGTTTTGAGATGGGTGACAAAAGCGAGTAAAAAGGTTGGAATTGGAAGAGACCGTTCTTTCTGAGCTGAATCAGGATGGATGAAAACAGACTTGGATGTACACAAGGCTCAAGCAACACCATACTGATTGCCCCTATCTTGATGGGTTGCGTTTAGATTTCTCGAGTTGCTGACATGAGGACCCACAGACTCGATCGCTACAGTTCTTCATACGTCCAAAAGTGTACCCAGTACCTACACGATGAACCAATGTCGGGCAAAGCTTTTCTATTCATAGTTGAAAATTAGCGGTCACTTCAGAGCGAAATCGCTCGTATTAAAGCAAAGTCTTGCGGTCACGAGCGATGGGTGCTGCAAACGACAATGACGAGATCTAGCAGTCTAACATTGTTAGACGTGGGTTGAACCAGGAAATGGTTGGTTCTCTATCAAGACTACCGATGTTCCACATACGCTGCGATCTTCTAGCTTGGTTTGATCATGGGAGACTATACGATAGTCAAGATTGCCAAACGATAGCCTATCCAACGACATACATCCAAAGCCGAGTTCTGATGAACATACGTGCGATGTGCTCAGCAATCTGCGTCGGCTGCTACTCTTGAAGAAATTGGCGACGCGCATGAGACTGGTTTTATCAACGCGATGAAATCTCCCTCCGGATGCGCCGACTCACTTTCGTCGATCATCAATGTGACTAGAAACTTCTGCAATCTTTTCGGCAAGTGCAGGAGCGTGTAATTGATGTCGTGTCGGGCATCGATGCGTTCCGCGCTGGCGCTAGAACTTTTGGCTCAGCTGACGACGATGCAGCATTCCTGACTTGATGACCAATGGTGGTCACAACATACACGAAAACCAGTCAAATCAGAGAAAAGACTACGAAGAACGAGCGAATTAACCTCACCCTTATTCGGACTAGACTAGTATCGTCGCATTGTTTCAAGGAATGTAATCAACTTTGCTGTCGAGTGAACGAGCAATCAATTCCTAACATCGCAACTCCTGATCAACCTCATTAGTCCCAACATCCAACTGTTCGTAATAACTTTTAGTGTGTTGGAGTGCCACGGTCCGCTTCGGTACCGTTCCAAACTTGACGATCGCGGACCAATGCGAACTTTCGAACTACTCTTTGGATGCAGACTCCTCATTTGGTAGCTGGTTGCGCAATGAACCCCTCATATTATTACCAGAATAATATGGCGGGACGTGAAGTCTCCTTCTTCTCGGCATGCTTTCCATAGTTCTCATTTTTCTCTCCATACCTGCCCCTCTGTAGGGGCGCTCGCTCCGACGGGCTGCCAATACCTTTTCGCATTTTGGCTCTCCAAGTCTACTCACTAAAGAAGCAACTTTTGCATGCTCGGAGCGCTGTCAGTCACCTTGCAGAGTTCTGAGCCCACACTGACTGTTCAAAATAGCTCATTGAACGTTGCACAACCTTCTATAAACGTAGACCGCCGATCTGTGTTTGAAAAAATGTCCCACATGTTCAAACGCTCGAAATCCCATTCAACTTTGTGGGACGATGCCGACACGATCAGATCGAACGTGACCACTGGGTCAAGCGAACTTCCATTCCCCCGAGATCTCAAGTCGGTTACGAAGGCTGTCCATGTCACCCGACCTTTAAGACTTCCACAAGTCGATGCGAGTCAGGACGAAGTTCGCTATTTCCTCTACACGCTTCTCACCCATAAGGAGCTTGGGCTCTACAAAAACGGTCCGCAATGGATACTCGAAACTGTCATGTCCTGGCGAGGAGATGGAAGCGTTCTTCGGGACATGTCCGTTGTTGAGCTCGAGATGTTATGTCCTATGAAGGCCGGTCATGCAGCATTGGACCCTTCGAAGAACAAGCTCGAGATAATGGCGCCTATCAGGATCAGGAATCAGATTGGACACACCATTTCCACTATCGTGAAGAGCAAATTGGCGAAAGAGCAGCTTCCAAGGAAGGTGAGGGATGGGTGGGAAGCGAATATGAATCTTCCCAGCTTGAATCGTTCCAGGGCCACTGTTCCGGAGCCGGCGAGTACACCACAATGGCAAAGATCGGCTCAAGATTATTCGCTTGGACAGATTGCTTCGGGATGCAGTTCAAGCATACGCTCGCCTGTTTCCCAGGCTCATTGGGATTCTGGTACTTACCATGCAGTGTCACTTCCAGACCAAATGATGACTAGTCCGTGTCAATTCACGACCGCTAGTTTGTACGAAAATGGTTCGCCCGGAGTAACTCATTCAACGCCAGCTCTTTCCTCTGTTGTCAGCATAAGATCCATGAACGCTAGCCAAGGCTCAACTATAGGTGCCTCGCCCCGTTCGACTTCGACACTGCAGACGTCACCACCAGGTTCCGAGGATGAGTTCTCCCCTAATTCGAAGCATGCTCAACCCCAATCGAGGGGAGCCCTTCTTCCCCTTGACTCAATCCGTCCTCCAGTCACAGCAATGACTTCATCAGACTTGAACGAGAATCATAAAGGTCCTGGTCGCTATCGGGCACAATCTTTTGATTTGCCACAAGATCCGCGTCAACACAACACACGATATACACAGCCTCGTCGGTCATCCAACCTACGGTACGAGTTTCAGAATATGGCTGAAGAGCCCCAGCGCCCTAATTATCCCAAATACAACACCACCGGACATATCTACCAGACAATTGGGGGCGACGGTAGTTCGACCTTTTCATCGCCACGACTTGTACCGTCGTATGAATCTCCACACAGCTCTAGGTTTGCTCGAGTTTCTGCTCAGCAGCAAAGCTTCCAACTCCAAGGCGATACAAACTCAGGCAGTGAAGTACAAGGGCTTGCGTCTCAGAACTTCCAGAAGCCAGGCCGACAGCGTCAGTCCCAGCGCCACGATAGCGCAATCATCGACGACTCACTTGATAGTCGACGGTTCTCATCGAACAAAACGAACCAACAGTTTTATAGAAGAGAGCCACAGCAAAGTACGCAAGCACACACGCTTGCTAGTCGGCAGGGTCACGCTGGCAGCGGCTATAAACTTCCGCAAGCATCTCAGCCGAGTCCACAGGTAGACCATCAAATATCGCAGCGAATGCAAGCATCGTGTTGGTCGGCAGATACGCAGGTAAAAACAAACACGCTGAAGACACAAGACTCCTGCGACACGATGACGAACCGGAATACACCGTCTACTTCCGAAGCAGCTCAGACCGCTCGCAAAGCTGCATCTAACACTTCAATGAACACTGTTGTCTCAGCTGATTCAGTTGTCACTATCAGGTCCGCGGAGAAGCGTTCCATCGCAAAGCGCCTTACGGAAAGGTTCCATTGGCGTGAAAGGTCGCGTGTGCCCCAAGTAGCAACCTACACATCACCTTCGCGCCCGGTTAATAGTTGCAAAGCCGACGCGAATACACTGGAACAGGCCGATTTCATCAGATTCAAGGCTCGAACAAGCCAAGCCAGGACTGATGTGGTGGAGCGCGAGATGGCAAGAAATGGGTTGATCAAGAATGCCAACGCATACGCTAGTGAGCCGGCTTTATACGAACGGGCAAAGATGCATTCGATGATGCCCGAACGCAGGAGCAATCTAAGGGACTCTCTACGTCCACTGATTCGATACGTCGACCCGATTACGGGTCAGCCTAGACACACACTGGTGGAGACCATTGAGGAGAAGGAATTCCTCGACGGAAAGACGCAGAGAGGCCTCGACAACACAGATTGGAAAGGTCATCATAGCAGCTAACACATGGGAAGTTGGAAGGCATGCCACGTTAATTGAGGACAGTAAACATGTCGTTAAGATAGCTTACTGTCCTGCCAGGTCACAAGCTCACTCTCGCTCAATTTCCATTGCACATACGACGACCTTTTTTGTCCCCAAGATGCAAACTCTTCCTTTTTTCGATATCGCAAATCATTGCGGCAATCTTCAATCTATACAAAGCACTCACTTCCACTCTTCGAGATACAATCGTCTGATCTTGCTGTGCATGTGATCGTAGATGATCTTATATCTCTATAAGACACTGCAATATATAAGTCTTGTTGGCGGGCAAACACTGCCTCCATGCCTTTCACTCTCCCTCGCCTAGTTAGCCTGTTCTAGCTAGTCTCCTAAGCTTAGCTCCTACGTTATATAGTTCCTCTCGTGCTATAGAGAATAGATTATTAATTTCTATATCTACTTTATACTCTAATAGGTTATAAGCCCTCTACCTTAACTATTACCTCTTTTATAGGCGTGTGTTTCTGCTGCAGCATATTCCCTCTCTTTCTAAAGTCTATAGAATTAATTACCCTGCTCCTATAGGCCTATTTAGTACCTGCAGTACTATTACCCCTCTAATAACCTTAACTGCTGTTTAGCACAACATATTAATACCTAAGAACACCCTTATTAACAGGGTCTACCGCCTTACTAATAATAGTAAGAACGTATTATAATAGGAGTTTATACTTAAAATATACGTAGACTCTATTAGTATACTTAATATCCTTATAGGTACCCTAGCCCTGCCTTCTATTCTATAAGTATCTCCTTAACTAATCTTCTAGGGCAATAAGAATAACTCTAGCACAGTTTAATACTATAAGACCTTACTTAAGACCTAGTATACTATCTATAGCTATAAAGCTAGTAATCTAGCTACTACCTAACTAGTACGTAATAAGTAGAGAAAGCTTAATGCTTAACTCTACTATACGCTTATTACTATAGTTAGTAACTCTCTTATAGAAGCTATTAAAACTAGGTTAACTACAGCTACTATACTTAGCGTTATTAAGGCCTAGTATAAGCAAGATAGTATTACTAAATATATCTCTATTTACTATAGCTTTTATGCTCTTTAATTAAATAACTTTACTACTACTTCTATATTTACTAAGCGTTTTATAACTAAACTTAGTTATATAAAATTCTATAACTTTAGTACTAATAAAGATAAGATAATACTCTACTTCCTTAGTACCCTTAAACTCTCTAACCCTAAGTACTACTAGAAGTGTTATAAGGACCTTTATTATAATATCCCTATTACCCTTAATTAGATAATTAATAAGATCTGTAATAAAGCCTATATTTATAGTAATATATTTAAGACTGTGTTCTCTAGCTGTTAAGTCTCTCTAAACTTAAATAAGGACTAAAAGGATAAGAACTAGAAGAATAGTAAACTATACACTAAGTATAGAAAGCTATATAAGGGTATAGGTAATTACTACTTCTACGCTAATCCTTATCTTATACCTAATAGATAGGCAGATAAGAATTATAATAAGATTACTGTAGCCTACTAGTTTAAAGACAATAGCTCTAGCTCCTATAATAACTTTATATCTAATATATTTATCTTTCTAGCTATATTAGTTATTTACGTTAAGGCTCTTAACATAGACCTAGCTAACTATATATCTAGTAACCCTTATATCTTCTTAGAATATTACTCTAATATAGAGGTTTATAAGGAGATCCTAGTATACGCTAATATCTCTAACTATATCTTTATTAATATTATAAACAATCTTATAGTAAAGGTATATAAATAAGAATATAGTAAGTATATTATTATTAACAGTAGATCTAACTTCTACGTATATAATAACAAGGTAAAGTTTATTACTCTACGCCTTATAACTATATCTTTAGGCATTTAAACTAGTGCTAGTATTGCTTCTATTATAGGTATTAGCACTATAGAGCTTACTATAGCTTACTTAGATAGCTTACTCTAGTACCTTTATATTAATAATATTATATACTGCACTACCTTCTTTATTACTATTATAAGCTACTATAAACTTCTTAATAAGAGTATATACTTCTATAGTTTCTAGGAGAAACTACTTTAGGATCTAGGTAACACTAAGATTACCTTCTGTCTCTATATTAATAGTATTTCTAATCTTCTTAAAGCCTATACTACTAACTAGGCAAAGTAAGCTATAGCCCTAGCTACTACCTAGCGTTATACTAATAACCTACCTTATTATAAAATAACACTATATAAGTTTTATAACATGTTTAGTTATATTAACCTAGAAGATTTAATTAAGCTTACTAAATTAGTTTATAGTATTAAGCTTACTAATCTCTATAAATCCTTTAATTACAACGTTTATAAAGAGTTAAAGTTAAAGAAGAATATCTCTTAAAAGCTGTAGCTCTAATTATAGGAACTATTTACCCTTATTTATATTAATATTATTAGACCTATTACGCCTACTAGAGTTAAGAGTAAGAAGTACTAGATACTGTTTATAAATAACACTATATAATATTAGTAGATTTATACTACTAATAATTATAAGAAGGCTAGAGCTTACCTTGTCCTTATCTATAAAATAGTTTACACGTAATATAATAAAACTATTAAATTATACTAACTAGATAACGCTCCTAAATTTATATCTAAAGTTAATACTAATTACTTTAGAAACTAAGGTATACTCTTTCTTCCTTCTATACTATATACTACCTATTAGAATAGTATTACTAAACACAGTAACAGTCTTATAGAAGAGCGTATTTAATTAATGTATTATAGTGCACTACCTAAGCTTAAGATATACTAGCCCTATATAGTTATATATACTATCTTACTACTTAACTACTTACTTACTAAGGCTAACCTAGATAAAAAGATACCTTACTAAAAGCTTTTAGAAGCTTATAGATATCTTAATTCTATTTCTAACTTATATAACTTATAAATATAGAGTAAAGTTAGATAGATTTATATCTCTAAATAAATCTAAGTTTAATTATCTAAGATAGCTCCTTAAGCCTGTAAAGGCTACTTTATAGGTATTAAAGGCTCCTATATCTTCCTTATACTAGATACTAAAAAGTACACTATTGTCTATACTAGTAGCGTAGAATTTAACTACTTTACTAAGGTACGCCCTTCTATTAATAAGGTAGACTACCTTTCCTTTAACTACTAACCTACACTATTTAATCTTTTTAGCTATACTCTATTAGATTAACTAGGAGGTAATATATAATTACTAAAGAAAGATATACTATTATAAACGCAGTCTATCTAAGAGATACCCCCTAAGTGTACCTAATCTCTGCACTCCTTACCTACACTCCTAGTAATAACTCCTTAATAACTATTCCCTAGATTAATCTCTTATACACAGGTCCTACTCTTATTACTATATAATACTAACCCTAAGTTATACTATAATCTTAATCTTACTAAGTAACTAGTTTAGTATCCTAATATTAGATTATCTCCTCTAGCTATATTCCTACTAACTCTACTAGACCTAGGAGTACCTATTTAAATAAGGCTCCTTAGCTCCTTTAAAGATATTAAAGAGGTCTAAGAAATATAGACTACTAACTAACGTTCTATCTAATAAGAGACCTAAGTTAGTAACTAGTAATCTATATACTAGGATACGTAAGACAAGGAAACTAAAGATAAATAGTTATATAATAATAAAGCTCCCTACTATATTAAGATCTATACTTATTATTATTACTAGAATACTATACTAAACTAGAATAAGCAATGCTCTTAAGACTAAATATTTACTACTATAACTACTAAGTAGGCTCCTCTATAACCTATCTATTATATTAAATAAGCTTTTGCCTAGGCTATCCTCTAACTAGCCTAGGCCTATAAGTTACTCCTTAAACTAAAGAACCCTACTAAAGCCTACTATTACTCTTATAAAGATAGCTAGATTACTACTAAGAATATAGAGTAGGGCGCTTATAAAGAAAATAGTATATATATTACAGTTCTCTACAGTAATATTATTAGTAAAGCTCTTTCTATAAAGTAGGTCTATACGTATAAGTTTAATACTAATAGAATATTAGTTAAATACAAGGCTTATCTTATAGTCTATAGTAACTTCTAGCTAGACTTAAACTAGGAGACCTTCTCTAGAGTAGCTTAATCTACTACTATTAAAGTATTATTTACGCTTATTACTACCCTAGATCTTAAGTATAATTAAATAGACGTTATTACTACCTTCCTTAATAGTATACTTAATAAGAATAAGACTGTATTTATTTATCTACTAGATAGTTACTACGCTAAGCTAAGAAAGGCTATATATAGTCTTTGCTGCGCTCTACGTCTATAGTATAAAGAGATTACTTAATTTCTTATAAGCTAGAGATATTAGCTACTTTAGGCTAACCTCTACGTCTTTATAGATAAATAGATAGGTAGTATTATTCTTATTTACGTTAACAACTTAATCTTAATTACTTATACACCTAACCTTATAGAGGAACTTAAGGGCATTATCTATAGTAAGTATAAGTACTAAGATCTTAGTCCTATTAACTTCTATCTAGGTATTAAGATTACTTATAATTAGATTAAGCGTACCCTAGATCTATCTATAGAGGTATACCTTAAGAAGATTACTATTAAGTATAATTAGTCTAAGTCTTATAACTATAACAAGCCTCTTCCTACAGATACTCTTAACTTTAAACTCTACCCTAAGGATAATTTAGCTCCTAAGCTACTAATTAAGGAGTATTAGATAGTAATTAGTAAGCTCCTCTACCTAGCCTATCTAGTCTACCCTAATATTGCGTTCTATATTGTATTCCTTAGCTAGTTTATAAGCAACCTAACACCTTAACAGCAGGACGCTGTATATAACATTATAGATTATCTATACTATTATTATTATCTCTATCTACGTTATACAGCTTCTCTAGGCTTACTAACTAACGTTAAATTATTTAGTAAATCTATTCTACTTAGCCTTTATAGATATACTAATACCGCTTTTACTAATAGTATTAATAATTATAAGTTTATATTAGGCTATACCTTTAAGCTCTGTAAAGAAGTTATCTCTTATAAGTCTTAGAAACAGTAATTAGTAACTACATTAATAACAGAAGCAGAATATATTACCCTTACTTACGTAACTAAAGAAGCTGCGTAGCTCTGCATACTGCTTACTAACCTAGGCTATAAGAGTAATGTCCTTCTACTTAAGATCTTTAGTAATAATAAGCCCTTAATTAAGCTTACTTATTTAGATAGCTACAATGCTTATACTAAATATATTAATCTATACTATTAATTTATCTAAGATAAAGTATAATTAGTATACATTGCGTTAACTTATATTTCTACTAGTAATATAATAGCTAATAGACTTACTAAACCTCTTCCTGTTGCTAATTACTGTTGGTACGTTGAACTTCTTAGTCTTATTAACCCTTGGGAGGATTAGAGTGATAGGTTATAGCGATAAGTATCCTCTCTAATGTTATTTTATTTTATTTGTTTTCTATTTTGATGACTGGGAGCTCTTCCTAGTAAGTTATTTCGTCTGTTTAGGGGGGTGTGTTGGTGGGCAAACACTGCCTCCATGCCTTTCACTCTCCCTCGCCTAGTTAGCCTGTTCTAGCTAGTCTCCTGAGCTTAGCTCCCACGTTATATAGTTCCTCTCGTGCTATAGAGAATAGATCATCGATTTCCACATCCACTTTATGCTCCGATAAGTCTTCCAATACATCACGCGCGCCGATGAGTCATCCACCCACTTCCTTACCTGTCTTGATCCGATGCATAAAATGATAGAGGTTTAAATGTATAGGTGCCTGATGATCATTCCTCGAGTAGTATAACAATTCTACGACTGAATCGCTTGCGATGTAACCCGACCACTATCAACATGCGATATACTGTGGGGGTTAGTAAAAAAGTAATTTTGCCAACAAGTTCCGCGCGATGAAAAAGTAAACAAGCTATATTGGTGTGCAATGTGACAGCTGCCCAGCAGCGGTCTGTAATCTTGTAATTCAGGTCAACGCACAATGTGCTCAGAGACTATAGATACTACACAACATAGGAAAATCCAAGAATTACGATACAAAGCGTTTTGCTATCATGGTATCTCTTTTCGTGGCCTTCGGAGTAGCTTTGCTGCCAACAGCAGCGGCTTTGGCACTTTTTGCTGCCACATTCGACATCACAAACGCCGCAGCCTCATCGGCATTCGTGCCGTATGTCAGATGTGGTGCAAGAATCACCGATTGTCCCGCACATATCAGGTCTCCAGTGTGGCAGATGACTTTTGTTTTCGCCGCAGAAACCTTGCCGACTGCGTCACCGTTATCTGGATCGCCAAAGATCACAGCGCTCTGGACGAAAGTCGCATCATCAGCACTGAGCATATCCGCAGCGTTGTGTACAAGCTGTCCACCTTGCCTAGATCACTATGAGCTCCAACGCCTAAGGTATGACAACTGTAGGGAGAACTTACGAGTATCCCGCTATGACCAACGACGTGTCAGGACACTTCGTTCTGACTTGCCCGACCATCTGTGCCATTAACGTACTGCCTGCCTTATCGCCACCCGCCAGAAACCCCGGAACGTCGGCGGGATACTCAATACCCTGGACGGCTACATTGGTGGCGCCGCCCATCATCTTCCCTACTGCGGATACGAATGGTGGGCCGGCAACCGTGCCCATATTGCCTTGTTCCGTGGTGCCACGCGCAAAAAGGATGGTCATGGGCTTGCAGGCGCCGCCGTTGACAAGATCATTTTGCGTCATGCTGTTAAGTGCGGCGGAGGCGAAGGGGATCAAGAGCGCAATGAACGGGAGCGTGGAGACTTTCATGATGGGTGGTGATCGGAGAAAATAGATCGGTGTCCCAGAAACACGATAGGTCGATCGTAGGTAGTGAAGTAGAACTATGGGCTATATGAAAGGGCTGGATCTGCTCAAATTGATTGAAGATGGTTATTCAAGAAACTGTAGTAGTGACGCAATGAGAAGAGTCTCAGTGAGATACGAAGGCATATTTGTATTGTAGTTTACTCTCATCCACTGCCGAGGTGGTTGACAAAGCACACGACTACACAAACATACCTGCGATGTCCTTCGTTGCAGAGTAGATGGCCGTCACTTCTCATGCAAATTTTTGACAACTAGCACATGCTGAGAAACAGTAGAACCATGTCCAGACAACCCCATACTCTAAGAAAACGTCCTGCGCTAGGGCGCGACTACTACATAGGGAAACATACAGCAGCCGTTGAAGGGGCCTACCTGGGAGATCTGGAACGCGGTCCGCAAGCCTGAACCACAGATTCTACGCCATGGCGCGACGGGAAAAAATGGTTGCTAATATCGATACGAATCTAGTCTGACCCAGTCTAGTTGTGCGCGCCTTCAGGCGTGGTTTTCATAGTTTGAGTTTCCAATCATAACGTCCGCAGTTCATGGTATAGAGCTATCCGAACTCATTATGTTTTCTCGTATCAATGTCGTCCCTAGTATCATGCGTTACACCACCTCGGCATTGCCGACGCTGAGTTTGAACAAAAGGTGTCAGACGGGACAATTGTTTCAGCAGGACGAGTTCCAGATTCGAATCACATTTCGTCTCGTACACAAGTTTGAGATCTTCCAAGTCCATAACACCGATTTTCTTTTCCTCGAGCGTCTTTTGACTATGTTTATGCATCCGTCTACACCGGTCCTTGAATCAAAATGTTGTTCTGGATTCGGCGACGCGGAAAGGAGTTGCGGGGTGCCTCGGCAGAATGCGTGATCTTGCTGGCAGATTTTCCTAAATCTCAGGTATTTCTTGTTTCGACAAAGGGCGTCAAGAGATAATGGTGCAGAGATGGAATTAGTCGAAAGGGCGGGGTTGACTAACATCATGGAACAGTAAGCATCCGCTATGCTCGAGAAGGCAGGTGCAACCCGCTCCAACCTCACCTCTTCATGAGTCGACGATCAACGTCAGAACCTCAAAACGTTCGAATTTCCGGACCCAAAAAAGCATCAATTGCTTCACTTCCAATCAATCATGGATTTCAAAAAGATGGGACTCGAAGTTCATCGCCTCGACGAATCCGATTTTCCAGACTTTGTTCGTATACAGATGTCAGCATTCGCTAGCGGTACTGGGATGACTTCTCTCCTCACACCGAGTCCCCTCCCATCAGACTATATCCAAAAGTTGATCGACAAACATCTCAAGGCGTGGCGCGAAGAGCCGGATGTGCACTACCTCAAAGTCATCGATAAGAATCTCGATGGTAAGATGATCGCAGGCGCAAAGTGGCGTATCAACAAGAAAGAGCGAACAGAAGAGCAAATCCAAAGCATGTTGCCGGTACCGGGTCCAGAAGATGAGGGGAGGCCTGTGATGGTGGCTTTCATGGGTTTTTTGAGCCGTGTGAGGCGAGAGTTCATGGGAACGAAGCCGTTCTGCTGTAAGTACGCATATGAAAGGCTACAAAACATGTGCTAAGTGGTACAGTCCTACAAATTCTTGTAACGGATCCAGAGCATCATAGACGTGGCGCCGGAGCGATGCTGATCGAGTGGGGGACTGAGAAGGCAGACGATGCGCAGTTGCCGTCATTTCTGGAAGCTACGCGGATGGGAAGGCCATTGTATGAAAGGATGGGGTTTGAGAAAAGATATGAAGAAGTGTTCGATTTGTCGCAGTACGGAGTAAAGGGCGAAGATTCGAGTACAGTGATGATTCGGGAACCTCTTTTCTACGTAATGTGAGCGACTGAAAACTAGAATGAGCGGTCGGGTCTATAACATGAATGTATTGAACATATGTGACGGATACAAAAAGTAACAATACAAGTCTTGGATATCATCTCCAGTGTTTCTGGTGTCGACTTCGGGTTATGTAGACCGAAGCCTACCTATGGTTGTCCAGTGAAGCCTCCCAACCTCAAATCTACCAGAACATACTGAGCGTCGACTTGGTCTCTGCCTCACACTCAATCCCGAACAGTGTTCTCAGTCCCAAGATCCTTCGCTTGTGTGTATCCTCCAGTACTGGGCGGGTCTCCACCATCGGCGCACACCACTCGAACTCAATGTCCCTCCTCTTCTGTACCCATTCTCGAACCTTGCCCAAGAACACCCAGTCATCTGCCCCACCCGCCCGTGACAAGTTACGCGGATGCACCCTTCCCACCTCTAGGCGAAGATACTTCAACCCCTCCGCCCTCTCCATGAATCCCAAGAACTTGTCGAGGTCTTCTTGCCCCGCAGGCCCATTCCGCTCCGTTGGTCGCACGAGCGTCAATTGCGAGATACTCTCCAGCGAATGGCCCAGACAAGCGAAGACAACATTCGCGGCCCTGATGCTGATGATCTCGAAGGGTTTCTCAGAGCAGAGGAGAGACGCAGCCTCAGCTCGGATCTGGTGCGAGACGCGGAAGAGCGGGAGATCAAGCACCGTGAAACCAATGGGCCGCGGTCGTGGGTGGTTAACGATGAGGACTGACTTGCCGCTTGGAACGAGAACGAGGCGGTAAATCGTGTTGCGGATTTCGCCAGGAAGATGGAGGAACGTGAAGCGGCAGAGCTTTGGAGAAGACTGAATGGGGAATCAGTTGACGGAACTGGAATTACTTGACTTCCAAGTTGACTTACCGTAGCCATGATTGATCTGTGCGATAAGCCCGCTTGGAAACCTTTTCGGTTTATGACAGTAGTGGCGAGGCAAGGCGAATTTATCGTTTTGGTGAAATAACACCCGCGAAACGCTACTATCTCTGATCAAGCTAGCGTTGGATCAGCAAACGGTTCAGCAACCCGTTCAATCGCACGCGGAAATGTGATGAGTGATTATCTGAGATGAACAGATGCTGCATTGGTCAATTTTGGAAGTTCTCTGGCATGCATTTCCTCAAGTCCGGTACTTACATTGTACGTATGCGCGCGGACGGTTCGGCAAATGACTTATTTCCGAACCTTTGGTGATATCAATGTATCCTGCATCGTGTGTTGAGATTGTTACCACTGCAAGAGAATGGCTCTGCGTATTCGCCCCTGGTGTGAACTGCTAGAACTTATAACTCTGATTCGTGACTGTCTGCTCGCCGTCACTGCCGTCTCCCCTTGCTCACCAGGGTTGGACTGTCTTTCATCATGCGTGTCCAACGGGTTGTCTACTTGAGCCAGCCATCTCCAATAAGCCTCATCAATGAACACTACGGGTACGTGGTCGAGTGGCAAGACGTCCGCAACAAAACTAGCACCTGGCCCGGCGTCTCTGCAGGTTTGACCCCTGTAATATGATTTCTGGGTCAGAACTAGCTCGCCTGCGGGAAATCCTGAGTTCGATTCTCAGCGTATCCATACTTTTTGTCGATGTTGGTGAATGAATGCAGTTGGGCAGCGATGACATTGGCGCAAACAAGCATAGTGTTGTTTTTGCGCTCCCAACCTGCGAGTAATGGGGACGAGTAGACGAATTGTTTTTGATTGAGCGACTTTCGATAAAGTATGAGAGAGTTGTTTGATATAACATAACAGAACTTTGCCTGCGTTGGCTTGAAACAAATGTGTGACGGCAAGATAGGAATTTATATCAAGAAACATATACTGGAAACGACAACTTGAACGAGGTGGTATGGAGGACGCTTAACTCTCAACATCCGCAGTACCTCTTTTAAAGCCCTTTTCCAAACGCCAAACAGTGTGTAAAACCTCATATTCACATGTTCGAAGATCCTATTAGGTAGGAATGGCCGTGCCCATTGCCTAGGTGGCAAAATTATCATAACTTCCCAAGTTTTAGAACCATGATCGGTACGACTTCCCTGACCAGGCATGCTGCCATGTAAGACCTACTCAGGCCTATCATACACGCGGCTTATACGGTCGTGGGGTGTATCCAGAGCCTCCGCGTACCTGTCCCATATCTCTCAACTATCAAGCTTCAGATGTACGACGATATTCTGTCTAACAGTGTTTGGTTGCTACTTCCGCCTTCGCGGTGACATTTGGGAAACATCGATATCAGTGATGTCCACTGCAAAGTATCCGTCAACTCGTGGAACTTCCTCGAAGCCGCGATCGAGTTTGCTGCATATAGATACCTTGTCATCGTAACTCATTCCGCACAGTAGCAAACCTGTGTCGTCAGCTGTTATGGACGATTATGTGAGCGAAGGACCATGGTGAGCAAGAGCTTCTTAGCGAATTCCTGCAAGCTGGGTCAAGACACTACGGATGAGCATGTAATCTGTTCCTGAAATGTGGAATGAAAAGGAGACGAAGGAACCATACTACCAAAGTAGTCGGAACTGGTAGTCGCTTTCCCATTTGCTCTTGATATGTCGTTCGTCAGCTTCTTCTCACTCGATAGTCTTGGACGAGCCCCGCAATATGTCGTTGCGAGTATGGATTTTGCCTTGTCGCAGACTTGATATCCTACTCATCTGCTTCCCCCTATGCCCATGTTGAAATTCTGTGTCTTCTGGACGCATACGTTTTCGAACGCCTGCAGAGCTTCCTTCATGCACATACCGCGGTCCGCGTTATTGCCGTTTCCGTCTATAACAAGTACCGTTTTGCCGAGTGCCGACTGCTCCTTGTAGCTCATCACATTGCCCTCTGTACCTTTGCTCAAATGACCTTGTACCTTGCAATGTGGACCGTTGATGCCGAGCGACAGGGTGGAGATGGCTTCTCGGCGGTCCTGCTGCAGGCGATCGGCGTGCGTGCATGGTGTTCATCGATATGGCGTCGCAGAAGCTGTGTGCTTGCTATGAGCTCGATAGGTCGTTGCGGAAGATGCCCAGAGGCCGCTGGCGATGCTGTTGTGCTCCTGAGCCATCGCCCAACATCTGTAGGCATCCGCGGTGACCGTCGATAGTGGGGTAAGTGAGACAGCCGTGTCGCCGTCGCCCTCCCTGCATTCCTCAGCAACTCACCCCCGTCATCTCACGAGCAGCGTCTGTGGGTATTTCGACGACGGGCTTTCGATTGAGCCTACTCCCATCACCGTAGCTGCGGTGGTCGTGGAGATAGAGGGGGTGCTTCGTGGTGATGGGGAAGGGCTTGGCGCTCAGGAGCTCAACACCATGAAGGTATCGTGAGATCTCCGTTGACCATCACCCCCGACACCCCCACCACACACAACGCACCACGCCACAGCTCTTCCAAAATACGCGGATCTTCTTCGGAAGGACGAGTATAGTCACCGCGAGCTGCTTTCAGGCTCATACGGATCGTGTTGCTGTGTCTCCGCGGCCTTGGTTGTCGAGCTTCTTCTAACCTCTCCTCATCACACATCTTCATCTTGCCTCCACAGTACCTCGGATACCTCTGAGAAGCTGAAGAAGAGACTCATAGCCTCTGTCGACGCCCTTCAAATCCCTTATGGAGCTCGCGGTCGCCAGCGCTGCGTCCATTGGCGAGAGCGGGCATGCAGCTTCTTCTCCCAGCGCCTCTAGACACCCTGCAGGGCCTCGGGAATTACCTGAGGGGCATCAGAGATACCACAGTGAGTACTTCCAGCGAAGACATGAGCCTCCAGGTGGACGCACGCTGACTCCGTGACCAAAGCTTGCATCGGGCGTCCGTGGAACTTACCAGGCGCCAGGCTCCACCTGCGCCATCAACATTTCGCCTGCAACCACGACTGGAGTATAGCAAGAAGCCCAACACCAGCTTCTCATCTTCTCGTCCTCATCTGCGAGTTTGACATCGGTCCACGAATTGTTTGATGTCCTAGACACCTCTGCCGTTTACCCCAGCTCAAGCACATTCACACTCGCAGCGCGCGAAGTGCAGCGGCAATCAACTTTGACTCTTGGGAAAGGGCAGATCCCCTGGTGAGTGACAGTCTTTTTTCGCGTTGCTTGTGGTTTGAGGGCTCTTGGCTGACATAGTGGTGATGACAGCTCCGACCCCATCGAGAACCGATCGCTGACAAAACGCCACCTCGTACACACGCCTTCTGATAGAAGTTCGCTTCGTGTTACCGGTTCTTTCGACGTCTTCAAGCCTCTCCCTAGACTCCATGACGATCACCGTTGTTAAGACCGGCACTCAATACCTGCTGGGCTCGCCCTCGATAGCAATAGCTACGTCGCAAGTCACACATCTGAACATCGGAGGGTCGTAGTTCTGCCATACATACTACCTGCGAAGACTTGCACGAGGATATGTCTTGTCGAACATAGCCGTGGGCACTAGTCCCATGATACAGACATCCGCAAGCGCAGATTTTCGTCATCTAGTCCGGGTCAATCGCCATGTTGTCAAGGAGGTAGTGGTCTTCGTCGTTCTGTCGAATGTCCATGTATTTCTCTCGTCACCAAACAGTAGTCAGTACAGTCGAGCCTCTCGGAGAAGCTGATTCAGAAGCCCGAAGTCTTGTTGAAGTTGCCATCTCGATCTCCGGTACCTTAGCGATAGCTCGACCTCTCGAGGTCGTATAGGCATTGCGGGTCGTGGGAACGAGGACCTCAGATGACCTACCCTGAGGTGGTGACGGATCCTGGCTGAGGTACAAGAACGTCGACTCGAACAACTGCTACGCCGTCGTTCAGCGCAACACATTTGCGTTGAGTCGTATTATTTCCTGTTGTCTTTGACATGGGAAAGGAAGTATGATCCATCTCTTTCATCAACTCTCTTGACTCGGTTTCCATCTCTTCGCCTTTTCATCTCTTCAGTCCACTCAGTTCCATCTTCGGAAATCCGTCCAACTTCTTCAATACCGGTCATCATCCAGTCAACTTGATCGATTTTCATACTTCCAGAGCCTCTCACTCTTCATTTCACATCTCCACACTCTACTTTTCTCAGTCATTGTATCGTTCAGGGTTACTCAGCACTCGCATGGCGAAAAGGATGTTCTGCCATAACGGTCTCTCTTGAAGTGTAGTGCGCGCTTAGATGAGCAAACTACGCTGGCGGCTAGAGAGGCCGGGATCTGGCGCATCGCGTGTAGCCATGTCGACTGCCGGGCGCCCCAAGATACATCAGCTATTGGAACATCCAATGTTGAGCATCGTGGGAGTGGTGTTTGTAAAGGTGAGTATGAGTCTTTTGCTCGCGACTGTACGGCGATCAGCGGTGCTTTGGTGACGGTGCATCTTGACTGGCATTCTCGAGATGTTCTCTGAGATGGTCATGCGACATCTCCTTTCGAGTCCCCATTCTTCGACATCAAGTTTCGACTCTTTCAGAGGACCCTCGTCCATTCATCTCCGATCACTCAAGCCCGCGCCAGACTAGGGTCGTCCTCGATGAGGCGCCTGCATCTCTACAGCTAACGACTCCATCAAAATCTTCAACACAATTGTCAGTTCTATCACAAGCTGTTGAAAGGATCAAAACAGTGCTTCATCTTCATTATGACGACTTCGTCAGCATCTTTCTCAACAACTGACCCTGAGTGTGCCACAATCTGCATCTCGGATGACAGCGCTAAAACGTCCTACCTTGCACTTTCGAGAGCGTTCGGCTGTCGACATGTTCTTTGCTCATCAAGTGACTTGCGGTTGTTTGCTTGCCGGCAAGTGCCCCATCTGCTGGGGATGACATGCTCTGCTTACATCGTAAGTAGGTTATTTGTCGGCACAAGCAGTAATACTCTACTAACCAACCTTTTTTCCGTTCTCTTTTTATCACTCATCTCCCCGTTTTCTCGTTTCCATTTCTTTTGGGCCAACGGCTATGCCGGATCGAGTATTCTTCGCACCTTTTCTCGTCTTCTACATCTTCCACCTTCATCCACCTTCATCTCCTCGTTTTTCGTACAACTTTCTGGCCAACGCTTATGGCGGTCCGAGTATTCTCTCGTTTCTTGTCTTTCCTTACTTCTTGTCTTTCCTCATCCCATCTTTAGGTCCTTCTTCTCATATATCCTTTGTTTCCAGGTCGTCGTCAGTACTTTCTCATCTTTCTTTCCGTATTGTCTTCTCTGCGTATGTCAGTGTATCTCTGCGTCCTCTGCATTTTTATCCTGGCCAACGCCTATGGCGGTTCGAGTATTCATCACTTCATTCCCTGTCAGTCCTCGTTCCATATTCACCTCTTGTTAATCTTTCTTTTCCGGCTTCTTCTTTCAGTGTCCTCATTTCCCAAACCCTCTATCTCTTTGAGTTACCATTCTTCTCGTCTTTTGCCTCTTCTCACGTTCGTCTCTGTCTTTTCTTTTTGTGCGTTCTGCGCTGCCTTTCATTATCCTTCTCTGCTCAAGCACTTCAGGCCAACGCCCATGGCGGATCGAGTACTCTTGCATCAGTCTCCTCTCTGCGTACCTCTTTGGCTCACTCAATCTTCTCTCTCTCTTAGTCCTTCGCAGCTTTTTGTACGTTCGAGCCCACTTCTAAGGCAAACCGTATCCAGATCGTTTCTTTTCTCCACCCCTTCTCTTCGCCCGCTTACTCCATCTCTTCTCTTCGTCTCTTCTCTTCGTCTCTTCTCTTCGTCTCTTCTCTCCGTCTCTTCTATACGTTTGCGCGTTGCATATTGCGTCTCTTTTTGCAGTGGTTACAATCTCGCCCGTCCAGTCTTATTTCCACGTTCTTTCGTTGCTTACTCTGGACCTCTCGAACACCCCCTTGATGAGATCCTTCCTTTGCTATCTGAGCAATGTTTTTTTCCACTGTGTTGCAAACATCCAGACTCACCTTCTCCTATCTTGTCTGATTCATCGGCTTCCGCCACCTCCACCTCTTTTGGCGCACATTGCCCTGAATCATACACGAACTTTCTCTCATCCAAGGTCTTGCGTTTATGTCGTCCTGCTCTGAAGTCATTTCTGCGTTCATGCCATTCCTACCGCATAAGTCGAATTCGAGTCGTTGGTGGTCCCTTCTTGCTTGCGTTTCCCTCATTGTTGCATCAGTCATCCTGTCGCTTTGATAATTCGTGGTTTTTCTCATTCTGCGGTTTGCACACTCGACATATCTTTTGTCCTTCTCTTCGCGGATTTGACTGTATTTCAGACACTTACGCGCATGGATAGGATGTGGGAGTGGAGATCATGCTCTCGTGGAATGTTGGACGGCATCGACGCTAGGATTGGTGTTGTGTCGAAGTCTGAGGAAGCTGCATTGGTGAGAGGATCCTGCATCTGATGAACAGAACACACGGCAACCGCCTCTGATGGTCGCACTTACCTCGTTACGGATAAACGCAGCGTCATACCCGACCATTCCTTCCGATGTGCCACATATCACCTTCCTTTCATACTCGCTCATCGGCCGCGTCTGACGGCCGTTTTCGACTTGTTCGCAGCTTTCCGGACTTCGATGAGTTTTGCTCTCACGGAGCCACCGCTCCTATCGAGTGATATGGTGAATGGCTGTCCACCCGACAGACGTGCGACACTTTCAGAACCGAAGTCGCTGGGCCCTTGTCTGGTGCAACACAAATTGTTCAATCGTGCTCAATAGCGCGGAGGCAGGTTGCGTGTTGATACTTAGCAACTACTTCTCGACCTGCGTCTCATTCCTGCTCGATGGTTCTTGTCCATGCCGTGGTCAACATCTGGAAGATATGGCAATCCGCGTATATCCGCTACGTGACATCGAGTTCAGAAACGTTGTGGAGACGCTTTGCAGACGGAGTACAAGGAATGTCTTCTCTAACGTTTGCGTCGTGGAGATGATAGTCGAGCATCTTGTCGTTTAGCTGTTTCCTTGCGAACAAGCTCATCAGGACTTCCGTCTTGAGCAACACGCTCGACACATTGATTCAATCTGCCAAGTCTCTGGTTCGTTTTGCGTTCCGAAGGCCGCTTGGAGTCAAGGTCTCGCACTTCAATCATGGTTCGAGCCTCATGGTGCGGGGATTCGCGTTCTGGACCCACCGTGGACCCGGTGTTGCCTCTCAAACCATATCATCCTGTACAGGTGTTGCCGATGCGCTATATGACAGAGTTGGAGAGATGTTGCCCGATAACAACACCTCTACGCTTTGTGCTCTGCTCGCTCCCACTGTGGTCGTGCACTCTGGCCGGAGCCAGGCTAGGACATACTCGGGCGTACGTGATGAGCATGATATGCTTTACGAGAGAGAGAAGAACCACCAACTATGTGAGACTGGCATCTGGTATGAGTCTCCAGATTTTGTGTCGCATATCAGGTCAAGATGACGGACAAAGATACGGCGAGCTCCTCACAATGTTGCTCGGCTGCTCCCCGTTGCCTCGCCACCGACCACAGACGACAAACATGACGTCGACGCTTGCGCCGGGACTCGATTGAAATTGAGGTCCTTATCAAACGTACTTTCGGTACGAGCGGCGAGTGGTCATGTCCACGAAGACATCAAGATCGCATATTGCGTGGTGTGGCTGCAGCTGTGGATTTCTCGAAGAGACTGAGTGTTTCCCATCGCTCAGTTCATCAATCAACACCCCTTTCCGGTTTGACTGTCTCTTTCGTGGCGTATAGGCTCTCTATCACCCGCCGGGGCGAGGGTCTTCTTGTTATCGGGGCGGGCGCCTCGCGAAGGGCTCAATTCATCAGTCTTATCGTGACTCGACGCCTGTCATGTGGGCCTCTGGTACTACCAACCACACATCGTCCCCTCGGCAAGTCTCGTGCTTCGTAAGCGCGCCTTTATTCATCTCTCTTTCATGGCGTTGGACCACCGCCGCATCTGGCAGTCCCTTGTTGATCATGCCGAGCGACAGAGGGCAGCCCTTGGTGAACATTCATCCACTTTCCGGGCGTCGTCTGCACTGTGTTTCTACACCACCGCTTTGCGTTAGGCTCTGCTTTTATCTAGTCATCCGTGTTCTTCGATTGGATGGTATGTCTCGTTTTGACTTCGTATGCCCGCAGCCGCGGAGGATACTTTCCGGGCCTTCGAAGCGGCCATGGCTCATGGAAACGAGAACATCGATAATTCGTGAAGAGGATGTGGTCCAGTAAACGATATATCTGCTTTATTGTCAGAGATGATCTGGGAGTTGCGCCTGAGATAATCAGCCTCACCTTGGCTGCGACGGCCGCTGGCTCAACGCTCTCTGGCCCACAGAAGATCCTCCCTGACAATAGAGACTGGCGTATACCCTCAGGATACTTGTCTAGAGCAAAGACTGCGAATATCCGACCGAAAGCTGTGCTATCAACGCAGTTCGGTGCCTTGCTTTCGAAGGTGCCTGCGAGCAAGGACGAGTCGAGGCCAAGTTCTCCAACGTCGAGGCGCTTATTCACCGATCGTACAACTGCCTTATTCGAGAAGATATGTCCCGCATCGAGTTCGTTTAGAAGCTGGATCTTGTGCTCGCGGTCGGGGAGTCCGCAAGTTTCCCATCTTCTTCGAGGTTCTCACCAAACCGCAATCAACCTCAGTCGAGATGGGCGCGAATGCTGCAGCCCAAGGCCATTGTGTATTTCCAGAATCTCACATCTTGCTCGTCGAGTTTGCGTGTTCTAGCCGACATTGAGATGGGAACCTACGTCCTCCATAGGCTCATCTCGCCTAGCAAGACGGTGGGACCGTGTCTGCCATTCCTGGCAGGTTGCGCGATGTCGTTGCACGGCTTTCGATGACGGCACTCTGAACACTGTACGCCCACAATGCAATGATAGGCTGCAGCCGACTTCGCAACATGATAGTCTCAAAGTGAGAAAGATGTAATTGATGTCCGGGGGGTTTTGTCGTTACCGCAATGGCGCGACTGTGCGCCGCCAGTATCATCTGGGAAAGCAAGAGAAAAGGACACGAGCAATAGACCATCGTCTTCAGTCTTGTGTTGGACAAACGCAGATTTGTCCTTGACTTCGCATGTTCAGATTCCACGATACAACGTCTTTGAGTGATCATTACTAGATGGTCTAGCACATTGCAACTGGCCCTTACACCATGACATTGGGTATGATAAACCTCCCGGCCGGAAGTTTGCGAGGTTGAGCGTGCGTTGTGGACTCTCACTCTTGGATTTCTGGCTTCCGCTGATCCGGCTGACGAACAGGGTGTCACCTCTCCTGCGCTGTGTGTGTGGTATGCTTGCCGTGAGACCTTCGGAATGTCTGGAGCGAGTCCTCGTCGCAATACTACGGTAAAGGTGGATACGTTTCTTGGGAGATCTCGCGGTATCTCCCAATCACTTGCTGGTTGATCGGTGAGGTGTTTATTCGGGGAGGTAAGAGAGGGGTGCGCATAACGACATCTTCGGCATCACGGCAGTCACAGACGTGGAGGAGAGCAACGGCAGCGAAGGCGGCTCGCTATCCTGCTCCAGTGTCAGCATCTGCTTGGAGAGTGGTAGCTCAGACAGCTTCTGCGCCTACCAGTTTGAGAGATTTGCTCCAGCTGCGATGGCCGCTGGACATCCTTCACGGTTTGTAAACGACGCAGTGTATCATCGTCGCGCCGCCGGCAGTGAGTTTCGGCGCGCCTTGCGATTGAGTTTGCTGTGCCGAGTTCTTTCCTCCACGCGCTTTGCAGTGAGGAAGTACTAGATCCTTTCTAGCAGTGATGGTTCTGTGATAAGAATGGAGGGGCACGCACTGAGTACTGAGACAAAGTCATTTAGAGGTGTTGTCTCCGAGAGTTCCCATCAGCGCGACTAAAGTTGATGCTGGAAGCTCTCTTCCGCTGACAGCAACGGAAGACTCAAATTTGGTAGTAAGGACAGGAGGCGCTTGTTGACTGCCCATAGTTACCATGGTATGCGCGAAGAGCTCACCTAGAACAATATGCCCGGGTCCCATGCCTCCATTGTGCCCAGCAAAGTACGGTCCGGTACCTCAAGACGATCGCTTTCGTTCATACAAATAGCGCGACGCTCGTGGTATGTGCTGTCTCCCTCGGGCGCATGCCGTTCATCAATGTGGCACAGAAGGGGGGGTCGTGTCCAGGTAGTGGGCGTCCATTTTCTTTTCCATCATCAGGTATTCTGATCCAGCGTAATGCTGACCTCATTCCCACTCTTCTTATTACCAGGTATCCGTGGATACTTGTCGCGTGCGACTCGGGGGTGAGAAAAATGTCCGTGGACTCGGAGGAGGGCGGCGGATCGGGAAGGAGTGACTCGAGCATCGCCAAATCTAGAGACATCATTTGGAAACACATCATGCACTCCAACCAGCGGAGTGTGCCCACGCGAAGAGGTTCTGCACATTGTGTGGATGGTAAGTGGTGTGGAGAGGCTAATTGGTGTCAGTGTGATGCACAATGTTGCCGCAGGTGCGGGGCGACCTTGTGCAGAACACTTTACACGAACTTTGTGGAGGCACGCAACTTGATTCCAGACTAGGGAGAAGGATGCGACTACGGAAGGTGCCAGTATTTGCAAAATCATTTCCCCTTTTGGAGAATGCACGTCGGGCGGATCATGTCATTTCAATTCCAGTCAGCATACCCAAGAGTATCTCAGTGGCTATTCTACCCCCTGTCCAGCTCAATATGCGGTACCCGAGAAGCAGCTCGATGTCCTATGCTGTACTTCAAATCCCCCGTATCCTCCTACCCTCTGCACACTCCCCTCCTACTCCCATCACAGTTGTTCCGCCTAGCACTGACATCAATCCCGGTCCTGATCCACCTCATCGTCATGCACAAGCACCATGCCCGACGCTCCCGCCGCACACACGCAAGCGAAGAAGATTACGCCTGCAAAAAACCTCAAAGTGTAGGAGATGCCGCGCTGGGCGACTACAGGCCTAGCGAGAATGTAGATGCCTACATCCCCAAGCCATTCGGGGTCGTCAAGGGCGTCTCGGAAATCGGCCCACAACATCTCATATAGCTCCATCTGGATATACAGACGAATCGCGGCGGTGGCGTCGGCGAGGAACGTGGCGAAGGAGAGAGTTCGAAGACCTGGAGCGGCGCGATTCGTCATTGTAGGGAGATGCGTAGGCGGCAAGGCGCGTTTTGAGAAGATGGAAGATGAGGGTAATCGGATTCAAAGTCGACGACGTGCGTTGGCAGGAGTTTTCTCGCGAGCTGAAAACGTTGTGAAGTGATTTGGGGTGTTGTGTGAATGGACGGGAGTGAGTGGTCTTGAGGAGCTGGGGCAAATACCACGGGCACGAAAGAGTCAGACCCACGCGCTCGCTAGGCTCACCTTCACCGAGTATCTCCCATCTGCATAGCTACATGATGGAAACATGTCAGGCCGTGAAGTTCAAAAGCATCATGATAGTCATATGAAGCTCTCTTCTCATTAGACTCTAGGAGTATGTCTTCACCTTGAAGACATCGTTGCTGACAGAAGGTCCAAACATATGACAGGGAAGGAACTTGATATCTTCAGCATGGCTTGTCAACTCTACATGAGCAAGACGATCTTCGAAGATACTCAACCTACATCGCGGATACGGCAAGGAGACTGGGTAACAGATCACGAGGGTCTTGAACTTGAACGGCATATCATACGAGGAGTCATGACAGTGAGGATGAAAAAGTGAGAATGTAACAGTTTATAAAGCTTGGATTGATATAAGTCCTTGTGCCGCCAATATATATTCCAGTTCTATTCCCGAAGATCCCAAAGTCTTTGTACTTGCGCTGTCGGATTTGACTGAGGCCATGTTAGCGGATGGAGGTTACGCGACGAGCCGAGCGACTTACAAGTCGGGTAGTGTATGAAGGGTTGCTTCCGGTAAGGATTTGTCAGAGAAAGCGACGTGGTTTGTCTTGACGTGCTCCAGGCAACAGAACCTGAGGTGGTTGGCCGCGCCCGCTGGCGGCTCCGAGTCCCTGGTGTGGTTGGTTGTGATGCTGCAAGCGACACCGGCAGAAGGGAGAGGTCATCGCCTGGCTATAGCGGAAGATGTCAGTGTATGCAAGATGTGGGTGCAGAAGGGAGGACTTACGAGGGGAGATCTCGGTCATGCTTGCGAAGGCCACCCAGCCCACGCCATAGGAAATCTGAGCTCATGTTCTGCCATGGGCTGGGTGCCGTCCGCGCAGCTCTGGCTTTGTTAGAACGTCGGGGTGTTCTTGTGGAGGCTGACTCTTGCCGGATTGATATGCAAGAGTCAGCCCCCACAGGCCAATGTGCGTGGCCACAATGCTATCGAAATCTGTTAGAAAGGTACAACGAGGCTCAACGCAGAAAGACTCACCGGCCACAACTGAGAAGCATGTTTGATTGGTGGTTGACCCTCTCGGATGGGTCAACCACCTCCAGCCCGCAGGCTGAGTAGCCACCCTCGCTGTTGACGTTAGTTGGAAAATGATAAAGCATGGAGAAGGTATGACATACTGGCCAGGGGCCGGGGCGGCCTCCAGAGTTCGTAAGTTCAGCACTCCCGAAGGAGCGGCTGAGTGTGAGGTGGTGTTGATGAAGGAGAAAAGAAGTGAGGGAGCGAGATGATGGGTATTTGTACCACCTGTGGGCGCGCTACGGAGGCCGGCGTTTGAGTTCCGGGTCGACTCAACAGCGGTGAGGGGAGTGACAGCGAAGCCGAGGTGAAGTCGAGAAAAGTAAGTCTCATGTGAGCATGTCATTGCGGGAGTTTTGAGCAACCCCGCTATGAGAGAATGCGGTGCATTTAGCAAAGACACTTAAAGGCTGAGAAGAACCATATCTGCAGATAGCCGTACATCGTTGACCATGAACTGCCTCAGCCATCAACCTGAATATTAACATAGTTGGAGATCTTGCGAAGAGATCAGGTATTTGGAATGAGACATGCTTGTGATAACCTGAGCTACAAAATACACCGCCAATTCGAACCAAAAAGCATATGTGAAGCATCGATATGAAACAAAAAACAGCATTGCGTTCTAGTCACAGATCATCGAGTCTTGTGCCTCCGCTGTACTGAAGCGAGTGTGACCCAACCATCGACAAAAACAAAAATCAGAGATCGTACAGTCCAGGGGAACTGAACTTACGAACTCTGGATGGTGCGACCGCGAATCGAACGCGGGTTGCCTTCAGGCCAGCTGAAGGAGTGTTGCCACTACACTATCACACCGAGGGGTTTGATTGATGGCAGTTCGTGCCAACTCGAACAAGATATATGCAGTAGTATCCTAGGAAAATGGTGATAGCACCTGAATCGTCACTAACAGAGCTTGAAACATTCTTTTGTGGGGTGAGATCCGTTGTTTTATAACACCGTATAAAACCCTTTCTAATCCGGAAGCATTGTAGTAGCGCATGCAATATCTGGTGCTGCACAAGACATGATGGCATTGCGACTTTTGTGATGTCTATGAGACTCTCAATGAAGTCTCGTCACGTTCAATAGGAAATGCTTCTGCGTTGCAGAGAGCCTCACGGCCTCTTGCCCGTGTTTCTCAACCGGCCGCGAAGAGTCGCTTGTGTCCCACTCCATGTTCAAGCCCAGGATGCCAGCGCCTCGAGTCTTCATAATCGGCAATGCTCCGGTCATATCACTCTCGCAAAGGGCTTGCGTCGCGTCTCCTCTCCACCTCTGTAATAGGCTTGTCGAGCTTACGACTTGAGTCGGCCTCATTGACCACAATGATTCAGATTGCTGCAGAGACTGAACACTACCTAGGCTATTCGACTTGAGTGTGTTGCTTTACGGGGCAGACTATCTTTTCCTTACTGCGGACAAGCATTACGTTGGTGTAGTTTGAGGCCATTGGAAGGTTGGTAAGCTGAGGCGGCAGTGTAGCTCCAATTACATATTCAATGTGTGAACGAGTGATTAGGAAGAGGCAATTGCACATGGCTAGATTTCATGACCAACGAGATGTATTGATGATGATCAAAGAGTGGCTAGCGCCCAAGAAGGTACTTGAGGGGCACGTGTAATCTACATGGATGGAGAAAAGAAGCAAAAGAAAAGTGAGATGCCACCAAAAGGTGCTACAATACATGGCGAAAACCTATGTCGCTTTTGTCGAAGCCCATCTAGCAACGTCTGCAATCCCTATCACACCGGGTACTTCCAATCATCCTGGCCCGGCTTCTCCCAAGGCTTCATCACGTTCCAGGAAGCGCCAAGGCTATGTCTCTTGACGAGCGTCGCAAGGAGATCTTCTAGTTCCACACCTTGTGCCAACATGGGGGCAGTTGGATGCACAGCTGTCACCTGGTCGAATGCGACCTCACCCACAGCCAGCGTACCACTGAAGGCGGCAACGCGAGGAAAGACGGAAACAGCTTGCTGATAGTCGGCCCAGTCTTTATCTGTCATCGGGATCGACACCGAGTAGACGACTTCGGGCAATATCGGATCGTAGGAGAGAGGAGTTTGCAGCTCGACAGGCATGGCGTCGTCGAGGAACCGGAGGACATCTGCGAGGATCTTGTTGTTCTCGCACTGCGATCGGATCATGCGCAATGGACCGAGAAGAACAGATCGCGGTACTGCCTGTTAACAGTCAGTTGAGGTGTTCGAAAGAGGTACGAAAGCCAGGCAAGACTTACACCAGCCGGAATCTTGATCTCGCGTTTGGGAGCCACAGTGACTTGTTCCCTCCCCATCTCCGGTACCTCCAGTGACAACATCTGACGAACAGGAGGAGGTTGACGATGCATAGACTCAAGACTGTACCGATCTGTGTAGCTCAAGCTCTTCGAGCCAAGAACTTCATCTGCAGGGTAGTCGTACGGGTTCCTGTAAGAGCCTTTCTCAGCACCAATCTGGAGCCCGGACGCTGCACGACCGCCCGATGATGCCCCGAGGGAATAGCCGTAGGCGGTTTCATGATCATCAGGACCTTCAGCGAGGCCAATACCAAGCGATGCCAGGTGAAAGCCACCTCCGAAGCTGCCTGTCGTGGGTCGTGGAGCAGGCGGGGGCGGCGCTTGGGCTGGGGGAAGCCGACGCGCGTTGGCAAGACGATCGCCGAAGCTTGCATCTACTCGACGAGTGTACTCGCGACGCGGCTTTGGTGTCTCAGGTGACGAAGACGTCGAAACCGGATTGGCTGGCAGAGCCTTGGGAGTGGTAGGAGAAGACATCTTGCTGGTGATGGATGATGTAAGGAATTAAGAAGAAGATAATGGAGAATTGAGAATCTAAGGACGTTTGGGGTGGTTGAAGAGTTGCGGGGTCTGATTGTGAATTGCTTGAAATATGTACTGATTGGGTGGGCTTGGCGTCAGGTGACTACAGCGTTCATCGAACCCTGGCGCATGTTATCCAAAGTCGTTAAACGATTGGAATACTGAATAGGCTGATTATCTAGCAGGGAAGATATAGAAGGCGGCTATGACACGGTTAGTGGTGCACACGGCTGGATGCTTATTCACCGTTGGGTCAAAGTAGTCGAGCAGGGCCGTTGCGTCCCAATATGGAACTAGTGTCACGAGTTGATCTCTCAAGCAAACCTGCTACACTAGAGTGACTCTTGTTCTTTGGCAAACAACTCACTCAACCCCTCCCACCACACGTTTCGCAGCAGCAGCAGCAGCAGCAACCGCCAGCTCTTTGTCTTTCGACAAAACGTCAACATCATCTGTGAGCAACCCCATATTACTCAAGCTATTACTTGGTCACTCATCTATATCTAGTCAACATGCACATCCGCCATATCAAGTTCCGAAACCCGTTCCGCCCAAGGCACCTCACACTCTTCCAACAATTCGAAGCGCAGGAGAAGGCCGAACGTGAGGAGGCCGCGAAGAAAGAGCGACTTGACGCTCTACGCCAGGTAGTTACATCCCACCATGTTGTCAACGCCGCACTATAGCTTACGGGTTCTAGACGGAAAGCCTCGCCCTTCTGGAGGGCAGAGAGGGCCGTTGGGCCACATTCAAACGAGTGACGCGGACCATCATTGGGCGCCAAAAGCTTGTGTCTAGATTGAGGGAGTGGAGTCGACGGAAGGGCGGAGGGAAGGGAGTTGGAGTCGCGCGTGCAGACGTGGAGGCTCACAGCGAGCCAGAAGACGTGGAAGTGGTGAGGCTGGAGGCCTAAGTGAACATCGGGGAGCGATGAGGATCTGAACAGGGCAGGAGTATGGGTAGGTGGGGAGAGAGCAGAGATGACACAAGCAGACGACAAGGAGATCTTCCAATGACGATATGCCTTGTGGTCCGCCATGATTGAGAGCACAAGATTCATGGAGACGTGCACAGTTATGTGACGAGAGTTTGGAAACATTATATATTAGATGACAAAGCGAGGAAGTTCTTGATCGAAGTCCAGAAGATCGCTTGCTCTAATCAAGAAAACGTAACGTATTCTTTGTCCCGCCCTTCCTGATCGCAGAAAATCATGATCACACAGAACGTCTTGAATAGAGCTCGAGTACTGCAATCATGCGCCGAAATATCTGGATTGACATCCTCACCTTTTATGTCCCATCCCGACGGCGACGCACTGCCAGAACGCCGGCTGCTGAAGAATCAGATTCAACATGGTGTTTATGTAGACATCGTATGGTGTGGTACATGGGCTTCCGGTACCGACGAGCGTACTCGAAGTTCTTCAAAGTCTTACTCCTGGTGGTGGTGGTCGACCGAGGGGTATTGTACGCAACAAGTTACGCGGTGCTGTTGGCCTGATTCACAGCAGAGGGATGCGAAGATTTCGCTGCATCGACCACACCAACTCGCTGGCCAAACTTGAAGCTCATCTTCTTCTCTTTCTTCTTCTTTATCCGCTGACCAGGCTCTCAAACTCAGATTATGAGATTTACACAGCGTGAAGTAACTTTTATTTGGCCGAGCTACGGGATGATAAGGATTGCGAAGGTGCCAATCAATATGGATTTAAGGTCCAGTCGTTCAGCACTCTCTTCACAGGCGGCTGCGTGCGTATCGGATCATCAATCGGTTACAACCCTGTAGCCGGCGCGTCGTCGCAGCCAAATGTACCTTGTGCCACCACCCTCAGTGTACTCTCTGCCTGGTATCTTCTCGCCCTCACTATCGTCATTACCAACTGGGTGTTGTTTCTTATAGGTGTGCTATCCGTGTGTCCGCCGGTCGCGGAAATCGTTGGAGGAGTGGCGCTCGGGGGTGCTTCTTGGGCTATCGCTGCGACCGTACACCAGCTCTTGGGTGCGCTCTTGATATTGGTGCGGCAGCCAAGTGGCTATGATACGTAGGGATGGCGCCCCTCGGTTGTGGTAGGAGTACGGAGAGGTAGAATAGCTGCAGCTGGCAAAGGTCAGTCGTAGAGCTTGGTGAGCAGGAGCCCAATGGAATCATATATTGCGCTCACCCTGTTCCAAGTACATTTCGACTGAGTCATATAGGTGGGCTAGTGTTCTCGGGCCTGTTGTGGATTATGACGGCTTGTTACGAGATTTTGTCGCAGGCACAAAGGCAGCTTGAGCAATTGCGCGGACGTTAATTCGCAAAGCCGAGTTGATTACCTTTTGAAGTCGCTGATGGAATAATGATCAACTATACATGCTTTGTTGAGCAGGAAGGGTGGACCAAGTTCAATGTTGTCGTGCTGCTGAGGTAGAGGTACGCGAGTTCGCGTCGCTGATGTCAGGCCGGCAAGAAACTGAAAATCAAGACATTTTCAACTGCGTTTTACTCTACCCTCGTGAAAAAAAGTGTTCTCGGCGGGATAGAAGGGAGCTTGCGTCTACGTAATTCGAATGCTTCAGTGTAATCAAAACACTGCATAATGGCACGTTGGATACATCGACTCACTCCAAAAGAGTAATGGTACACGTTGGTTTGCAGTCACAAAGCATGAGTTCGAGGATACGGTCTGATATTGTACCAAAGTCTGGGCTTCCAAAACTCAGCCCGGGGTCATGAGCCTATCGCGCCTCAGCGCAACCGGACCTCTGATGATGAGGCCAGGAGGCCCTCGCGGTACTCTGCCCTTCTTCTCTGTCCCGGTAACATGCCCGGAGGCCCTCAAGCTCTCATGATGCCAGGGCAGAACGGCATCGGCGGGCCCATAGGACCTCCCGCCAGCTCTCCTCCCTTTGGCATCTCCGCCAATGCCACGCCTCTCTTCTCCACCACTTCCTTCCCCGCCTTCTTGTACTTGCGGTTGCCGGCGCCTTGTGAAGAGGAGGCCGAGAACCAAAGGCCGCGGCCAGGGAGCTTTCCAGCGGAGAGACGACTGTTGTAAATCAGATCCTGACTCGAATGTGGCACCAATAAACAGTGGACTTACACAACCAGGCACCTCTTGCCTATCCGACCTCCGAAATTGAAATGACCTTCTGGCTCCGGTCCGCGCCTTATCGTGAGGTTGGCGCCGAAGTCGACGCGGGACGAGAGGAAGGACTTCGCAATTGTGAATGGCATCTTGCCAGGACGTGGTATTGGTGATGATGTTTGTGATGTTTGGGGTTTGAAGATGGAACAGTCGCAGCACGGAAGAAGTAATGACTTGGAAATTTGAGGTGAAGTCGAATGCGCTCACCGCGTCAGGGCAAGGCAAACAACAAGACAACATGATTGTCTGACCAATTCACATTCACGAAGAGAAAAAGACATATGAGAGAGATATAAACTAAAAACATGTATTGAAAGTATATAGGAATGTCCCCCTGATAGTAACGACAAGAAACGACCACAGCCGATGATATGCTGCGGCTTGCACGCCGTGGGGTTTTGTTCTGCCCTTGCCAGCCTTCTCTGATCACAGCGACAGAGCGCAATGCTCCATCGTGCCGTTACAAGATGCCTGAAGAAAGAGAAAAAGAGATGGGGAGGGGAGAGCAGGGCTTTTATGGGCGCGGGGGACGCGCTAGCAGTCGCCAGATCAACCACCACGTGACGAAAGATTGTTTGCAGAAAATGATATCGCTGACCCGCTGACGACACAGTGTCGGGCCCGTGCAGGATAGCGTGTGATGCGAACAGAAGATTTGACAACGTTCGCTAGTGATTAGTAGTGATTTGTGTGAGTTCCGTAGGTGAAGGCGAAGTGCGGAATCTCCACCAGAAGAGCAATTGCCCAGCAGATCGGCCCTATCAACATGGTTACACATCCTCAGCTATTTAAATATGTATATTTGTGACTCTACAGAGATTTGCATGGTAGAAAATGGAGGAAGTGTTGTGCTCAGCTGTCCGCACGCTTGTCGGTCGCGCGGTGCGTAAACCACATTCACCAAAATCAAAACCACAACAACAGCCAGATTATTTCACAGCGTGTCCAATGGCTTATCCTGTAAACTCACGAGTATATTGGAGTCCTTTGCGATGTGGCATTGAGGTCGAGATGGACACTGTGCTTGTTGACGTGGAGGAGAGCTTCTGTACCACTCACCAACTAACGCACCAAGTACATCGAACAGACGGTGAGAAACAACACGTTGTAGCCATTGGACTCAACCTTAGTCACCTCAACGCTTGCATACGTGAATTTAAGCATGGTGAATCAAGCCCTCGAGTTCGCGTGTCTTCCAACAAATTCAGAGATAACAACATCAACAAACTCAAAGACAACCCAACAAGCTCACAGAATGTCACCATTTCACAGCAGTTCACATCGAGAAGGGAAAAACAGTATCAGTGAGAAAAAGGATGTATTCAAAGCTATCTATGTCCCACCGCTCCTCAGGTCCGACAAACAATAAGGATGTAAGCAGATACACATCAGAGGTGCAGGTGGTTTTGATCTTCCGTCACAGCTCTTCCAGCGGTACAGCAACGAGGTGCTTGTCCCGTCGGTGGTATGTGAGGAGTAAGAGAGAGGGGAGGAGGCTCTTTTATACCTCGCTGGCCGGCGTCGGAAGAACCCCTACCGTAATCCACTAGCCCCTTTGACGGCTCTTGTTCGGGGCCCGGTAGTGAGGTGGGAGAATGGGCTAGTCCAGTTCGAGCCTTGGCTGAGGAGCGTCACTTCACAGCTGCGAGGTTACCCCGCCGTATTTCGACCTCTCCTACCTCCAATCACCTCCTTCAACGGGTTCCTTACCCTACTCAAGCTCTAACCTGTCCACTGTTTCGCCGCCATAATGGCCAATCCCTCCCTTCAAGCTGCCATCACCTGCAAGCATGGCACCACCCCCTCTGACGATGTCACAACAGCCGTCACGAAGCACGTGGGCAAGATGATTCTGGAAGATCGCAGGATCAAGGACAAACACCACTTGCCCCCTGGCTTCCTTCTTCCGGTAGCCTCTGGAGTCTCTTCTGCTCGTCCCCGCGTGCTTCTACGACGCGCCGAGAAGCACATGGAGGAGATGACCGATAAGCACAAAGCTGATTCGAACAACAACAACAACCCCGAGCTGGCCAAAAGCCTCCAGGCGTTCTACATCGACAAGCTGACGCGTATCGGTCATGCGCTTCCAGAACTGAAGGTGCACGCCAGTAAACCGGAGGCGAGTGAGGAGTACCGTCGAGATGTGCAGCGCTTGGTGGACATCATGAGTGGTACTAAAGTGAGCAAGTAACAGCCTGGTAAGTTGTACTTTGATTCGTTTCGAGCTGAAGAACTGTTCTGACCACAACGTCGACAATTCAATTAGGCTTCACTGACCGAGAGTGAGTTACCTTGGACAGGTTATTGTTCCAAACCCATATCCACTTTTCGACTTCGCTTCGAAGTATGGCAGCAAAGAACCGGGAACAGGGAAGTGCGTCTCTACTTGAAATGTTTCTGTGGTGGATCTCGATACCCTGGGTAGAGGCGTTTGGCGTTTTTGAAGGGAAAGAGACATGTGTCCTTGGAGAATACATCTACCATCGACATTCCATGGTATATAATTTACTGGAGACAACACTCAGTGATTCACAACGTATGCATGACTAGTACGGTTCAACATTTGTATTATATTTGATGAGTCTTTCTTTCTCTCCATCTCCCTCTCAATTTCGATACGTGTTGGTGAGCAGTATTTTGGTGATGAGACCCATTTTCTGCATCTTTTCTGCCAATGAATGCCTCTGTGAGCTTTTCTTAAGCTTCCGCATCATGCACGACGTGACGCGGGCTCGTGACATTCAACTTGGATTTCGCAAGATGTGGAACAGTTTCTTGAACATCGCACAGTGAGTTTATTCAACACATCCAATCTGTGATCATGGATGGACAAAAGCCTGACTATGTAAGGGTATGGTATGAGTATACTTGGTCCATTCCTGTGCCATATGTACGATATCTATCCCATGGTCCAATTCCTGTTGGTCCTAGTATCTCGCCTTGTTTCCTATACTCCTACCAAGCGTTGCTCATCTCGCCATCTTCTTCACGTTCTAGAGTCCTGATAGATGTTCCTGACGTGTTCATGAGCCCCAGATGTTGTACGAGTCGCAGTCCGCCCGCTTGTATCAGGCAGAAAGCGCTGTCTCGTGGATGATGGTATTCGGAGGTACATTCTCAGCCGAGGCGCGGGCTGCTGTGTTTGGGTAGACACACGGGTGTGATTGATGACTGGAACGTCCGATGAGTAGAGGCACGTTGTACGAATATAGTGTTGGCAGATTCTCTTCGTCTGAGAGTTGTAGCAGGATAAATGCGATGCGCGTTCGTCTGAGTAACGGGATTTTTTTGCCTGGTTTGAAAGTTCGGATAAGTGACATTCTTGATCATTGCGTATCGGAACTAGGCGTATGGACTCGAGGTACTCACCGCCTATAAGAACAGTGTCTGCTAGATACTGGAAGAGAACAGAGCCATTTTTGTCTGGAAGCGTAGTCCTGCTCACAAAGTCGTGACTGGACAATGCGGGTTTGCTCCGCAGTCTGGTCGCACTACAAAGTACGGTAGCGTTCTTGTCAAGTACGGATGTTCGATTCAGAAACTCTGTCCCACGTATCCATTCCCGCTGTAGCGAACAAAGAGGAGATCGTGACTCGAATCAACGTGTAGAACTGACAGTCAGGTTGCGCGGACGCGTCAAAGTGCAGATTGCGCTAGAAAAACGCGCATGAGAAAGCCTTTGGTTGTTACTATCAGACTTTGACGCACCATAGTGACTGTAACCAAGATTACGGGAACTCGAGTATGTGACCCGCCACGTATGGCCTTTGACAGGCTCTGTATTTTGCGCAGCGCATACAATCAACCTAATAGCGTGTGGGAGCCAGGAGGGGTTTGGATAATGTCGAGCATCGCTAGGCGTGAACGATCGACTAGTAGCAGCTGCTGGAAGACATCGCATAGAGCGTCGGGTTGGCCATGCGCGGCATCTTGACGCCGAGCTGCAGGAAGGCGGAGAGAGAAGGTCTTCGAGGAGTGCAAAGCCCAAATCGCGAGCGAGGTGGGTGGCTAGCTGGCGCGTTATCTTGTCTGACCTTCAATCGACCTCGGCTTTGGATATCACAGTTATGTTATTAGACTCTTGTGTAGGTTGGAAAACCAGATGCTTGGATATAATTGAGGAGTATCATCGATACCATAGGAAGCTTGTGTATCAGGGGAGCTATAAATGACAATGAACGTGTCTGTATAAACTATCATCGAACCTTGGGTTGAGGCTGGAGCCAATCTAATGTTGATCACGATTCTGCATCAAAAGGTCAAGTGGTACACGTATGTACAAAACTCTGGAGAGCGAAGGCAGGATCTTTCCAATCCAGCATGATCTTATTTGTTATCGGCATGTCTAACTGCGCAAAAGTCCCAACCAAACTCCGTCTTCATGCCCGTAGTCCCTCATATAATCCTCACTGACATGCTCGAAAGAGCAGAGGTCCAACCCAAGATTGCAACTCATATCCTTGTGCCTTCAATCAACCCCGAAACTCCAGGCTACCAGCGCGAAGACCGCCAGCAGGAACAGCACAATTGTGCCGACGAAGACCGCGATGACTTCCACGTGCAACATCACATGGAAGAACCACATCGTTCCCAGCGGGAACACAATGATCTCCGGCATTGTGACGGAGAAGAGGGGGAGGCGTCGGTGGCGGTATTGATGTCTTCGTTATCGTGCGATGCGGAATTTGTGCGTGGCTAGCTTTTGGGATGGTGGTGAACACTAATCAATGGTCAGTAAAAGAATGAAGAGCCATCTGAAAGTTACAGTACCTGTCTTAAGTTGGGTGTTCGCCAAATACTGGCAAGTCCATGAGGGCGTTGAATTGATCTCGCTGTCGTGCCCGAAGCGGACTAGTGGGTGAAGGTAAGCGCAAAAAAAACTGACCTTCATTTCATCTTCACCCCAGAATATTTCTTGTCATCTCGGGACTTGGACGAAAGGGAACTGAGGGTTATAAGTGCCGCAGGAAGAGTTGATGACCTCATAGCCAACGCGAAGTACAGATCAAATTTCCGATAACTTCTGCTTGGCTTAAGAGTCAGTCCGTGAATGTTCAACTCGCTTGGGGACTGACATATATCAAAGCAGTAATTATTCATAAAGCTCCAAGCTATTATGTTGTATGTATCCCTTCTTTCCACCTACGTATCGACATCATATGAAAGGTTATTTCCGTGACCGTTTTCTCCTCCTTCTCATGGAGAGAATTCCACCAAAGCTCGTCAGTATAAATCAGCCGTAAAGACTTAATATCTCAACAGAAATAGCGTATCCAGAACCTGAGCTGACTCTTTGAGAACATTGCATGCTTGCTGTTACGCCGACGACGCATAGTACATAACCTAATAATTTATGTCTTGGAAGATCAAGAATACCTCCTTTTGGCTTCATGGCGATGGCTCAGTTCTTCTGACTCTTCCATAAACACCAAGTTCAGTTTGTTACCATCCATCTACTCAACCTTGACTTTCAAATTCGACATCTTTCTGTTACTGATGCCTGCACCAACGCCGTGGAGGTATTCTGAACCTTGCGAGTTCTCCGCTTGCGCAAAATGATGATGAGCAGATACGTCGCAAAATTGGCTACAGCAGAGTACACAGCTATCTTTGCGTCCTCATATCAGAAGCCATATCCATAGCCATGTCGAAAGGCCTCAACTCAATTGAGGATGCGTCGTCTCTGGTTCCTTTTAGGCAAACTTCGTCGGCTTTCATGCGTGTCTTTGAGGCGTTCGACATCAGTAAACTGACGTATTCGAGGCCTTCATTGGTTGTAGATTGTACTTCAGCGTATGGATTCCAGATCTTCGAAGCATAACGCACCATTCTGTCGACGGTCAGTAAGCTTTGGTAGGACGCTCCCATATCGGTGACATGACTTTGGTAAGCAATGCTGTTACCGGATCCGTGTCTGTCAAACTTTGTAATCTGGAACTGCGAGTTATTGGGTGGTTGCTCGACGAAGTCCATGAACCGCGCAACCATATGAGGTACCAAATCGCCGTCGTGGTTGATTGCGTTACAGTTAAATGTATCGAGCCAACTATTGGGAAGGATCAAAACATTAGAAATACCAAGATTATCTTTGAACGACTCGGGTTCTCTAGGTCAGTGCAAGATGCTTTCTTTCTTGGAAACACCAAGATCCGTTATGTTCGATTCCACCACAGTCGAGCAGAGTGATTCTAACTTGACGGTCGAGGGACCCCATCACGCATCGAAAAGGCAGTCCACTATAAGTGAAGCCTGTTCGTGACTGTCCGGTGCATCAGAAAGTTCCGCAGGTGATGAAAATACTGGCAATGTCGAACCACTGGAAACGCGGTTCACGAGCGGGGAGATCCTTCAAGATTGCCAAGTTTGCCATGGAGGCGTAGCTTTCTAATCCTCGAGTCTCTTGCTATGGAGCTTGTACCGATTGCCAGTTGATGTCAGGGAAGCTGGCACCATCAGCGTCGTAGATATCGAAGTCGCACTGCGAGTATAAAATGAGCTGATAGATTGCTGATCTTTCTTTGGAACTCAATTGAGGATAGTTTGCTTCGAACAATGTGCCAGCATTGAAGCTTCAGATGTGACCAACACCCGCCCAAGGAGATGACACCAAGTAATGTCGGCGTTGTAGACCCCCGCAGTGAAATATTCCTGCTGAAATCATCCGTCGCAGGGCTCAAAATTTGCGAAGAAATGACACGCTGGAAGTCTGAAGCGTTGGTCGTAACTCTGTTCACGTTGCTATATCTAAACCACATTCTGGTCTCTAGCCATTGGTTCACGAGATTCAGCTCAGCAGCCGGGCAGTCAAATGCTTAGACAATACTCTGGTCAAGGAATCTCGTGCGATTTCTGAACGGCCATCCATCTTCTGGTTCATCTGCCGGCGAGTAGTTCTAGGCTCGTGAAGGGGTAGATTGAAATATCCTTTGTAAGTCTTTTTGCCGTAAGGATTTTTCATGGGCCAATGCGAAAGAGTGGGAATGGTTGTAATAGCTGATAAGGAAGCCAGGGTAAGTTTAAATTTTGTACACCAGAGTAGCAAGAGGTCGATACTACCCCCTACTCCTATCACACGCGGCGCATCAAGGAAGCCAAAAGGCATATCCTGCTTAAGGAGGCGATTGCGAGGAAAGATCACGAGATAAGAGAGAGACCCCAATACTAGAATTCTCGTACAACTTAGCCGCAAATTGGAGATAGTTCACTGATGCATGGATAGACAGTGATCTGCCATTACCAAGTAATAGCTGCTTGCATGGAGTTGAACCATTCGGCAACAAGTAGAACTGCTATACAGTAAAAATGGTATCAATCAGACGACAAAATGATGTTGACTCATCACCACATTATCTATCACTCTCGAACGCAGATGGTGCTGCCCATCATAGCGCCTCTCTGCCTGGACAACCACACAGCCACTTCCCCGCGGCCCTCGAACAAGCGAACCTTGAGCAATCCACATCAACCTCATCAGATCCCACAAAATCTCTACACCAAACCCCAAGACCAAAGCCAAGAACCCCCATCAACCCACCCAACCAGCACCCTCCCTAAATTTCGCCGGCCTCCCGCGCTTCCTCGGCCGCTCACCATCCAGCCTCACCTCATCCATCCCGCGCTTACTAAGCTTCGACGGAGTATGCGCCGGGGGCGTGCTCTGCTGTTTAACCGGGATGAGAACCATGAGCAGCCTCCGTCGTACAGACGATCTCATCGGCAGCGATGAGTGCGGTTCTGTGGGTGGTGGCGGGGTCTGGGGGATGGAGTCGGCTTGTACGAGGTCCAGTTCGTCGGGGCGTTCGGAGGAAGGGGGGAGTATGGGGAGGGAGGGCGAAGCGGGGGCGGGGGCTGAGCTTGGTATTATTGGGGAGGGTTGGGGAGGGGCTGTTGTCTTTTCTGCGGGTTGTGGTGGTGGGGGTGGTGGTTGTTCGACCAGGTCGTCTTGTGTTAGCTCGATTACTTCGCCGTAGTCGGATGTGGAGACTGAGAACGACACTGGTGGTGCTAAGCTCTGTATGTCGTGCTCGATTGGAGGAGGGTCGACGGCTGGGACGTCTGATTCTGCAGGATTGGGTGCTGGGGAGTTTGATATTGGTGTGCGAGCTGCGGTCGGACTTCTTGTGTTGAGTTTGATCTCAGGTATGTCGAGCACTGGTTTATCCACTTCTTCAGGATGGGGGACTGTATGATCGAATGCTGGTGTGGTTGGTTCACGCTGCGAGGCGAAAGAACTAGGCGGTGATGGTGTCCAGCGAGCCAGCATCTCTGAAGGACCAAGAACTGGCTCGGGAGCTGGGACTGCAATCGCCGGTTGTGGCCTGGGTTCAGGAGTTTGTTCCGCAGATTCCTTGCCCTTCGTCGGTCTATTCTTCAGCGCCCTCTTTTTCTCAAAACGCTTCCTAACGGAAATGGGATTGCCAGAATCCGGGCCCTTGGAGAGATTGTGCAAGAGCGGTGCCAATAGTTCGTTCTCCTTCGCATACATGACATCGATCTTGTGGCCCGGATCGAGTGAGTATGACTTGAACTCCTCCCACTTTGCGAAAATTCTAACCTGCTCATTCTGTCGATACGCATCGATAAAGTCGATGATGTTCACGTAAGGTGCAGCTTTGAACTCAAGTAGGCAGTCGTGAATGGAGACACCGGGCTGTTTCCTCGCCGCCCGCAACATGCCTTGATAGATAGTCAATGTCTGATCATCTGTGAGGACAATCTCTCCATGCTCATCTATCTGATTTTCTGATATCCCGCCGGGCAGGTAGTGACGGATGAGTTCAGCATATATGGCATCAATCTTTTCTTTGCGGCTCTCATGCGGATTCCAGGTCGTTTGGGTTGCTGCGTAGAGCTTCCACTCATCGTTAAACGTAATCTTGAGCGTAGAACCTGCAAACGCCCGATACGACCTTGCGAAGAGTCGAATTTGTGACTCAGGCACACGGGATGAGCACAAATAGCTAACAGCTGCCGTGCGGCCTGAGATCTTCTTAAACACGGCTCCTTTGAATCCATCGACCTGCTCTTGCGCTCCACCAGGACCAGCCCAATCACTGTAAAGACCCTGCCGTCTGCCTCTGGCGACAGCATACCAAGAAGGCGTACACAAAGCTTGTTCGAAATCCGCGAGTTTGAGGCCACCATTCCGGTCAGTCACATCGATTGTAGTGCTGTTGTGTCTCTTTTCATCCTGCTGGACTGCATCCACACGCTCACGTTTTACCGGGAAAGTCGCAGGCCCAGGAGTAGAAACCTGCGGCCTTTGCCACTGATTCTGCGGCAAAGACTGCAGCGGTAATACTGGAGTCTCTACTTGTGCAGTAGGGCGAACTGATCCATGCTGCGTCCTCGGTGGTGCAGATTGTAAAGGCCGTCTTGGAGACTCTCCTTCCGGAATGGGGCGAACAACTCCATGCAGGGCCCAATACTCAGCATCCTCCTGGTTTGTGAATGATTTGTTTCTGTTGAAGGTCACGGTATCAATCCGCTTCTTGACTTCATCCCATGCTCGGTAGACGCCGCGGAACTCAATGGGCTGGTGAATAGCGTAGTATTTCGAGTTTGGTTGCGTGACAGATTGTGTGATAGATGGGGATTCCATCGTCTAGCCGATCTCCCAAATTCAAGATGGAGTGGGTTCAGTGGCGAATCGAGACGCGTCGCGGTCGCGTTGACGTCAATGCGCGGACCTCTTCGATTGCGCAATAACTTATGCGAAACCTTCGAATTTCAACCAAGGCGGGATTTGGCAGATGTGCAGGGAGAGTATCAAACGAGTCAGCCCTCGAGATGTTGCTTGAAACAGTCGATGAGGATGCGATGCATTGGTGGTGGCGATTGAACGGGCTCTTCTGACGAGTCGCGTCACTCGTTCACAAGCCCCACTCTTTCTCGAGTTCAAGGACGGTCCAGTGTCGCGAAGTCACGACACAAAGACTGAAGTTGGTTTCCAAAAACTAGTCAATTCGCTCGTAATGCTTCGTTGAAGCGTAGTAAAATCATTATAAAAGCTATTGAAACATCCCCGCTTGTATCTCAGGAGATGAAGCCATCCGTCACAAGTCGTGTACCTATTGACTAATGCCTCTTCACCCTCTTCACCCTCTCAACGGCAGCACATGCTGCACAAGACAGCTCTGCCTGCAAAGCGGACACTCAGGCTTCTCCCTCGCCCAATCACTAATACACCCCCAGCAAAACACATGTCCACACGTCGTCACGCTCGGGTCCCGCATCTCTTCCAGACACAGCGTGCACTTCCGGTTGCTCTCTCCGATCCAACCCATCGTGTTTTCGTCTTCCAACCCATAGTGCGGCTTATTCGTAGCAGGAGTATGTGTCCATTTCTGCAGATCCGAAGGCGGGATGGCAGGGGGCGCTGTCGGCGCATCGAAGAGCAGCGCGTTGTTCTCCGAGTACGAGTTTGGATCGAGCGAGACTTCCACGCCGCCTCCAACCACGGCCGAGGTCCCTGCTGCTTGGCCCAGATGTGCTGCGCTGCCTGTGGAAGAGGTCATGGTGTTGTGCAAGTGCAGGTAGCCCTGTACACCCATTTGCAGCACAAGTAGGACGCCGAGAACTTCGTAGCCAACGCGCTGATCGCTTTCTTGTACTGAGCGCGTGAAAATGTATCGCAGGCCCCAAATGCGCTTTGAGAGGTGGTAGTAACTGCCGGAGAAGTAGAAGGTTGCCAGGGACAGGGCGTAAACGGGAGAGGGCGACGTCATCGTGTCGAGATGTGTAAGGATATAGTTTTGTAGGCGCATGCCTAGGGGTTGCGATGGGCTCTTCTTGCCGCTCTCTTTCGCGACGTGTAGCGCCTTCGCGTGCTGTCGCGCATAGCTTCGGAGATTCGCCTCCAGCTTCGCTCTTATCCTCTTCCTGAATGCTGGCAGCGCTCTTCCTAATAAGTATGGCCCCAATATACAGCTCAAAATGTATCCTGCTCTTCTTCCCAGCGCTGGTAGCTGCCCTGTCTCATTCTCAACCTGCACAATGTCGCAATACTCTTCTCCCAGTGTTCTGTTCCCGATGGCGGTTGTGAGGCCGAGATACAACAGCTCGCCAAGAACTCGAGTCTCGGATATATACGTGTGTGCAAATCGGGCGCCGTATAGTTTGCGCAGGAGTGAGGAGAGTTGTTCAAGGAGCACGCCGCTGAAGTAGGCGTCTTTCTGGTGCGAGCGGATGATATCCGGGGAGGCCGCGAACGGATACGCGTAGCGCTTCGGGGAGGCCATTGTGACGCGACGAGAATATTGGGGAGATGGACGCAGCTTTGATGTTGTTATGCGGTTGTCAACGTCGGCGCATCGGTGGTGAACCTCGGCTTGTGATCGAGGCCTCGACGAGCAGGGGCCACGCGGTCCGTCCTTCTCCTTTCGACTCAGCCGCATCCATTCACCTGATTTTCGTCGGACCTGTTGTAAAAGTCGTACTCTTCAGAGACAAGTATATTTGTTTGTCTCAAATATTGAGCTTTCATCTTCTTAAAAATCCCGTTCTCATTCCCTTCGCTCAATGAATTTTCTAAGCTCATACGTCTACTAAGGGAAGAACTTCAGACAACAAAAACCATCAAATGTAGAACTGATTTCCACACTCCTATACTATATTCTCTGAGTAATCACCACACTTCTTTGACGAGATGGAAACTCGTACAACTTTCGCACTCATCACTCACAATACCAGAACGATTCGCACCACCCACTCCACCAATACCACTACTCATCCAAACCACAATCTCCAAATCCATTTACATGCACATACTCAAATCCCCTCCAGCTAATCCAATCCCCACAACCAACCATCTAGAAACAAATACCAAACCCATCTACACCCCACCAAAACCAAGAACACAGACACCAGCCAAGCAGTATCAACACATCTCCCAACTAACAGCTTTGAAAAACATCCAGAAATATATCGATACTGCAAAAACCTCAACAGTGCATGTTATAAGAAACCCGCCATTTCATACGGCGTCGTCTCAAAAGTTGTTCTTATAAAAGAACGAATTTTTTTATTCTATCCTAGTGTAAGGTGAACGTCGAACGTTGGTATATCAGGAAAAGCAGGACCCATCTCGAGGACTCAATCTAATATCCACATTTCACCTCATCTCAGCAATGGAAAATAATCCACCCCAATCCTTCCCAATGCAACCATCATCCCACCATGCACAATCGCCATCCATCCACAGCGTCTCTATATCTCCACCCCATCCCATCCCCCCGTGTTATACCCACCTACCCTCCAGTCTATCTTCCCTCCCTCCCATCCCATCCCCTCCAATCTCCTTTCTTCCCAAGCCGATATGCCCAAACAACCACAGAGAACGCCCTGTTCCACCCGCGCTGACGCTGATGCAAATATACGGATAAACCCGCTTGTGCATAGTGCGTAGTATCCACACGTAGCCAGTCAATCGATCCAGATCAGCCACCGCTCCTATTTTCCCCGCGTGAGGAAAGTGAGGAAGCGGAGAAGAAGGGCGTGGGAAAGAAGGGGAAAAGGAGGAAAGAAGGCGAGTTGATTGAATCTAACTGACACTTTCTACGCATACAAAGAGCGAGAGCGAGAGTGAGAAAGTACACAGCACCTTCCCGTCAATAACCCTTTACTCACGCGTCTTCGAACAGACACACACAAAACTCACATCTTCACCACCCACAAAACAAGAAAACAATAAAAAGTGCATAACACATCTCCCATTTCATCCCATTCATCATGCCTCATCTACTCCACCCCCTCCCCCTTCCCCCCCACCCCCACATACCAACCTACCCAACAACCTCCTCACTCTCCTCAATAATCTCCTCAACAATCTCCTCAATCTCCTCCCCATGCCCATCCTCCGCCGCGCCCGGCTCCTCCCCCCTCGCAGCACTAAGTTCAATATCCGCACCCTCATCCTTAAGCCTCTGAGTCCACTCCTCTCGCCAAGCCAGCCACTCCTGCAGCATCTCTCTACGAGACTCAACAACCGCGCGATTCGCCGAGCTCTTCTTCGCGACGTCCTGCTCGTCAAAGACCTTGGAGTAGTTGCGGAGGTTTTTGCGGATTTCGGCTTGTTCTTCCTTTGCGAGGAGGGTGGGCGGGCGGGGACGCCAGAGGAATTGCTTGAAGCCTTCTATGCCTTCTTCGCGGAGGAGTTGGCCGCGGAAGTCGTAGAGGTGGTAGCCGTTTTCCATCTAGTGGGGTGTTAGTCTATGGTGGGATGGAAGGAGATTCTGTGGGGACTTACGCGGTGGCGGAATGCGCTGGCGACGGTGGCGACGTAGCGACCTGTGGGGTCCCACTCAATGTCTGTAACACCGTAGTGCTCAGCCGTGTCCATGAGCTGCAGGCTGGCGTTGAGCTCCTTCTCGCCCTTCTCAGTCTCGTCCTTGGGCTTCTCGAAGCTGAGATCCCAGAAGTCGAGCTCGAAGGACTGTTGCGACTGGAGGGTAGCTACGACGACGAAGCGGCCCTTGGGAGACCAGTAGATAGCGTTGCTGTTCTTCTTGTCGACGGTGCGGATGTGGCGGAAGTTACCGGGAGCACCTCCCTTGAGCTTCTCCGGGGCGAAGAAGGAAACGGCAGTCTTTGGCGGTACGGCGGCCTGGACAACGACTTCACCCGTGGTGATGAGGACGAAGCGGTTACCCTTGGGTTCCCACGCAAAGTTGATGACGGCATCCTTGATCCCATCGACGACCTCGACGGGTACACCCTTCTCGCGGACTCGGAAGATCTCCAGGTTCGTGGCAAGCGACTTCTTGGACTTGGAGTGGCGGTCGACCTTGACGCAAACATAGGCGGCCTCGGATTGCCAGTGCAGCTTGGCGTCTGAGACGTTGAACAGATTTCGGGTACGGACAATCTCCTTGGAGGGAACGGACATGAGACCGACCTTGGCGGGGTTGCTGCCGAGCTCAGGAGTCCAGTAGCAAAACAGCTGCTCGTATGTCTTGATGCCGTCACGTCGGGGAGTAGCAGGCGCCCACTCAAAGTCCATGACACCCTCGATCTTGATGGAGGTCTTGTCGAGCAGGTTCATCTTGGGCAGCTCGTAGATGGAGATGGACTGGCCCTGCGTCATACGGGCAACGTACGTGTCGTCAGACGACCACTTGAACGTCGGCCACTGCATCTTCTTCTTGACGGGGTTACCGTCAGCATCGATACCGCTGGGGACGTCGATGGTGGCGAAAGAACGCAGGGGCTTGCCAGTCGCAAGGTCCCAGATGATGTAGTTCTTGCCGTCGTCATCAACAGAGAGCGAGGGGACGGGGTTGTTCTCGTCGACAACAAGCGGGCGGTGCGACCATGTGGTGAGGTAGTTCTCGTTGGGCGAGTAGTCGACCAGGTTGACGCCCGGATGCGCAAACCGCTTCTGCCTGCTCCACGCCTTGCCACCCCACAGCTGCACACCCTGGGCGTGCATCGAGGTGAGGTAGGTTCCCCGCGGCGACCACTGCACAAACGACTCTGTCCAGTTCTCGCGGTCCACGACCACCTCGGGCTGCTCGTCCTTGTCGTTCCAGAAGACGCCGACCTTCTCGCCGCGGTACATGGCGATCTGGTCACGGCTCTCCGTGTCGCCCAGCCACCAGCGCAGATGTTCCTTCTCCTCGAACGGCGGGATCTCAGGCTCGTGGTACTCCTCGTCGATGCGGCCCTCCTTTCCGTAGCGGTCGATGTCGGTGAGCTTGTTGACGGCCATGACGTGCTTCTTGTCGAGCGCGGTTCCGTGGAGCTGCTTGACAGCGGCAACAGCCTCGGCGGGCGCACTGTACTCAACAAAGGCATATCTGGAGTCGCGTTAACCACAGCTCTCTCCCACGCACAACCATCCCCTCAACATACCCCTCAGTCTTGCCGTTCTCGCCAACAGGCATGTGCACGCCGTCCTCCTTGACCTTTCCGACTGTGTTCAGCTTCCTCAGCACGAACTTGACCAGCTTGGCCTTGCTGTCCTCGGGCACCGTCGGCAGGCCATCAATGACGACAAATGCGTCGAGGCCCTCGTCGAGGCGCACTTGGAACTGTTCCTCGATGTCGGTAAAGTCGATTTGGGACTCATCGAATTCGTCATCCTCCATGGGGAGGTTCTCGTAGGAAGGCGCCATGGTTGTGTGTGTGTGGGTTGTTGGGTGGTGGGGTCGCCGCGCTCAAAGTTCGCGAAAGGCAATGCACATTCGATCGAAATTCAGTGCCCCACTGTGTGATCACGTAAGCGCGTGCAAGCTCAACATCATTCACTCACTTTATGGTGGACTCAGTTGGCATATCATAGAAGACAAGTGTACACTCATATGGACAGTTTGAATCAATACTTAACTTCTCAATATCTTGACCCCCAACATCCATTCCCTGACGATGATTTACAATTCCACCATTACTCATTACTGTGTACAGCCCCAACTCGACTCGCAAGGCCAAGCAGCGACCAAAAGTGACTCAAAACACGAGCCGACAACGACGACAACGACAACAACAACAACAACAAACACCGCTGAAACCCATCCCAGCCCATGCACACACACAGAACATGCAGCGTATCCAAGACGACACAAATCCAACACCAGTCGAAAAAGCGACCCACTCGTCTTTCGAGTCCCACTACCCACAACGCCGAGCAATCCACCCAGTCCCGTTATCCCGTCGAAGCCCATCGCACGATTCCGCACTGCGTCCACGGAAGGTACATACTAGAAACAAAGAAACACGTAAGCGTCGGCTAGTCCTAAAAGCCGCGCTTACCTTCATACGGATCAGTCGCTGGATTCTTGACCAACCTTCCGCTTGCAGATACGCGTTTCTGCAGCCGGGCGTCCCGCTCTCGCGCTCGCTCGGCGGGACTACTGCCGTTGCCAGCCATGATGCTTGGGAGTGAGGGCAGCTTGTCGATGTTTGGGTCGGGCTGACTTGCTACTATTGGTGTGATTCGCTTGCCCGCGCGCTGGTCGGCTTTGAAGTCCAGATAGGCGCGTGCGGCGAGACTAAGCGGGATTGGTGCTGGCTGTAACGGGAGCTCTGCGCCGTTTTGAAGAAGGAGTTCGGCAACGGGGAAGGGCTTCCGTGTCGGTTGAGGGGTTACTGGTCGAGCAGCTCCAGGAGCAGGGGAGACAGCCGGTGATGCAGAGGCTGATGGCGATGCTGGGTCCGCGGCGGCGAGGGCTAGAAACACAACATGAGTACCTCTTGAACGATCGCGCGCGTTAGGGTTCGCGCGTAACGCCAGAGCATAGAGAACGTTCTGGATGTCGTTCTTCTTAACCGACGCCAACAGAGTCTCCTCAGAAGTCCCGTAGTGAGACACCACAGGGGAGATGGGAGCGACATATGCTCGATCGGCATATTTCGAAGTGATGAAGCGAAGCCTCTGCTCTCGCGTCGACATCGGTCCCGGCTTCAGTGTGAAATCCAGTCTCGCCTCCCAGATCATGTTGCTGACACGGTTGCCAATTTTGAGGAAAATCTCGACAATATCGGGAGTGAAAGACGTGACGTCGAGGGTCAGAGATCGCACTTTTGTAATGTGCGTCCCTAGCGATCGATGGATGCCACTGCATTCGATGCAAATGACAATACCAAGATTGATCGAGACCCAATCGACCTTGCTCTCAGTTCCGCAATCGGCACACACTTTGTTGCCAGCATCCACGTCCCGGATCAGTTTCAGAAGTTTTCCTTCATCGCCAGTCGACTCTTCTCTTCTGTAGCCAGGCCTGTCACCAACCGTGGCATGTCGAGCTGGTGTCTTGGGGGTATAGGTATTCCGATGGCTCGACAATGACGGACTCTTGCCTGTCAACACCGAAGCGATGTCGCGTCTAGTCTGTCCGGGTAGGGAATCAGTCGACGGCCGGCTGGTCTTACCAGCTGACTCGACAGCAGTTTGAAGTGCGTTGTTTACCGCGCTAATCCAGCACCTCAGATCATCTTCGTTCGTGGCCTGGTACACACGCGTGAAATGAGGCGTGATAACCTCAAAGCAAAACCGACGTTCTGCATTACGCGCTTCCCGAACAGAAGCCATGCGGAGATCAATTGGATCCATGTGCAGCTCGAGGCTCTGCTTCCAATTGGTGTACTCCGAGAGCTTCCCTTGATCAAGGACGATCCAGAACCTAGCTATCGTCAGTAAATGCGTATGATGCAAGACTTGAAAGAGCTTACTTGTGCCACGCCTGCTTATTCAAGCCCTTGGGATCGACATGACTCCCCGGTCTGCTCAGTGCCCACAAAAGCCCTTCTTTGCGATGTGCACCCGATCCCTCTTCTACCGGCAAGGCATAGTTCTTCTCCTCGAGGTCTCTGATCCCTTTGAACTTGTCTAACTGCTGGCTCATGAGAGGTAGACTCGCCCTATTCATCTCCGGGCTTATGGGAGACGTGACTGTGGAGCTGTTCATCGATGCCATAGTCTGTGGGGGACTGACAGTGCTGTGAAATATCGGTGCTATACTCCCTTTCCGTCTTGGAATCTCTGCATCTGAGCTGGATGGCAAGCGTGGCAAGACGCCGTTTATGGTCGTTGTTAGTGCGGTCTGCTGGGATGACGATTCGTCGAAAGTCTTCTTGGCCTTTTCCAACACCCGCCTCTTCTCTTCTCGCTCTGTTCTCTGGAGTTGATATTCCTTGTCTGCTTCCTTGACCTCGAGACTCAACAAATCAAGCTGTGGAAGCATCCTCTCGATCTTCTTGGCCGTCTCGAGGTAATTGTTGGCTTGTGCATCGGCATATCTTGTCAGGGCAGACAGCACTTCCTGATCCTTCCGACCACCGTGCAAATCCTGCATAAAGGAGGAATAATCGAATCGCTTCAGCTCAAAGTTCCGCCTCTTTGTTTGGTACTTCGAGTCCGTCTCGACGCGCTTCTTTTCCTTGAGCGAGTCTTGCCGCTGCCCAAGATACTTGCCAAGATATTGATAGTAATCTTTACTTTCTTCCTCAAAATCTTTGCGCTTGGTCTCGGCCTGCTTGATATCGATGGTGTAGAGTTTGTGTATAGGATCAATGATGAGTTTCTGGATGTTTGTGGTATTTGAGCGCTCGTAGGTCAGGATTTCCTTGGCAATCTTGTCGAAGTAGTGGTCGATAGCCGGCTGCACAGCGTTTGCATTTGATGACGAGGCCTCCTTCAGCGCATCCATCAGATCTTTCATGGAATTATTGCACTGCACCTGTGCTTCCATGGCAGCCTCAGCCCGCTTCAGGACCTTCTTCCACCTCATGCGCATGTTGCCAGTCTTCTGCTCCAGCGATTTCATGGTCGCTCGGAAGAGAGGGCCATCGTCACTGTGGCTGAGGTCTTCGCCAGGCCGCGAAACATCCAGCTTCACCGGTGTGTAGTTGCTCGTGAATGTCGTAGCCTGACTCGGTACCAGCCCTAGGTTGTGTTCGGGTATCGCATCGAAAATGGGCGACCTGGGTGGCACGGCATCCCAATCCTTGTCATCGTCGGCCGAATCGCTCACTCGCGAGCTCACCGACTGGGCAGAAGGGACGCGCAACCGGGGCGGCACACAAAGTTCGAGTCGCGGTATTGGCGATTTGGGGCTGTGGACAGGCCGTGAGGTGTCTACGGTCGTCAGTCTCAAATCGTAGAATAGGGAGAAGAGACATACTCTGCACCCAAAAGGCAAAGTTCGCCAACGTGTCAAGCTTATGCGCCCGCTGGTCGTATTCGACAAACTGGATACTGTCAGCAACAGCGAAAAGTGAGGAAATCACAGCGCACTCACACTGCAACTAGTACGCCAGCCTCCACCCCGACCCTCATTCGTCTTCGGCGGACTCCATTTCCAAGACCAGTGAAACTGCACCGAGGAGCTCCCGCCCGTCGAATAGTCCCCAACCAGCTCGACCTGCGGGTTCTTGTGGAGATTGGGGTTGGCGTGGAACTCGCGCGTGACCAGGTTATCCAGCTCGCGCGAGCTCGAGGCAAAGACGAACGTCAGTCCATTGACGACCGTGTCGATCAAGCCGGATTGTGCAGCTGCGGGGGCGCTATTTGTGTTGTATATGCTGGGCACAGCCAGATGCTGGCGAAGGATAAAGGTAAAATTGAACGAGAGCTCCTCGTCGTTGGGCAGGCGGAGGAGGAAGGCTGGCGGAGCGTCGGCGGACGCAGGGGATTCGGGGTCCTAGATTGGCATTTAGCATGGCCCACGGCGGCGGCTGCTGTGCTGCAACGGTACCTGGATGTACTCGATCACGCTGTCGTCGCCCAGCTCCCGCTTGGCGCTGTATCTCGTCGCGGGGAAGGCATTCGGCGCGATGGTCAGGAGCGTGCGATTGCGGCTGTTTGTGATGTTGAGCGAGGCCACCGAAACTGGTCCCCCCCTCCCCGTCAGCGGCGCATTCACAAGCACATGGCTGGCGCAAAGGCTAGGCTACATACATCGTGTTTGGTCGCGCAGGAATAGGCCACTTGCGTCGCCGGCCTTGCTGTTGACGGCGCCCATGCCAAAGGATAGCTCGCGCGGGTCTCGGGGTGCAGCTCAGGTCGCGAGGGTCGTTGGGAGCAGACGCACGAGCATGCCTGGCCCTGGCGAGAGGAGGACGGCTCTCAGAGTTTGGCGCGGGCGCAGTCGATGTCCAGGGTCGAGCTTAATTAATATGGGGTACCGGCGCGCGGACGTTTGGGAGGGGCCTTTGAACGGGTTAGCGCTGTTGCCGGGCGGCGGCGGTGGGTAGAGGCGCGCGCGGGGTCGAGGGTCGAGTACGGCTACGGTATGTTTGTTGTGCGAGTTAAAGCTTCTGGACGTCTAACACTGGATGTGGGCGCGGAGTGCGGTGAGAGAGGGGAAGGGAAGGGCAAAAGGACCGACGGAATGTGGTAATGTCGAGTGGCAGTGTCGATCATGCAGACACGCGAGACGCGGGACTCGCAGCTATATAGACAGAAGACAGTAAATCAAATGCCAGATGCCAGATGCATGCTTCGCGCGCACGCTATAGCTACAGACAGCGGGAAGGGAAACGGGCTTTCGGTCACGCAGGAACGTCGATGCAAGACAGCGCCGTTGCATTCAGCCGCCGCCTAGGTACATCACACGTCCCCTTGTCCGTCATGGCCCTTCAACACTCGACAACAACAACAGGCAGAAGTATCGATTTGGAAGCGTGACCCTGGCTGTTTTGGATCTGAGCGCTTTATGCACCGGCGGGCCATGACGAATACGGAGTGCAGCCGCCACATGTCAGATTTGGCAACGGGAAATATGTCAGGCAGTGACAGTGACTTGGGTACATGTGGTCCCGCCCGCCCTATGTAGAGACCCTGCAGCACAGCTATCTCACACGCACAACCAGGTACCACTACAGCAATGCCTTCTACTCTACATCATAGCATAGCATAACATAGCACATCATGAAAAACTCCCAAAACTCCCAACTCCAGTTCCACCACGACACACCCCATCGCGCCCCCCCAAACAAGAAGTGATACCCGATCCGACCAAACCAACGCCCCTGCAAACCCTCCAATCAGAACCCCCGCGGATCCGCCTTACCGCGAACCATCCCACCAAACCACAACATTCCCACTCCACCACCGCCTTGCCGCCCACTACCACACCCAACACCCAACATGACGCTCCCCCTCACCACCCTCCGCCACGCCCTACGCCAACCCCTCCCCAACCCGCGCCTCCTCCAACGCCGCTGGGCCCGCGTCCACGCCGTGCGCCACCTCGCAACCCACGACGCACAAGCCCGCATCACAGCAAAGTACCGGGAGAAACTCGAGCAGCGCGCAAAAGAGCAAGGGTTGTCCGATATCTCGGAGCTGAAAGACGTGTATAGGGAGAAAATTGATCGACTGAGGAAACAAGCCATAGTGCCGGGTGCAACAGGGCCGTTGACACCGCCGCCGTCGCCAGAGCCCGCGGGAGAAGGGATCTTGGAGAGCGCGGCGAAAGCGCAAAAGTCGCCATGGCCGGCTCCCCCGCCTCCGCCGTCGCCGCAGCAGGGGAGGGCGAAATCTACGGCTCCACCGGGCGTTAAAACACTGTCCTCGTTCCTCGACGTGCCTAAGACGCAGGCCCTGCCTGAGAAGGAAATCCAAGCCCTCTGGCGTCTGCGCCACGCTGCGAATCCGCAGTCAATACACTTCTCCGTCCCAGCACACACTTTCACCCAGCTCCTCGAGACCGCGAAACAACACCCCTCCTTCGTGCTGCCGATGCCGCGCGAGGTGCCCAAGGAAGGCAGCAGCAGCAGCGGGGAGTCGGAGACACAACAAGCCGCCGAGCTGCACTATCTGCAATTCGCGCACCCGCATGTTGATACGACGACGCTGCTTTTTACGTCGCTGGGGGAGTTTAAGCTCAGGGGTGAATATGCGAGTCCGCATACGACTGTGACGTTCCATCAGGAGCTTGCGGGGTCGCATAATCTCGTGCTGGGGCAGGGGGTTGTGACGGAGGGGAGGGGTGTTAGTGTGGATGAGGCGAGGTGGCTGGTGATGTGCATGCAGAAGTTCTATGTGCAGAGTGAGGAGGGGAAGGGGAGGGGTGAGCTGCTGAGTATGTTTACAAAGGGGGATACGAATTTCAAGGTTGAGAGGTTGATTGATGAGGCGGAGAAGATTTTGTGAGTGGTGATGGGAGGCATATGTATGATGAATTGTATAAAAGGTATCTGGTGAATGAATATAGACGACGCTACGTAAGTTTACAACATAGAGACATTAAGGCTTTAGCAGCTGCTGATTGTGCAGCCTACTGAACATCTCCGCATTCGCCTTGTGCACGCTTCTCATGACATTATCCGACATACCACCCTTTCACACAACACCGCATCGCTCATGTATTTCATATCGTTCATATCGTCCATATCGTTAAATCGTAAGTGTCTTCCAAATCGTGGGTGTCGTTCATATGGGATGTGTCATGGATACCATCAGTGTCGAATTTTCACTTCGAAACAAGAGCCTTGACGAGGTAATCGTCCTTGTCGATGTATTCGTAGAACTCTGTAAGCTCCGTCTGCCGGTACCACCACACTGCCGGCCACGCGATGTTGCTGCGAAAGTGGCGAACTTGTCCGGGAAGTAGCCTGGATGCATTAGAGTAAGATTCGTACAAAAGCTTGTAAAGAACACATACAAACCGAGGCTGAATCCAAGGCGGTCTTCCTCGTAGGTGTCCTCCACAACACGCCCATCGATATACGGTCCTGTAGACGCCTTCTCGGGATCTTCTTCTTCAAGGTCGTCTGTTGGAGGCAGGAGACCTAACTGGAAGAGATCCTCCTGCAAGTCCATCATTCGCTCCTGGTCTGATTCCAACTCGGCGGGGTACATGGTGCGATCAATAGCTTTATATGCACGGTACTCCCTCGGCCACAAGCAGTGACGACAATAGCCGTCACGAGAAGTTGCTATTTGGCGAGGGCAGGAGCATGAGCGACTGAACGTGATGGAGCGGTCGGTGGCAGGCTTGAGCTCGTAGAAGGTCTGGCACAGGTACGAGGCGAAGTCCGGGGCCACACACGCGGCGTCGTGCATGCGAAGCTTGAAGTGCTTGACTGTCTGTGACTCGACCAGCTTGACGAGGGCCTTGGCTACAGGATGATCATTGAACATGATATCCCATGGACATTTGGCGCCGTAGGACTAGAACAAACGAGTCAGCAATGTCTTGGGTGTAGTTAACAGACAAACGGCACGCACACGGTCAGAAGAGACCAAGACGACGAGGTTCTGCAGTTTGACGGCCCGGCGAGCAATTGCTTTGATGAAGTGTGCCACCCGGTTGGCAGCTTCCTTGGTTGGAGTATCGCAGCGCATGTAGATACCCAGGTCAGTGATCAGATGCATGTACTGCATCTTGATGGGGAACCTCCAGAACATGCCAGGTGAACCATTCTCGCCGGTGCAGAAGACGAACTTGTTCTTGCCATACATGATTGGGAGAGCTTCGTCGTGGTATTTGTGGCAAGTAGCGAGGATCTGCCAGGGGATAGGAATCTCCCTCTGGAACTCATTTGGATCGAGCGGACCAAACGTATTGGCTCCACGGAAGACGGTTTTGGGCCAGACGCTGAGGAGTTCTTGGAAGATCATGAGTCGAATCTCAGTAGGGAAGCGGCGGAGATAGTCTTGCTCCGGCGTTGACTGGCCAGTCACTGTGCGTATGACTAGATCAGAGATAGGGCCGCTAGAAAAAGGAACACCCTCAACTAGAGCGAAACGTGAAAACGCGTCAGACATGGTGAGAGTAGATATGAGTGGCCTATATGCGGTTAGTCTGACGTCCAACTTGGTTTGGAAGTCTGATCACAACTCACCGAATTGAAGCAGCTTGCTGTCAGAGCTCAGTGTACACTTATTGAGTTACTGAATGCCTCAACCCGACACATGCAGATGCGGGGGCAGATTTCAAGTAACTACAACGCTGAAATAATGCCGTCACACTGAACGAGTAACACCTGTGACTTGAATATCAGCAATAGCCTTCAAGAACAGATAACGCTGCTCATTCACGAGTGCGTCGTTTGATGCAACGGCTCATCGTCACTTTGTGTGAGAACGGCAGCACGGCCATTTGTTGGGTCGATGTAGAGTAGAAGCGTACCTCTCAAACACCCGCGAACTCCTTGAAGTACAATAACTGCGAAACGTAACGAAGAACGGAAACGAAGAAGAAGGGAAGTGATGGCGAAAGATGGTGGAGGTGAGAAAGAAAAATGAAATGGTGAGTGAACTCGGCAGACATCTCATTTCCCAGATATGGCAAGCACCACCGTTGGGGCAGGCACGACATGCCTCAATCAGATATTGACCGTTGGTCGGCACCAGAAAGACCATGGTTATAGGTCAGACCTTCATCTGTGTATGAGTTATCTTTTGTGGATTGCTGTAAAACAACCTCGTTTGCATACTTCTTGTACACCCATCTGTTCTGCAAGTAATCACTCGGCTCACGAAGTATTGACTATTCATTCCCTCCAAACACCAGCAACACCACCACCGGGGTGTCACAAAGAATGGCACAACTTTTAGATGTGCTAGCAAGTCACCCTCTTAAGCAGCATGCAGCATCCCAACCGCAAGGTCATTTCTCTTAGAACTCAACATACAGAAAGAACGTTACATAATCTACTTAGAGTACTATCTCCATATGTTTAAGTGAAGATTTGGTCAAGTAACAACGTTAATGTTTTTGTTGTCCTGCTGACATATCTAAAAGTTGTGCCATTTTTTGTAACAGCCCGGTGCCACCCTCATTCCACCTCTACAAGCGCACACATCATCTCTTCACCCGACCATCAATCTGCTTCTGGAAATGCTACAAAACACGCGTCAGTCCCTAACCATCAACACCCCCAACAAAACCCACTTACCTCACAGCTAATCCTCAGCCCCTCCGCCAACCCAACCTTCGGCCTATACCCCAGCACACCCCGCGCCTTCGCAATACTCACATACCGATCCCGACACCCATCGCTCACAACCCCCCGACAAAACATCCCCTCCACCCCCGCCACCCAACTCACACACTCAGCACCCACCCCCATCCACCACGCGACCCCCTCCGGAATCCTGACCTGAAACCGCGGCACATGCCCAAACTCCTTCCACACAGCCAAACACAGATCGCGCATGGGGACCGGCTCGCCGTTCGTAATAAATATTGCCTGGCCCGCCGCGGTCTGCGAGTTCAGCAGGTTGGCGACGGCGAGAACGTGGGCGTCGGCTGCGTTGGACACGTAGACGAAGTCTTGCATGTTGAGGCCCGTGCCGAGGATGAAGGGCGTTTGGTAGGCGGCGATGCAGGCGTGTAGCGCGGGGATGCAGGCTGGGTCGTTGGGCCCGAAGATTGGGGCGCAGCGCAGGGCGCAGGTGGAGAAGTCGTGGGTGTTGGCGGAGAGGACGAGGGATTCTGCTTGGGCCTGGGGAGGTGTGAGTATCGCGCGGTTTGGGGTGTGAGGAGTGGAGAGGTGGGACTTGGGCAGTGGGCAATGGTGTGAAATGGGGTCGTTCAAGTATACGTGTGGTTTGCAAACATAGAGTGCGAACGGAAGAACGAGACGATTCGCGAGTAGATATAAAGTAAATCTCAAATACCTTACTCTCCCCATACGTCGTCTCCGCCTCCCCCGTCCCCCACCGCTCATCAACATTCCTCCAATCCCTCCCAAATTCATCCAGCACCACCGTAACACTACTCGTAAACACCAACCCCTTTGCGCCACACTCCCTACTCGCCGCGACTACATTCCTCGTCCCCTCAACATTAACCTTGAACACTACATCCCTGCCACGCTGCGAATACCTCTTCGCGCCTAGCGGGTACACACCCACGGTATGCACCACAATAGCGGGCCGCGCCTCCTCGACGACTTTCTTGAGAGAAGCGGCGTCGAGGATGTTGCAGCGCACATAGCGCACGAGTTGGGGGAAAGTGGAAGTACCGAGGGATGGGGGGTTGATGTCCAGAACGGTGACAGAGAATCGTTTTGTGGCCAGAAGGGCGGATACTATGGCTGTGCCTAGGAAGCCGCAGCCGCCTGTTACGAGGATGTTTGTTTGCTCCATCGGGGCGTGATGTGGTTGTGGCTTTGTTTCCTTCTCTTGTGTGTTTGTTTGGTCTGGCGAATGCGATACGTTTGTTTATTCTGCTATCAGGGGATCGTATGTTTGGGTTAGTTCTTCTGTAGTCTGGAGATGGATATGATGTGGTAGGGAATCACGAGATGGATATGCAAAGTAGTCGGTCGAATATACGCTTGCCGGATCGAGTCTAGGCTTGCTTGTAGATTCACATCAATCGGGCAAGCCTTACCGACAGTCACACACAATAAATACAGAACTTGAATTATCAGCAACCAAACTTGCCTCTGTAAGCCATCCTTGCTGGATTATAAACATCGTATATATACTGATTCAAACTACAGATTTACAACTGAATCGAACCAAATCGGAAAATTCCAAATTTTACCATTCGCAAATCACTCACTTCCAAGCCAACCATCTCCCACATCCAAACATCCATCTTCAAACCTTTTCTTCCAACCCTTCGAACGAACAAACGATCCATTTCAGGCCAAAACCATCCTTCCACAAGCTCGAAGACTTCCAAGTTTTCAGACAGAAAAAATGAAGATAAACGAACACACCGGTACCTCCCCTTCCCCATTCCCCCCCCCCCTTCTCCCCTTCCCTCCTAAATCTCCCCCCACCCTAACACCCCACCCAGCACTCCTCACCCCGCACCTCCTCCTAGTCCCCTACTCCCCGCACCACGTGCCCACATACCATGAATGGATGCAAGATGAAGTAAATCCCCTCCCCAATCCCTCCTTATCCATCCCTCTTTACGCCCCCCCTCCCTTACCCTTTAACCAACCTAACCAAAAAAGGATCTCCTCACCCAAACAGCATCCCTCCCCCTCTCCCTCGCCGCAGAACACGAAATGCAAGCTTCCTGGCGCTCGGACGGCGATAAACTGACGTTTATAATCTGCGAGGCGCCTCAAGTTCCATCCCTCCCCCAACAAGTTCAATCCCAGCAGAGAAGCAAGATAACGCCAGAAGTCGATGATGCACCGGAGCGTATGATCGGAGACGTAAACCTCTTCCTTTCTCCCGCCGACTCTTCCGACGATGACGAGGGGGGAGATGGGAATGGTGGAGAGGAGGTAGTAGCCGAACTCGAAATCATGATCGCGTCTCCCTCGCACAGGGGTCGCGGGCTCGCGCTCGAATGTTTACTAGCGTTTATTGCTTATCTGCGGCGGAACCTGTCTTCTATCTTGGCGGAGTATGCGGGTGTGAGCGGAGCGAACAAACATGGGCAAAGGGCAAATGGGAGGGTTAAACTAGCGTATTTGAGAGTGAAGATCGACCAGCATAATCTACGCAGCGTGCGGCTTTTTGAGCGATTGGGGTTTGAGCGGGAAGGTGCGGGGGCGAATTATTTTGGGGAGGTGGAGTTACGGCGTCGACTTGGTAGTGAGGATGGAGAAGGAGATGTGGGGGTTGAGGTTGGGTATGGGTTGTGATGATATGTGGTGTGCTAGACAAGTAGAGAAAGAGGGTGGTGCGGCAGAAACAATTTTTCAGCGACTGGAAATCGTGGTAAATCGTACATGAAGATCAAGTTCATGGTTCATACTATCGTGCAGTGCCATTGTTAGGCTGCAATTCCCCACCACCAAGTCACTCCTCCTTTACAACTTCTGGTACTCGAGCTTGCCTTCCAATTTCTTCGACTCGGCCATCTTCCGCACGGCCTTGTTGAAGTCGTCCTGGTTGATTGCGTCTCTGTAGTCCTTGATAGCGAAGAGACCCCTATATAAAAAGTTAGCATGTTGTCATGATATGAAAGAAGATGAAAAACCTACGCCTCTGTGACGATGTTCCGCAGATCAGCACCATTGAAGCCGTCGCTCATCTTGACAATGCTCTCAAAGTCAATCTCGCCCTCGGTCTGCACGCCCGCGGAGTGGATCTTCATGACTTCCAGACGGCCGGCTTCGTTGGGGAGGGGGATTTCAATTTTCCTGTCCAGACGTCCGGCACGTAGGAGAGCGGGGTCGAGAGTGTCGGGTCGATTTGTCGCCATGATGATCTTGGTCTGTCCGAGGTAGTCGAAGCCGTCCAGCTGGTTCAGCAGCTCCATTAGTGTACGCTGGATCTCGCGATCTGCGGATGTGCCTTCTGAGAATCGTCGTCCACCGATGGCGTCGATCTCGTCCATGAAGATGATGCAGGGCTCGTGCTCCTTTGCGTAGCCGAACATCTCGCGAATGAGACGCGCTGACTCTCCAATGTACTTGTCGACAATGGCCGAGGACACAACCTTGAGGAAGTTTGTCTCCAGACTGCTCGCCACAGCTCGCGCCAGCAGCGTCTTTCCGGTACCAGGCGGCCCGTAAAGCAGAACGCCCTTGGGTGGCTTGATGCCTACTCTCAGGAACAGCTCGGGGTTCTTCAGCGGCAGCTCGATGACTTCTCGCAGCTCTCGGATCTGCTCGTTCAGACCACCAATACCGCCAAAGCTGACCTGGCCGGGGTCCTCGAGAGACATGTTGTAGACGAGCGGGTCGACTTCGCGGGGCAGCATGCGCATGATGGTGAGGGTCGTCATGTCGAGGGCGACGCGGGTTCCCTGCTTCAGCTTCACCTTGTCGACCTTTGACCGGCATCCGACGACGTATCTGGGGCCCGACGAGGCTTTGACGATGACTGCGGCGGGTCAGCATGGCTTGGTCAGTAGAGAGGGGATGGCCTACACCGCTCCTCGTCCAGCTGCTTCAGGACCTCGCCTATGATCTGGCCGACGCTCTGCAGGGCCTTGATGTTGTCCTCGGATACGTCAAAGTCGTGCTGCAGGCCCTTGATCTCTAACCGCAGCGCCTTGAGCTTTGCCTCCCACTCGCGCGACTCCAGAAGCTTCCCCTTGTAGCCGTCGAGGGCATGCTCGCGCTCCGGTTCGCTGCTGGCGCTCATGGTGAGGGATGTTGGGACGTGTGTCGATGTGGTGCAGTGGTAAAGCGGCGGCGGCGATGATGGGTAAACAGCCAGGCGAGTGTGCTGCGGCGGGGTGGATGTCGTCCAGGTAGGTAACGTGATTTGCAGGGCCTACTACTGTGACGAGGAAATGGGAAAAGGCGGAAACAGTTTGTGGATTGTCACTGACAGGGCGATGGTGACCGTCACGTCCATGGAGCTCTCTGAGAGGGCGTGCACGAGCCCCCCGAGACGCAGCGGCGCAACCTAAATCCGTCGTGGTTGCCGTCGGCGTCTGAAAAAAAGTTCGCCGATCGTTTCCCTCAGAAACTTTGGGCTCCAGCACCTCCAACACGACACGCAGCCATGTCCTCCTTCTTCACCACGCCCGCCTCGCAGCGCAAGAGGAAGAGGCCCGAAGGAGCGTCCAACGGCCCCAACAAGCGCAACAACGCCCCACGACCTGCCGCGAATGCTCCCCGCCGCACCGAACGAGAAGACTCAATTGAGAGCGAGGAATCAGACGACAATCGCGGAGACGTTTTTGATGAAGAGCTTGATGACTCGGAATCCTCAGACGACGAGAACGAGACGGCGGCGGAAAAGCGCCTCAGGCTAGCAGAGCGCTACCTCGAAAATGTGCGCAACGAGGTCGAGGAAGAGGTGGGCTTCGACGCCGCGCAGATCGACAAGGACCTGATCGCGGAGAGGCTGAAGGAGGACGTCGCAGAGGGCAAGGGCAAGATTTATAAATACATCGCGGGAGAGCTGGACTTTGGGCAGGCATCGCACGTGTTTGGGAAGTCTGGCCTGCAAAAGGCCATCACCGGATGCGCAGTCAGGCTGCCGTATGCGTGGACCATCAGCAAGGATCTGGTCGTGGAAAAGTGGGAGATTGCGGACCCAACAGCCTACGCGCCTCATTCTGACCGTCCGTCCAACGTCACGCCGCGCCGGACGCCCAAGAAGCTCTTCTGGCGCAAGGGCAACAAGAACAAGAAGGGCGAGAGGGACTTCCTGGGCCACACGGGCGAGATCATATCTATTGCCGTATCGGACTCGGGAAAATACCTCGCGACTGGCGACAAGCACGCCCGCCTGATCATCTGGGACGCCGACACCCTCACACCACGCAAACTCTTCACCCGACACCGCGACGCCGTAACATCGCTATCCTTCAGAAGGGGCACCGAGCAGCTCTTCTCGGGCGGAGCAGATCGCGCAGTCATCGTCTGGAGTGCGCCAGAGTCTGCCTACATCGAGACACTGGTTGGACACCAGGATGTCGTCGTTGGTGTTGCTGGCGGGCTCGAGGCGAACCAGGAGACATGTGTCAGTGTTGGCGCGCGAGATCGCACTGCCAGGCTGTGGAAGGTGGTGGAGGAGAATCAGCTCGTTTTTCAGGGTGGCGGCACGGCAAGGCAAAAAGGGATGGATAAGTTATGGAAAGGTCGGTTCGGCAAGAATGTCGACGACAAGGAGAAGCCCACAGACGAGCAGACAAACGGCGTCCACGATGAGGACGACGATCCACCGATCGCCTACGCAGAGGGATCCATCGACTGCGTTGCCCTCCTCGACGCAAATTTATTCGTCACAGCCTCGGACAATGGAGCCATGTCACTGTGGTCTGTTCAGAGGAAGAAACCCCTATTCACGTGTGCCCTCACTCACGGGCGTGACCCTGCCCTCGCCCCGGAAGACATGTCCGCAAACCACGACGCTGCAACAACAGTCAAGAAAGGCCCACGGTTAGCCAGATACGTCACAGCGCTTACCACAGTACCCTTTGCCGATCTCATCCTCACAGCGAGTTGGGATGGCTGGATACGAGCATGGCGTCTTGGGCCGGAGAAGCGCACCATTGAGCCTCTAGGCACGGTTGGAAGAGTTCCTCTCGACGAGCAGGAGGAAGCCACCGCCAATGGGGATGATGTGATACTCATCCGCGGCATAGTAAACGGTCTCTCGGTGCAAGAGCGCGGAGACCGGGGGAAAGACGGGCTTTGTATAGTGGCTGCGGTGGGGAGAGAGCCCAGACTCGCCAGATGGATGTCGGCCAAGGTCAAGAACGGGATCCACGTGTTTGAGGTGCCTAGGAAGGTTGTTGAAAACGGCGTCGAGGATGAATCAGGTACAGAAGCTTAGGGTGGATTGAGCGTGTTTGCATTTCTCAGGCGTGTTGCATCTAGATACCAATACCATCTCGGCATCTAATTTGAAGTTGTTCAGAAATTTTATCTTGCAAGAGTGTCGTGAGATTGCTGCACGTGAGAGCGCGCCATGTCATGTCTCGCGAAATGTTGAACCTCGACTCCAACTTTGAACAACGAAATCACGCCCAACACCCACGAGTCCACCACCCACACTCAATTCAGCCATGGCGTCCAGCGGCTCAGAGTCGCCTTCAAAGATGAAGCGCTCCCGTGCAGAAATGGAAGCCGAAGACGACGCACCCGCACAAGCACAAGCACAAGCAAACGACGGTAATGCGACCAGCCCACACACACGCGCCTACTTTCCCTAACGCAGCCCACAGACGACACCTCCTCAGATGACGATGACTTCGGCCCCGCGCTGCCCTCCTCGGCGCCCAAGAAAAAGAAGCGCAGACTGCCCTACGAGAAACTCTACGTCGCGGCGCTGCCCGGCGCAAACCGCTACTTCAAGTCGCTCATGCACCGCGAGCAGCTCTGCTTCACGACACTGACCCCCTACACCGACTTCCTCATCACGAGCTCCATCGACGGCGTGGTCAAGTTCTGGAAGAAGGATTTCGGCGGTGTGGAGTTTGTTAAGGAGTTTCGCGCGCATGCGGGCGAGATACGGTCCGTTAGTGTGAGTGCTGATGGACGCAGCTTTGCGACGGCTGGGTCGGATAAGACGGTTAAGATCTTTGATGTTGTTACGTTTGATCTGCTGGCTATGCTGAGTGTGGAGTATGTGCCTAAGGCGGTTTGCTGGGTGCATGGTAGGGGTGCGAGTTTTCCGCTGCTGGCTGTTAGTGAGGAGGAGAAGGGCTGGATACGGATATACGATGGGAGAGGCGAGAATCCCGAGCCACTCCATACACTAAAGAGTGTGCATAGGGCGCCCGTCAGTCTGATGTCGTACAACAATGCATTCGACTGCGTCGTCAGCGTGGATCAGGGCGGCATGATCGAGTACTGGCGGCCGAGCGGGACCTTCGAAAAGCCAGACAACGTCTTCAGCATGAAGAGCTCCACAAACCTCTTCGACTTCAAGAAAGCAAAATGCGTCCCCTCCTCCCTCACCATCTCGCCCACCGGCAAGCAATTCTCCACCTTCTCCTTCCCGGACCGCAAGATCCGCATCTTCGACTTTGCATCCGCAAAACTATACCGCACATACGACGAATCCATCGAGACAATCACCGCCATGCAGCAAGCCGGCACCGCAGTCCAACACCTCGAAGACATGGAATTCGGCCGCCGCATCGGCATAGAACGCGACCTCGACACGCCCTCGACCCGCGCGCGCATGAACGTCATCTTCGACGAGACCAGCAACTTCATCCTATATGGCAGCATGTACGGCGTCAAAGTGCTCAACACGCTGACGAATAAACTGGTCAAATTGTACGGGCAGGAAGACACCCTCCGCCCCCTCTGGCTATCCATCTACCAGGGCGCCCCGGAGAAAAAGGGAATCGTGACCGTCGAAATGGCTGCCTCGGAGAACCCCCTCCTCCAGGAAGCAGAGACCCGCGACGCTATGCTCGTCGCTACCGGCGCGGGGAAGGTCCGCTTCTACATGTACACCAACAGCACCGACATCTCGAAATCTCGCGACGTGCAGAACGAAAAGCCCCTCGCTCCCAAAAAATCCGGCACAGCGGACGCCGCCGCTGCCGCCACAGGTACAACAGCGATCCTGCACACTACCTACGGCGACATATCACTCCGTCTCTTCCCCGCCGCAGCCCCCAAGGCCGTAGAAAACTTCGTCACGCATGCGAAGAGGGGGTACTACAATAACGTCATCTTCCACCGCGTTATCCGCAAGTTCATGATCCAGACGGGCGATCCGCTGGGTGATGGTACCGGCGGGGAGAGTATCTGGGGCGGGAACTTTGCGGATGAATTTGATCCCGCGCTGAGGCATGATAAGCCGTATGCGCTTAGTATGGCGAATGCGGGGCCGGGGAGTAATGCGAGTCAGTTTTTTATTACGACGGAGAAGGCTGTGAGTTTATCTTTTTTTTTTCACTTTTTACTTGGGGGTGGGTGGCGGGCGGGTGAGGCAGGGTGAGGGTCGAAAGAAGTAGGGAAGGGAGAAGTAAGGAACTGAGAGTGGACAAATGCTAACAAAATGTGAACAGACGTGGTTAGACGACAAACACACCATCTTCGGCCGCGCGGTCTCGGGCCTCGATGTCGTGCATAAGATTGAGAATACGAAGGTTTATAAGGAGAAGCCCGAGCAGGATATTAAGATTATTAGTATTTCCATATCGTAAGTCGTAAGAAGGTAGGAGGAGATAAATCTGGAGAGAAAGACGAGAGGCTTGGATGGGGGTGTGGAGTGTTTGGGCTGTGTTGGGTTGGGTTGAGGGTGGGAGATTTTCTGGAATGAGTTGAATATGATGGACAGACAGACAGACAAGCTGACAAAGAAGAAGACGTTAAATGGTATTCCGACTCCTCTCTTCTCATTCCATTACTACTCCCTCCACCCTCCATACCTCTCTACTTTCCAGCTCTTTGTCCTCCCCAAACCCACCCCTTTTCCTTTCCCTAGATAGATTCACCAAAACGTCAGTTTCTCCGCAACCGCATCCGTAGCCTTGAAGAACACATTATGCCGATGGAAGAAACTCCTGTTGCGCTTGCCGAAGATGTCTGGTTGTTTGTTAGTTTTGATCCTCACTCGTTTAACGTCCTCCCTTTCTTCGTTCAGAACCCCCGCTGCTGCTGAAGGCCCTCGGTGTTCAGGGCCTCACTACTCCAAGGTGTTCAACACCCTCACTGCCTCGCACCCCTCCCTCCCATCAAGAGAAGAAAAAAAGAAAAAGAAAAACTCACACATAGGCACCGTCAACAAACAAATACCAACCTGCGCGCTCCCAACAGCAATAAACACATTCCTTATACTCCTCGCCTCAACCATCCAATCAAAGCCCTTGAACGTCAGCGCAAACGAGAAGAAGTTCTTAAACACCAGCAAACACGTAAACGCTTCGACCGAGATATCACCTATTCGAATCACATCACATCAGCATACACCCATATAAGCGGTCGGAAGGGAGAAAGCAACGGGACAAGGGAAGAAAAGGGACAGGAAAGGACTCACGAAAAGCATCAACAACATACAACGCGCTCCCCACCGCCCCACAAACCATCCCCACCACAACAACCCCAAAGAAGAAATCAGGCAAAAACCACCCATACCTCCCCGCATCCCCGCTCGTCCACCCAAACCCATACAACCCCACGCCCCCCAGCAAAAGCTGCGGCACAACAAGCAGCATGCGAAACTCCGGCTCATACACGCCGTTATTCCAGCGCGTGAGCACGCGCGCGCTCCAGTCTGCTAGCAGGCCTGTGAGTGCGAAGCCGAGGAGCGCGCCGATGAAGGCGCCGGTGTACATGTATCCGGTTTCGACCTCGCCGAACCAGAGCGGGGGGCCGAGCATGATGGCTGCGAGGACCACGCCGATTAGCACGGTGAAGCCGATTAGTGTGCCTTGGATTAGGCAGGACCAGAGGATGCCGGGGTGGAGGAAGAGGGAGATGGGGCGGAGGAGGAGGGGGAGGTAGCGGGCTTGGGTTTTGCGGCCGGAGAAGAGGGCGAGGGATTGTGTGAAGGATGTTTTTGGCGGGGGAGGGGTGTGATGTTGGGTGGTGGTGTGTAGGATAGCTGTTTTGTCGCCGTGGGGTTCGCTTTCTCCCGCGTTGGTGGACGGCGCGACGGATGCTGGGCCGAGGACGTTCATCTCCGCGCCCTGCACCACGAGCAGATTCCCCATGCTATCAATATCGAACTTCGAATCCCGCGTATACGTCGTCTCGGGGCAGAACAGCACGATAAGGGGCAGCATAGCGCCGGCGAAGATAGCAACGAGGTAGAACGTCCACTCATACCCGACATTCTTACTGATCACACCCACAACAACAGGCGTGAAGAACGCGCCGCCAAACACACAAAAATTCGACACCGCCATGCGCACCCCGCGCTCATGCACATGGTACATATCGCCCACGGACGCATTGACGAGGGCTTCGAACGGCGCCAGTCCCACGCCCTGGAAGATGCGCGCCCACAGGAAACTGGCGTAGTTTTTCCCTGTCGCGCCGCCCCAGATGCTGCTTATCACGATGATCAGCGTGCCGAATATGTACACGTGCCGCTTGCCCCAGATGCGTGCGCTGGGCACGATCAGGAAGCCGGAGATGCCGACGCCGAGGAGGTGGTAGCCTGTGCAGAGGGCCATGTCGGTTAGGGAGCGCCGGAAGAAGATGGCGAGGGAGACTGTGTTTGCGGCGAGGAGGGGGGAGAGGGTTGAGGCGATGACGGAGAGGAGGGAGAGGAGGGCGATGATGGAGTCGCGTTTTCGGATGGGCCAGTTCTGGCGCGGGTGTGTTAGTTTTGGTGGTGGGGGTTGGGAGTGATGTCTGGACGTACGAGGGGGTCGTTAGGATCATCTGAGGGTTGGGGGACGAGCAGGATCTTGCCCGTCTTGTCGTACTTTAGATTCGCATTCCGCGCGACGTTCTGCTCGACTTCCCTCCTCTTATCACTTTGGAGGACTTGCGCTGTCCCGGGGACATGCTTGAGCTTGTGGTCTTCGAGGATACCGAGACCCATAATTGCCCGAGTCTACGAGGATCCAAGTCTGCAAGTTTCCAAGTCTGTGGAGATCAAAGTCTACGAGTTTCCCAGCCTGCTCACGTCCAGGCAGCTCAGTACAGCAGTCAGTCAAACACGTATAAAACGTCGTCGCACAATCAAACCACCATTAAAAGATATATCGAAAGCAGCCGGGACACCGCGCGACGCAGTTACTAGGGGATTAGCGTCACATGCTGCGCGACGAAAGAGGGGAGTCGTCAATATATAGATACACATCACTGGGGCTGACAAGGCTGCGGAGGCGAGCCGGATGCGTGGGCGATCCGGGGGTGGCGGAGACTAGGGCGGTTGGGTGTCGTTCCCTGCTGATCAAGAACTCAGAATATGCATGTTTCACAACGAAAGTCAAATCCTTTGTGATTTGTGCAAACTTGAAGCTTGATGGGCTTTTAGACGTTGGTCGGTATTTCTGTGTACTGTATAATCGCGCCGTCTGTCGGTCAATAACAATCAGAATCACATGGTTTCAAGAGAGCTCTCAAATGTTAATAATGACGATAACAATAACGATAACAATGCGATATTCAATCTCAGCCCACTAGGTATATCCTCCACCTCTCCACCTCTGCAGGTCTTCTCAATCTAGGCAAGCCGCACAATCCAAGACCAGATCAGATCAGATCAGAAACAAGTACCCATAACCCCCGATATATACTAGCCCACCACGAATGCCAAACATGGTAAACAAGAAAACCAGGTCAAACGCCAAGGACATGAAGGCGCTATACAGATTCCTGGTATCATATGCAAATGCATGCGTTTGCGCCGGTGCCTGGGGAAAAAAAGACATGCAAGCAAAACATTAGAACTGACGTGAAAAGCAAAGGGAAACACACGAAACTGTGGAAATCAAAGAGGGGGGTGTGACCTAAACGCCCCTTACAACCGGTATGAACGCCGAACATGGAGTGTCGTAATTGTGTGTGCTGATGAACGCTGAAAATGATGCAAGTTCATTTATCGCGCGTTTCCTAGAGATGAGGGCGAGCGACTGGTGGGATACGGCGATGGAGCACCCGTGACTGAAGCGCGTTTCTGAGTCTTCTGCAGCTCAAGCTTCTTCTTGAGCGAGCGGTGTCGTCCTTTCATCTGTTCAAGAACTGTCAAATGTTAGCAAACCTTTTCCTGTGTATTGGAACTGGCAAACTTACGTTTCTGAATTGACTGTCTGTCCTCGCTCTCTAGTCCATTGATCTCCTCGCCATCGAGCTTACGACTGGAAGACTCATCCTCCTCTTCAAGAATAGCCTCAAGCATCAGAATAGCGGTCCAGTAGTTGAGGTCGCAGCCTGCCAAATCCGTGCCGACAAGCTCGTTCACAGCAGCCGTCCTGCTCATCTCGAGAGCTCGCTCGTACATGAGCTTCTCGGCCGTGACACCAGTGGCGAGAAGAATCGTCTCAGCAGTCCCAATCGTAGTCGCAGAACCTGAGGCAGCTGACAGGTTCTGGGGATGGCTTGGATGATCGATTGGGAGTTGCTGTTGCGCTTGCTTTAGCTTGCGAGCAACAATTTCAGACTTGATGCAGCACTCGTTGAATCGGTCTCGAACCCAGGATACAACGCGGTTCAGCCGGTCAGCATATGACGCGGCGCGACTGGCTGCTTCGGGGGATGTGTTGCGTCGATTCCGGTTCCAGTAACTTCCGGTGACGTCCATGGCTTTGTTGAGCATAGCAAGTGACTTGACGTACAGGACCAGCGCTTCCTCGGAGATGATGAGTATCGTCTCAGGTGTCAGGTCGTCATCATCGTCATCCTCTATCACGACACTGCTCGGCTTTCGTGCGATTCCTGTTGCGCCTATGCCGAGACCCTGATCGCTGGGGGCAACCGGTACCAGTTGTTTGTACTTGACTTCCGCGAAGCCATAGATGACATGACTCAACTGCGCCAGCTCTTCGATCTTCTTCACAGTCGTCGAGTCCTCATCTTTGCTGACAGTCTTCCCACCATCCCCTACGAGTAGCAAGCTACTTTGCGCCGTAGGATAAGTAGGGAAGGCGGCGTAACCCAGAGGCGGTGACACGCCTTTCAGCACCGGGGGTGAGAGTCCAAGACCACGGATATTCACCATATTCATAGCCTTCGAGAGGGCCGAAGTTGCACTTTCAAAACTGGGACGATACTGTCGTCGAGGCTCATAAGACTCAGTCCGATGGTGCAAGAGAGTCGGCTTCTGCTGGATCTGTATAGCTCGCGAGGGGATTGTCGCTCCAGTTGCGGAAGTTGGCGATCCTTGGGTTGTCGCTCGTCGCTTGAGAGCACCATCTCGGTTAACTAGTCGATCTCTTTGCGTTTGCGGGCTTGCAGCAATTTCATCTGCCAACGCATCGATCTCTACGCGGCGCTTCTCCACAAAGACGAACCCCTCGTCGAGGGCAGTGTCCTGCGCAGCTCGGTCCGCGGCCTCTTTCATTGCGCCTGCCTCCGTCTTCGGTGGCATACGCTCGCGATCGAGATGCTCTTTGAGCGCAGATGTTGACGGGGGCGGCCCATCTCGAGAGAATCGGCGTCGGTGTCCAATCGAGTTGGGGTCTTGCAGAGGCGCTGGACGGCCAGGCGCAGTGAGAGCAGTGGCAAGCACTGGACGTCGCTGTTCACGTGAAGGAGCGCGTTCCTCGATTGGGTCTATTGGGGTATTGCTTGCTCGTCGAAATGAAGAGGTACGTCGCGGAGATGATGAGTAATCACCAGACAGAGGTCGAGAGCTTGGTCGTGATGGCGGCGTGATTCCCATGCCAGTTGTGTCTTTCGGCGAGTGCGAATAAGGGCTCTCCGTAGCCCGTCGCTCAATCACCGGCATCTTTTGCACTCGCCTGGGTGGCTCCATAGGTCGCTCCGGCTCCGAAGCCTGCAGAGATAGTGGCAAATCCTCGTCAACAAGGCCTGGGATATCTTCGCGGATCACAGGGTCGGCGAAGAAGCTTTCGTAGGACATGCGCTCGGTGGGTTTTCGCTTCAGCAAAGCACGGATGAGATTCTTCATGGCCCTACTAGAGATGATATTCTCTGGGAACCTGATGTGATCCTTGCGTTCCTCGATCTTGCGCAGCAACTCGACATGATTATTTGCCCGGAACGGTGGTCGAGCGCACATCATCTCGAACAAAACAGTTCCGACAGACCACAGATCAGCCTTGGCATCGTACTTCTCATAGCGTAGGATTTCCGGGGCCATGTAGAGCGGAGATCCACAGAGGGTTTCGGCCAGAGATGTTGTTGGCAGAATTCTAGCGAAGCCGAAATCAGCAATCTTGAGCATTGGCAGTGAATCTATTCCGAGTGCAGGGATCAGCGAGTTCGCGTCGGCGGCCAAAGGCATGCGTTCGAGTGTACCACTTTGCGAGTAGTACATGGACGACGGGTTCAGCAGAAGGTTCTGGGGTTTGAGGTCACGATGGATGTAATTCTTCGATCTTAGAAACTCCAGAGCACTGGCCATCTGCTTTGCGAAATGCCGGACGATTACTTCGTTCAATCCACCCACGACCGGATTTGGGTACTTCTCGATCATGCGCTGGGTCTGTGGGTGATTGATGAGATCTGCACGTTTCTTGATGAATGCTGATAGGTCCCCAAGTTCGCAAAACTCCATGATGATGTGCATGCGGGATGGCGTTTCGTGACAGTCGATGAGCGAGACGATGTGTGGGTGGTGCAAGCTTCGCAGGATGGTGATTTCGGATACCAAGTTGTCCTTGAGCTTCTTATTGAGCTTATTCATGTTGACGGACTTGATGGCTACAGCGGCTCGCTTCTCCTGTTTTCAAGTTAGCCCTCGTTCCCACTCACATTACACCAGCTTCCAAATATGAACGCGACTGGTCTGACGGTAGATGGGACGAAAATAGAGAGTGCTGCGTACTATGTGTATGCCTCGATAGACCTCCGCAAAGCTCCCTTTGCCGATATGATCCATGCGCTTGAACTTCCCGATGATCTGCTCAGACGATGTGGACGGTGCCGGCGACGCTCCCGACCGGCGCGGGGCGTACGGATTCGAACTTGGTGTGGCCATGTTGGCGGTGCTGGCTGACCAGCCTGGTCCAGTCCTTTCTCTCTCTCAGTGCGTGCCCAATACTCGGCTACCAGTGCAGATGCGGATACAAAATGCCAGTGAGGGCGTCGCACATGGACTGGCAGAGGCGAAGAAGCGTGGAGGGTATACGATGCGGCGTCGAACGTGTGGTGGGTAATATTTATATCGTCGAGTTGTAGACTTCTAGGATATCACGTCGCTGCAGATCGCTGGTGGCGCGTCGTCGTGTCGTTGAGTTGTGAGGGGCGGGCGGTGAGACGGGGTACCGAGATGGCAGGCCTCGAGGCGGATTTGATGGTGGATGATAGACGGCGGATAGACAAACCAGCCCAGAAAAGCAAAGGCGAGGTTGGCGGTGCAAGGGTGGGAACAGGATAAACAGACTGAGCAGGTAGAAGAGGCGGGCGAGGGGGAGTAGAGTAGGTAGAGGAGACACGAGCTGCGAGTGCCGTTGATGCAGCGAGGCCGCTGGGAGTCAAGTGGTGGTCTGTGCAGAACGCGCTAAAGCTATCTCCGATAAGACAGTGAACTGCAGACGTGACTAGATGTTGGATACGGACACGCCCAGCAGGCCAAAGTACCGAGTTGAAGAGTCTGGGAGCTGCCCAGGTGTTCTTCTCTTGCTGCCCTTCCTCGTCGTATCTGGGCCATCCCGTGGCGCTGCGTCGGCACGGGCACCCCACCACCCAGACAGCAGCCAGGAGCCATGTCATGGGACCACGGTGAATGACGACCTAGCACGCAATTCGCCGTGCTCTCGCGCCCTGGGGTGACGCAAAGAGATTCCTCGAATCCTTTGCCCCAGATCACCTCCAACAGGCACCTGGAACGCATACACGGGCGTCTGCAAGTTAAGCGTTGCTGCCTCGCGCGATGTCGAGCGTCGAGCGCGTCGCACATGTGCGCCAATCGCAAGCTTCCCCGCCAACGCCGCCTTCACCCTCAGGCAGAGCTTATCGTGGGGTAATCCGTCTCCTGCCATATCTGTCGTGCATGTATTCTTGATAGGCTGAGGACCACCTTGGATACACTCTCAACAGAACAGGCGCATGTCGATAGCTACTTACGGGAACTCGTGACGGTGATATGGATTGAATGACGCCACTCCTTCAGTTCAGATACGGGAGAGCAGAACTAACGGTGCCCTCGACACACTTCATTGTACCGCCAGACAACTACAAACGCCCTCACCTGGATCATGGTAGAACGAGTCACCCACCGTAGAACGAGTCACTTATGGCATCTTGGTCGGCGTGCGATCGGCAGCAGGCAACATGTCTCATTCAGCCTCATGCCAAGTCCAGCTGACTAGGCGGCTGTCAATGCAAAATGCAGGACCGAAGGTTGAGTAGATACGTACTCTTTCAGGTACCTGAGATCTGCAACTAGGCAGAAAGGTTTATGTTATGTAGACTCGATTTATAAAGAAACAGATTGGTTATAGGTAATTGCCCTCTCATATATCATACTCAGACACCATCTCTATCTTGCTGGAATGGAGTATCAACATCCGGACATCAACCCTCTGCCAAAGTCTTCAAACATACACGTACACACACAGACACAAAGCACAACATCACTCCCCACATCATGTCCCTCAGTTCCTCCACACTACGTCACCACCAACACCAGCCCCTGCAGCAAAACATCTCCCAAACAAAGCACTTACCCATCCACGTGAACCAAGCAGCGCACATGCCCTACCCGCAAGTCAAGTCAAATCCAGCCCAGCAAGAATCTCATGGCCCCATAACCATCACCATGTACAAGAAAGCAGGACTTGAGCATAACATGATTCCACCAACCCACGCGCCTGCATCGCGATCTCAATTCCCCTCTCACGCTGAAAAAGGACAACAGCACAATACGGCGTGACATATCATGACATCCCCTTGAACACGCTCGACACCAGCCGGCCCAGGGACCTTGAAATTACACGCGAGAGTGAGACATGCACACGTCATATTACCCATACGAACTCTGTTCCTGCATCACACGTCTACACCCCATTACCCACAAACCACCATGCCAAACCCTACAACCCCACGCCCCTAACAAGCACCCAAAGCACAACCGGCACAACCACATTATCATTCCCGCCCGTCAACACCGCCTCATTCAGACTCGCGCCGGCCGCACAAAGCGCCGCTTTCCCCGTGACCCACAGCGCATCACGCACCCAAGTCTGCGGCCGTACGGACCCATCACCCCAGCCGACATACAGCCACGCCTTGCCGAACAGTAGACCAATGGTGACGGCGACGGCGAACGCGAGCGAGCCTTCGAGCGACTTGCCGCCGCCCCACGGCCACTTGCGACGCCCGTAGCGGCGTCCGATTAAAGAGGCAGCCGCGTCGCCCATGCCGACGCAGACTACCCCCGCGACCATACTCACATCGCGGGCCGCGACGTCCCAGGCGGCCCAAGGCGGGTCGCCAGTACGCGGCGTGCCAGCGAGGGAGAGCCAAAGCGGGATGGCGCAGCCGATGAGCAGGAAGATATGGCTGACCACGACCGGGCCGCGAAGATCCCTACCATCAACATAGGGAGTGAGGAAACGCGCGATTGGTTTTGACAAAGGGGGGAGTTGGGAGGCGCGGATCAGGTCTAGGAGGAGGAAGATTGCGAGGACGAGGGCGAGGGCTAAGGCGACGAAACACGGGTCAATGTAGATTGTAGGGAGCAGCATGGCGACCATAGTGCCGTGGAAGACTTTGCGGCGCGTGTCGACTTCTACGATTGCGGAGAGGGAGAGGACGGATAAGAGGCCGAGGGCGATGGTGAGGAGGCAGTAGCTGCTTAGCAGAAGGCGGGTGGTTGCTTCGCCGAGGAGGAGTTTGCGGATGTGCTCTGCTGGGGCGAGGGGGTGGGGTGGGGCGGAGCTGTCGAGTATGGGGGGGAGCGGGATCCAGAAGTCCAGGTCCCAGTTGAAGACTTCCCAGCGGAGGCGCTGGATGTTGCCGAAGAGGTAGCTTATTGCCCAGCCGAAGGGCTCGTGGGAGTGCAGCGCGTGGGTGCCGATGATGTGGCGGATTGGGCCTAGGATCATGACGACTACGACGAGGTAGAAATAAGCTGCATACACCCATTTTCTGATCGTTGCTTGGGTTGGTGTGAGGGAGAGGTATGACTGTGCGATGGACTTTGAGCGTTTGCGGTGCGAGTAGCGATGTGTGGAGGTATGGTCTTCGGCAGCGAGATTGGGCAGCGTATTGCGCCGTTTCTGTGCGGGGATGCTCGACTCGCTGGGCTTGCCATTTTGTACGGGTTTGCCGTTCGTTGAGGGTTGAAGCTCCTGATCGTTCCCCATGTACGTACTACTCCGCACTGGGCCCACCTTCAAGCTCTTCGTCTGCTTGAGCGAATTCTGCCGCAGTAACGGATTATCGTCTGCATCGCTATCGGAACCAGCAGCGTGCTGTTCTCGCTTCGACCTCAGAGTCTCGTTCAACACCTGCAGGAATGACTGCTGTGCTTGAACAATCTGTCCCACGCGTCTGAATCTCCAACGTGGGATACGAGCAAGCGCAACACCCCACTTGAGTACCTTCCCACAAAGCACGAAGAGTCCTATCCCGCCGAGCCACGTGAGTGTCTTCAGGATCCCCATCTGGGGAGAGTCGGAGAACAACAGCATGTTAATAAGCGCGATAGACAGTAGATGTAGCTCGGTGGGGAGCAGACTGGTCGTGGTGAGGTAGTATAATGGTGGAAGCAGAGCTTGGTGGAATGGGAAGAGAATGACTAGCAGCTCAGGATCTAACCCCTTGTCTGGAGGAGGAAGCTTCAGCTTGTACGGTGTCAACGCTGATAGTCTTGACGGTATGTCTGTGTTTTCTGACGCGATCAGGGGCAGAATGGACACAAGCCAATGGACGCTCGAGTACCCCAATGTTGAGCTCCCAAATGGGATGAGCTGTGGTGGTAGTGCTGCCAGTCCAAGAAGGATGTTCGGTAGCAATGGTTTTTGGTATGTAGCGAAAAGGGATATTGATATCAGAACGGGTACTATGGCGGGGTACAGTATTGGAGCTGGATCGAAAGCAGCTGGTATTCGTATTTGCTGTCGAAAGCGAAGATTCGATGGCGGGTTTCTTCTCCGTGAGTAGTAGAGTAGTCGCAGGGGATACACGCCCAAAGCAACGGCCATAACCATGGCATGCGTACCTAGTTCTACTGGCCACAAATTAGCAATTGTCCACGTCGCTTCCTATCCACTCCCATGTACCCACCTCTATGCCACTCCAGCAGCTTGTCCCAGCATCCGCACCCACGAACAGCGAGTATGCTTATACCAGCAAGCAACACCGTCTCCGACGTTCTCCTGACAAGCTCATTCCGCCGCCTCTTGAGGTACTTCTGCCTCGCAGCCTTAGCCTCCTCATCCGTCGGCGACGTCTCCCCCCTCACGGACCCCTCCCTCTTCTCCTCAAAATACACCTTCGCATACGCGCGCCCCTCGTCGTCAACTTGCGAAGGCGTCAACAGCGGGCTAGCAGCACCATCGTTCCCCGAACCATGCTGATCGCGTAGACCCTTGCGCGGGCGCAACGGAGGGGCCGGAAGCGCTTTCACAAGCCCATATCCCTCGTCGTCCGCCTCAGTCCCGCTCTCGCTGGGCGACTGCGAGGCCCGTTTCCTGCGCTTCCTGCCGTCTTCGTCGGAATCTAGTGCGCACTCGGAGGCGCGGAGGGGCGTGCGGATGCGCGAGGCATTGCGGCTGGTGCGCGCGCTTGTGGGCTGTGTGCTTCGGATGTCGTCTCTATGGCGAAGGTAGGGGTGTGGAGACCGACGGAATTGCTCGAGCACTTCGACTTCGGGTCCCGCCGGCGCGTCTGCATGGCCGTCTGGTGGTTCCGAGTGCGTCATGGTCATGACGTGTGGTTCCGGCTCTTGAAGACAGCTTGTCTAGGTACTCGTATAGTTCGTGACGGTGAAAGGTAATTGCCCGGCCCTGATGCCTGTCCCAAGCGCAATGTGTGGCGTGCGCCGCAAAAGCAGTGATGTTCAGCGAATTTGTTGAGCCTCTCGGAAGCCTTGCGTGAACGAGCGGAATGGATTGCAGCGAGATGTCAATTGCTGCGAGGCACCAAGGGAATATTAATTGCAGCAAGGCAGAAAGAAATAGCGGCGAAGACAAAGTAAACGCAAATGTGTCAACAGCCGCATAGCCTCAATGTCAGCGTACCCAGCGCCATGGACGCGACGACCTGGTCTCACATGCTTTTCGGCAGCAGCCTGACTGACGCATGAGAATTGGCTGACGTTGCCAATCCCACCACCCTGGCAACTGCATCGGTTCCCTTCGGAATGCGTTCCGCATTAGCACCCCATCATCCTTCACGACGTCTTGAACTCAATGCATAGTATGAGGGAATGCTTGCTCGTCTTTGACGGAATTTATATTGTACATACTCTTATGAACGCGCATGCATCACACATCGCCAGAGAGTGGAGTGTTCAACTACTACAAGTACTTTTGCTCCTTCAACCAGGACTTGACGTCTTCCGAGTCCCGCTCAATCCAGGCAGCCTTTGCGCTAATCGCATCGAGGCTCTGCGACAGCGACATGTCGAATCCCTTGGTGCTCTTTGTAGCAAAGAACGCCTTGATGTCCTCGATGTGTTCCTGGTGAGTGAAGCTTGAAGTCGTGATGGAAACGACGGAGCTCAACATGCTCAAGCTAGGAGGCAGTCTCTTCTCGAGTTCCTCCCAGTTCTCCTTGACCCATTTCCAGAGCGCGTTGCAGCCCTCTGGGTGCGATCGGAGAGCAGATAGAGGAAGGTAGATGTCCTGGGCCTTGACGTCCTTGCTGATGGAGAATGCCAGAGAGCGCTGGATTAGCTCAGGGGACTTGGCACGACCGAGTGATCGAAGAGCCGTGTTGCGCTCATCAGCTGTTGGAGCGTGGATGGCTTCGTTAACAATAGCGTCGTACTGTAAAACGTTAGTATGACATTCTTGTAACGGAACGAACGAACTGACCTCTTCCGTGCCACCACTGGACAGGACGATGGCGTACACGCTACCACGCAAGTTGGGATGGATTGCCGACTTGTCGCCAGCCTTGAACTTGTTGAACATGTCGAAAGAGGCCTTGACGATCTTCTCGTCGCCGGAAATACCAACGGCGCCAAACATCATAGCCTTGAACTGCTGCTCGATATGTCCATCCTCATCACTGAAAGTCCATCCCAATTCGTGTGCCTTGTCGCTGCACAGATCAAGCTGGAACTTCTTGAGAGCATCCTTGACCTCTTGCGGCTCGAACATCCATGCGCCGCGGAGCGTAGCAATGCGACCAGTGATTTCTTGCCAAACCACGAATTCAGACTCACTCTTGAAGCTGTCAAGAAGCGAAAGGATTCCCGACGTCTTCTGATAACCCGACGCAGCCAAAGAGCCAGCATCAGCAATCATGCCAGCTCTGTCTTCAACGGTAAGAAGACCCTCCTTGGCGGCAAGACCAAGTTTGCGCAGTCTTTCTGGCGAGTAGGAAGTACGGTAGAGACCGGAGTGGTCAGCGTTGAGCTTGAAGAAATCCAAGTCCTTCAACTTCAGGTCGGCTTCCCGCTCGAAAAGCGTGGCGTCCTCGTTGACGCCCTCCTTGGTTCGAAGAGCTAGAAAAATCGGGTAGAGGGTCTGATCTTCCTCTGGCTTGACGTCGGCGGTCCGCAGGAAACGGTTCTGTTTGAGATGGATGGAGTCGGAGCCCTCGGTGACAGTCACCACGGGGAATCCGACCTTCTTAGTCCAAATGTCCATGACCTTCTCGACATCCTTACCACTAGCATCAGCCAAGGCTGCCCAGAGATCACCCGTCTGGGTGTTGCCATAAGCGTGCTTCTTTAGGTAGCGTCGAATGCCTTCCATGAAGACGTCCTCGCCAAGATACTTCGAAATCATGCGGATGACACTGGAGCCCTTGGAGTATGAGATGGCATCGAAGATTTGGTTGATCTCGTCTGCGCGCTTGACCGGTACTTCAATGGGGTGGCTGCTACGTAGCGAATCGAGTGAAAGAGCGCCAGCAAGGTTGTCCGTAACGTAACCTTCCCAGACCTTCCAGTCAGGGTAGAAGACGTTGCATGAGTACCAGGACATCCATGTCGCGAAACCCTCGTTCAGCCACAAACCATCCCAGAAGTCCATGGTCACCAAGTTGCCAAACCACTGATGCGCAAGCTCATGCTGCACAGTCTCTGCAACCCGCTGCTTGACAGACGCACCGCTGACCTTCTCGTCTATGAGAATGTCCACGACGCGGTATGTTACTAGACCCCAGTTCTCCATGGCGCCAGCGCTAAAATCAGGAATGGCAATCATATCCATCTTGGGCAGCGGGAAGTCACTGTTGAACGTCTTCTCGTAGAACTCCAGGGTCTTCGCAGCGAGCTCGAGCGAGAAGCGGCCGTGTTCAATGTCCTTGTCCTTCGGTGCATAGACTCTGACAGGCACTCGGAAGCTGTTGGTCTCGATGTAGTTGAGCTCTCCGATGATGAACGCCAAGAGGTATGTCGACATGAGCGGCGTGGGGTTGAAAGTGACGGCCTTCCTCTTCCCGCCTGTGACCTTTGAATCCACCGTCTTCTCAGACGCCACGTCCATGTTGCTCAGGCATGTCATCTTGTCGTCCGCGATGAGTGTGACGGTGAATTTTGCCTTCAACGCAGGCTCATCGAAGCAAGGGAATGCCCGCCTAGCATCAGTGGGCTCCATCTGCGTCGTCGCCAGGTATGTGGTCGAACCGTCCTCTGCCTTGAACGATGAGCGATAGAAGCCCGCCATATTGTCGTTCAAGTTTCCAGTGAAGACCAGTGTGAGCTTGGCCTTGCTCCCGGTGGAGATTGTCTGGTCGAAGCTGACCTTGGTCGTCTGCGAGTCTTCATCGTGGGAGAGAGTCGGGGAGCTCGAGATGGTCTTCTCATCCGCGGTGACTTTCGCCGAGTGGATCTTGAGGTCGTTTGTGTTTAAGGATATCGAGGTGCTGTCTTCGGCGACGTCTAAGCTGGCGGCGTGTCAGCAAGCAGCTTATGCCGAGTCTGTGCAGGTACATACTCGATGACCACAGTACCCTCGTATGTGAACGTCTCAAAGTCTGGCTCGAGAGTCAAGTCATAGTGCAGGGGCTTGACGTTGGTGGGCAGGACCTCGCGCGCCTGCGTAATGTCCGTCGAGGAGTGCTCCTCTGCGCCAAAGTGTCTGCACATGTTTCTTCGGTGGGAACAGTGCCGTACAGGAACGAATGGAGTGTGTCGAGAGGGCTTAGGTGTTCGTCGAGGGGTGATGTTTGGTAGTCGAGCTGGGGCGGCGGGGTAAATGCTGGCGGCTCTCGACGTGTGCAGCAAGCTGCGGCGAGGGTTCAGCGGCGAAAGAGCGGTGATGCTGGACAAAGGCGCCCTTACCATTGTCACCGACCGTGTGCCCAAGGCGGCATAGTCCGCCCTGCGCAGACCAACATTCTGCCTGAAGCAACGCATCTACTCGTCTTCTTGTAGGTACAGCGGCCCTCAATTGGTTGTTGGTGGTCCAGCAAGGGCAGAAGATTGCATCACGGCGTGCCAAGTAATGCACGAGCCCCGCCGCCTACAAAACCTCGCAGATTTTGCTTTGTCTTCTCCAAACACCGCAAGTAATCCCCCCAGCGCTCTGCCCTGTAGAGACGCTGGGTGTTCTGGCGATTTATCGCTATGATCATCTTTGCCAGACCAAATATAAGCACTCGTTTGAGCCTTTCCACAATTCCTGCATGAGTGGTTCGGTATAGGTATGCTGCTACATATTGTTGAAATCTCCATCGCTTTGCCATTGCAAGTTCCATTTCTGGCATGTTTGCTGCGTATGCTGTTCCTTCATGTCTTGACCCTTCTGTACATTGGTACACCAGGCTCTTTTGATGTCTTGGTACATCTTACGTTCTCTCCTTTCATGGCAATGATGCAGTATATCCTATTGTTCCCTCGACCCCCTTACCCCGCTGTCAGCAGGCATTGCGCATACACAGGTTCTCTTCTCGTATAAGAATCTCAAGCTCAACATTGCACTCCACACGTAGAGTACTGCACTTGACGTTATTACGCTATATTCAACAACACACTACCCAAATTCTAGTCGAAGATTTTAAGGATTCTACTTGGGTTAATGAATGGGTTTATTTTGTGCTGGCTGTGGTATATGCCCATATCGACGAAGACGAGGTTGGCGAGCATAGGAGCCTCGGGAGAAGTCGGGTGTGTGGCAACGTGCTTCTCTCTCCACCATTTGTGAAGTGCATCAGGAAGACCAGGAGAAGCTGCCTCTGAGAGCTGGAAATACCCTACATGTCAGAATAGATGATTCTAGTTGTATTCTCTAACATAATCTTACTATAATGAGCATCTTTGTGGATGAGAGTTATATTAAGGACCCAAAAGACACTATTAACCAATGTCAAATTTCAGAAATATCAAGAATTATTTACTACATGTAAGGTATATGGAAAACATTAAGAAGTCCCGATCAGAGAGTCCAAACATGATGCACTTGAGAAAGGCACGATTATCGACCAATCAGAGGAGATCCTTACTCAGCTTGGCGCGGCGTGTGCAAGAACTTGACGATCGGGCAACTCCCTCTGCCACCACTATCACCACCGCCGCCAACCCCATTGACCGTCTCCCCTCCTTGCTCCGGGCCGGCTTCACATCAGTATGTTGGCTCGATCAGCACTGCGTACGGCGCGCACAGCCGGCGCTGCGGCTCGCAACGCTGCCAGCAAACCAGCTTCGGTACGACTCCCGGATGCCCTCCTCGTCCCGCCGACTGCTCCCACGACCTCCGCCTGTCCTTTCCGAGGCTTCGCAACACGCGGCAGAGGCCCCTCCGATTCAATTGAGACGCTGGCTGACAGATTGCGTGACACAGCGCTTTGCCTCGACATCTAGCTCCACTGCCGAGGGAGCTGGCGCTTCCTGGAAGAACAATGCCCTCCCCGCCGGCGCCACGGTTTTCGCCATTGGCTCGGTTGGCTGGTACATGCATCTCTACGGACGAGACGTCGATGCGATGACGCCCGCGGAAGAAGGGTGAGTGGCGCCCAGGTCCATGTGTGGAGGGGGGATATTCGCCTCTGGAAGTTGGCTGCGATACGAGGCTGACACGATGGAATCACAGTCTGCACCCGACCCAGTACCCGTGGCAGCACGAGAAGTGGAACCAGACGTTCGACCACAACGCGTAAGTCCTTCGCAGGATATCAATCACATGCAGGGTCTAAATGCGCTCCACAGTCTCCGCCGTGGTTTCCAGGTCTACCGCGAAGTCTGCGCATCCTGCCACTCTCTCTCCCGTGTCCCCTACCGCGCAGTCGTTGGTCAGTTCATGACTGTCGATGAGGCCAAGGCCCTCGCCGAGGAGAACGAGTTCGACACCGAGCCCAACGATCAGGGTGACATCGAGAAGCGTCCCGGAAAGCTTTCCGACTACCTGCCTTCGCCCTACAAGAACGACGAGGCCGCTCGCGCTTCCAACAACGGTGCCCTTCCCCCGGATCTATCGCTCATTGTCAAGGCTCGCCACGGTGGTTGCAATTACATCTTCAGCTTGTTGACTGGGTACCCCGAGGAACCACCTGCCGGTGCTGTTGTTCCGGAAGGTCTGAACTTCAACCCCTACTTCCCCGGTACCGGAATTGCCATGGCCCGTGTTCTCTACGACGACTTGGTCGAGTACGACGATGGAACAAAGGCATCGACTTCGCAAATGGCCAAGGACGTCACCGAGTTCCTGAACTGGGCTGCCGAGCCTGAGATGGACGACCGCAAGAAGATGGGATGGAAGGTCTTGGCCGTCACCAGTGTTCTTTTCACCATCAGCGTCTGGGTTAAGAGGTGAGCAACTTGCGCGTTTGGTTTTTGTCAATCGATCGCGGTGCTAACAAATGACGCAGATACAAGTGGGCCCCACTAAAGACCCGAAAGCTTGTCTACAGCCCGCCCGCCCAGAAGCGCATTCTCGACAATATCCCCAAGCCAAACACCCAAGGCAAGACGAACCAATAGATGTGGAGCGTATTTGCATTCCGGAGAGTGGGAAGGAGAGCCGAGTAGAGAGGGTGTGTGTTCTATATCTTGTACAGTGCCAGATACTTGCTCAAAATACGAGTTCTGAACTTTTTCTTTTGACTGGTGACGTGGATATAGATCTTTCCAGCTCTGCTGATGTAGTGTAGCGTCAATACAGCTTTCGACCTGTTTATCGGTGTGTTTGTGCTGGTCTCCTTGAAATTAACAAACTAGTTTCTCAAGCCGCATGGGCGTTGCTCTTTCCTGGAAAGCTTACATGACAGGCGTAAGTTGCCCTTTGTGGCTTGGCAAAAGACTGGGGAAGTATGGCATAAGAGTATGGCTTCCCCCGCTCCCATTTCCAACCGCCTTTTTTCGATTTCCTCTCCCGCTCCGCACACAGTCCACGCCCGTCTCGCCTACGATTACCGATTCCGTCTCACCGACCGTTTCAGCCTCGCCGCTGTCCTACGAACACCGACCAATACCGTCTCGACAACTCAGCCTGGTTGTCCTCTTCTGCCAACTCGATCCCGACCCCCGTCGTCGCCCTTTTCGCCAAGTCCCAACTCAGCCAACCATGTCCGACAACATCGACTGCGACATGCTGCTCGCCTCATTCGACTGGGGTATGTCCGACGATGATAGGACCACGTTCGAGGAGCTGCTTGAGGGCGTCGAGAACGGACCGTATGCTGATGCCTGGGCCTTGGCTGGGCTCCAGGCTGATCAGGCGGAGCCTGGTGATAGGTGAGTTAAAAAAAAGACATGAGCTAACAAAAGGGCAAGGTGGTCGAACCCACAGTTGTCTCGCAACGGGATGTCGTCCAATCATGCAACATCTGCAGATTTGCCTCAGGCGGTCCAAGATGTCTACGAATCGTTCAACGAACAAGAAATCACTACGTTATCAGCACCAACAAAAGTCTTCCTCTGTGGCTTCGAATCATGCAAGTCGAAACCATTCAAACGTCGTGCCGAGTTGCATCGTCATGAATTGAAACATGGAAAGAAACCAGACTTCCCGTGCATGGCGCAAGGTTGCAAACGGGGCGGCAATAAAGGCTTCCATCGGAAGGACAAACTCGTTGATCACATGCTCCATGGTCATGATGAAGATACGCTTTTCAAGTGCGAAGAACCAGGTTGCAACGTGGAGCTTACCAGAGATGTTCTGCCAATTCATGTACATTGGGGAAACATCTACGCTTCTCTCAAATATTGGCGTAAATGTCCCATGCCGAGATGTCCCTTCAAAGTCTTCGCTGAGAGAAAGTCTCTGGATACTCTTCAGAACCACCTGCTCGAGAAGCACGATGTCAACGGACGAGCCAACTTCGCCAAAGTTATAGCGGAGAGAGGCTATGACTTCAACACTTGCAGAATCAAGTGCCCGATCTGCCCTCATGACAATCAATTCGCTATTCATGCAGACTTCTACGCGCATTTCATGCGGCATCACTTCGATGGCCCAGTTTGTGCGTTGGACGAGGATGCTTCGTGTCTGAAAAACTGCGGGGGTAGAAACGCCAACTTTCGTCTTTCAAGGTGCACGTCCGTTCCGGATGAAGTCCGCGAACACCGTCGCAAACTTCTCAGCCTTTGGCCCGACTTCGCAATATACCCTGTCTGGGATGATCTCAAATGTCGCTTCTGATGTCCTGTTGTATTGGACAATGGTATACGACAAGTCCATACAAGCTTGTAATTTGGTGTCGGTGTCTCTTTGGGTTTTCCTTGTGTCTGGTTTCTTTTCAACGGTTGTCTTTGTTGCATGTTGTTCGAGTCAATGTATGTATTTCCTTAGATAGAAAGAATCCAACTTCGTACGCTCTTTATCATGTTACCTCCTGAGATCGACTCCCCATACTAGGAGTGTCAACTTTGAACACACTCTCTGTTGCCTTGTATTTCTATGTGACCGCGTTCATACAATACGTATCAAAGTTGACAGTTAGTTCGCATCGCAGGAATGGGAAAACTTAGCTGCGGAGAGTTTAGTAGTCGGAGAAATGATGTATGATTAGAAGTTGTTGTACTGATGGTGTCAGCTTTTCCCCCAACGCGTAGGTACTCTCTCCAATTGGTATGTGTCTTGGGCTTTTGCGTTGTGTAACCTCAGTAGTCAAACTCTCGTCAGATTTGAATTTCTTCATGCATTCATCGTGGAGACTTGGATAAACTTGTTAGAAGAAATCGGAGTACTCAAGCTTCACGATCATCCTTACGAGTCGCATCTCACGACACAACAAACCATTCCAACAGTCACAATTACTCCATAACCAGAATAAACATCCAATAAAAAAGCGCCCTCCGTTCATCAACCATCGTGACCACAGCCTCAGGGTCCAGACAAGGTACTAACACCCAACACAGCTAGCCAAGTACCCCACGCGTCCCAAGCCGCGAAGCCGCGAAACTGCGGTGTGATCCCTGCATACGGGGGCCCCCTCCAAAATATATCTGGCAAGACGAAGATCTAGTTCTGCTTCCGAACGTCTTGTCAAATCCTTCCAGTGTTCAATTGCCCTCCTCTCATTCACGTTTTCGAGTTTTTAATCAGTTTCGCAGAGAACATATAGTTCGTACTCCAACATGGCCACCGCAGCTGTTTACCCACCGCTCGACCAGCGCCCGGTCAAGAACACGGTTCTCCTCTTCGACGTTGATGATACGCTCACATTGCCGCGCCAGGTAAGAAACACTCATTCCCTTTGAATTCAATCCGCACTCCGTACCCTCCAAACCCACAATGTTGCAACCAACCCTTTCTAACTCCCCTCCCAGCTCGTCAAGCCTGAGATGCTCCAGCTGCTCTCCGAGCTCCGCCACAAGGTCGCCATTGGTTTCGTGGGCGGCTCGAACCTGCCCAAGCAGCAGGAGCAGCTCGCGGGCCCGGGCATCAACGTCACGAGCCTCTTCGACTTCTGCTTCGCGGAGAACGGGCTCACGGCAATCCGGTTGGGCGAGGAGTTGGCGAGCCAGAGCTTCATCGGGTGGATTGGGGAGGACAAGTACAAGAAGCTCGTAAAATGGTACGTCGGCTCCACCAAAAACACATCCCAGAGTTTATGTCGAGCGCGCTACTTCACAGAAGTACTTACACCACACCAAAGCTAACAATACCCACCCAATAGGATTCTCCACTACATCGCCGACCTCGACATCCCCATCAAGCGCGGCACCTTCATCGAGTTCCGCAACGGCATGATCAACGTCTCACCAATCGGCCGTAACGCGTCCGTCGACGAGCGCAATGACTACCAAAAATACGACATCGCAAACGACATCCGCCCCACAATGGTCGCCGCGCTGAAAAAAGAGTTCCCAGACTACGGCCTCACCTACTCCATCGGCGGCCAGATCTCATTCGACGTCTTCCCCACCGGCTGGGATAAGACGTACTGCTTGCAGCATATCGAGGCCGAGAAACAGAGGTCCGGCATCGAGTACACCGATATCCACTTCTTTGGCGATAAGGCGTATGAGGGCGGGAACGATTGGGAGATTTACAGCGATAAGAGGACGATTGGGCATAAGGTTAAGAATCCGGCGGATACGTATCAGCAGTTGCAGGACCTGTTGAAGAGCTTCCAGTAGGTTGGATTGCTGGGGTTTGAGGAGGGAGGGGGTGTTATGCGATCGAGGAATATGCATGGTACCGTAGCATGAAAGAGTACGAATGATGAACCAATTCAAGAATCAAACTTAAAACGCAACAAGCGCATACACAGCACATGTCACATCCACATCAAAAGAGCCATTGTTTTGCAATTTATAGGATTGAATCGTCGACGGTCTGATAAAGGCTTTCTAGTGAGAAGAAAGGAAAACAGCTGTCCGACTCCACTAATGCACGCTCTAGCAATCCATCGCTGTGGTATCGTCCGTTCATGCATTCATTCATTCATTCCATTACGTTGCGCCATGCTGTGCAATCATCCATCACGGTCATCTCGTCAAGGTCGTGAAGATGCGTCGCTTCGTCGCTCCGCAGACAAGGAAGGCATCGTGCTTCCATAAAGAACCCCCACCCGTACAACTCCGAGATCATCTGATGCAATCTGAGGGAAAAAGTAACTTCAGCCGCTCCATCACGTATCCTACGAGGACGTGTGGATCTTGCTGAGTTTGGTCAATATATTCAAGAGACCTGATGTCTGTCAGCGAATGCAGATGAAAGAAAATGAGCAGAATACATACCAGTCGTGCCGTTGGTGAGCGTGGACATTGCGACCGAATTGCGGTTGCCGACTGTCACAGTCTCGACGTTGGGGACGACCCATTCATCCTTCAAGGCCTTCGCCCAGCGGAACACGGTCTCGTCGTTGCGATCGTTTCCAGCGACGAGCAGGAGATCCGGACGAGTGTTCTCGGCGTATTTCTTGAAGAGGTGTCGGGCGGCGGTGGCCTTGTCGTAGTCGACAGACTCGATGATGACGGAATCTCTCGTGGGGATGGCCTTGACACGCTGCTGTTCGCAAGCGTCGTTGATGTGATTCGCACAGTCACCTGCGTTGCGACTTGGAGCATCACTGTCACCCGCTCTCTGGTAGTGGAAGATGAGCGAGCAGTGTCGCTCTTCAACCCAACTGCCCTCCACACGCTCCACGTAGTACTGGAGGATAGGCTTGACTGACTCCTTCCACTTGACTGTCTTTTCTTCGTTGGGGAACTGCGTCCACTCTTGTGAATGAGGTTCTCGTAGGAAGCACCCGTTCTCAGCAATCAGACCGAGACCACGGACACGATTGAAGATCAACTCGGTTTCCGAGACAGGTTGACCACTCATCACGTAAACGCTGTTCTTGTCATCAGCAACGAGCTCATTGAGAACGTCGATGACACGCTCCGTATTGGTAATAACTGTGCTATTAACCGATCCGTATGAGGCCAGCGTGCCCTCGTAGTCGAGGAGAAAGAGACGTCGCGAGGTCTGCTCGTAAGCGCGAACAAGGTTGTGAGAAGAGAGTCGAGGGATAGACAATGTGTCGCGACTGAATTGTTCTTCATGGACTTTGGCAAGATGTTCGATAAGATTGCTGAACCAGAAGTCACCGGTGTGATGCATGACCATGTTTCGCATCTTCGAGTACCGTCGTTCCTTCTCTTCGTTGCTCATCTCCAGTGCAATCTTAAAAGCCTCGGCGATGTTGTTGTAGTCCCACGGGTTCACAGAGAGGTCGGCGCCATCGAAAGTAGCAGAACTTCCAGTGAATTCGCTGAGAATAACAGGTCCGTACTTCTTCTCGCTGGCCTTGCCATCTTGACAGATTACGAATTCGTGGCAAGTAAGGTTCATCCCTTCTCGTAGACTTGTGATAGCGAGAGCGTCCGCAATCGATAGCAGAGCGAGGAATTGTGGATAGGAAATATCCTGCCTCAAGAAGACAAGAGGGTTGTGCGTCAAAGTAGAGTGCACAGCGTCGATTCGGGTGACGATTTCTGAGACGGTTGCAGACAGCTCGTGGTCCTCGGTTGTAGAAGTGGCAACCTGGATCAAAACCACTTTGTCCTTCCACTGCGGATTCTTGTTAAGGAACAACTCAAAAGCCAGAAGCTTCTGTCGAACTCCGCGAATATTATCGAGCTTGTCACGCGCAACAATGACCTTCTTTCCCTCGTAACGCTTCTGCATCGTCTTGATCCACTCTAGTACTTCTGGCTCTTCTCGATGTTGAGCAAGTGCGCGAGGATCGATACCGATCGGGGACGACAAAACATTGACGAAACGGTTTTCTAGTTGGACTCCGTCCTCGGTAGCTTCAACTGAGAGGATCCGACTGCATGTCTGCAGGAAGTGGTGGGCGTATTCGTGAGTCTGGAATGCAACCAGATTGGCACCTAACATGCCCTCCAACAACTCTTTGCGAGAAGCCAAGCAGCGGAAGACCTCAGATGAGGGGAAGGCGGTGTGGAGGAAGAACCCAATCTGCACATCGGGGAGCTTCTGTCGAATCATCTGCGGAACCAAGCATAGATGGTAGTCGTGGACCCAGATGATGTCGCCTCGCTTGTAGTTCTTGACCACCTTGTCCGCGAATGCTTGGTTGATCTTGACATAGTAGATCCATGAGTGGTCCAAGAAAGCCTTGCTCTTGGGGTGGTCAGGGATGATGTAGTGAAACACAGGCCACAAGATGGTCTTGCAGTAGTGGGCGTAGTGTCCGTCAAAGTCTTTGTCGCTGACGAAAACGGCCAGAGCCTCCTGTTCTTCTTCAAGCTTCTCGTAGATATCATTCTTCTTCTCCTCGTTCAAGCTGTCGGTCGGAAAGCCGATCAAACCAACAGTAAGTACATCCTTTATGCTCTTGTTGTTGATTGCAGCACGGACGGCGTTGAAGAGCCCGCCGTTGCCTTGAATTGCAGGCACGACCGAGTAATCAGATGCCCATCGCGGATCCGTAGTCATCTGTCCCGGTTGCGAGTTTTTCATGCGCTCTTTCTGAGCTTGCGCGCGTTCTTGTGCTTTCGCGTACTCGAGAATCGTATCAGGCAATGCTGGGTCGGTCCTCGAAATCGGTTGATTGAAGAATAGACCGCCCGCACCCCACTCTGGAATGTGAGCATCGCTGCGGACTAAGCTCCTGGGATCTGATGGTCGCGGGAAGTGTGTCGCGGCGCTGGGCAACGCGGGCGTGAAGAAGTCTTCATGCTCTAGCATAGCCCCTGGTGTCTTCGGCAGCTGAATGTGCGAAGGTGGCGCCCGCTTAAGGATGCTCTGTACCTGCTCATCCTGAACACCGCGTATGCTTGTAGCGGAGGTCTGTCGTCCGACTTCACTGATCGTAGGTGGGGAGGCTTGTCGAGGGCTCGAAGGTTGGGTCGACTTGGACAGGTGGAAGTCTATCGTATGGGGAAGGAATCTGAGTCGTATCAGCTGACCTGCTGTATCTTGAAAGAACCAGTCGTTTGACTGTCATACGTCTCGGAACTGGAACAGTGCGGTTGAGGCTTACTTACAGGGAGACGACAAAGGTCGACATGGTGGGTGGTGGCCGAGCGTTGGAGCCCAAGGCGCAAGAAGTGTTCTTCTAGGGATAATATAGGAGTGTCGGTCTAATATAGGTGAAAGAAGCGGAACAGACGTAGGAAACTCCCGGTGATGTCGAGGTGAGGCAGGAAAAGCGGTGGGGTAGGAGAAGTTCCAGTACGTTCGAAGGGGGGGGGGTCTAGGAATACTGTCCAGCGAGATTTGCAACACGTCGCACGCCTCTTCTCGCGGAATGATAAGCCTTACAGCTTATCTACAAACGAATGCAATTGTCGGAAGCGTTCTCGGATATTTTGTGCGAGGTCGCGCTGTGGGACAGGGAGTTTAATGGATCTGTCGCGAGCTACCTACAAAGCTTGCAAGGAATCAGGCGCGCCCCGCATGACGTCGGGTAGGAAACAACAACTCGGCCCCTCCAACTTGTGGAATACCGCTACACTAGCACTTGGAGACTGTGCCATGATCCACATCAGTCTATGTGTTTGGCTCAACCCTTGTACAGAAGAGTACTGCGACCGAGATGATGGTTCGGAATTTTGCGATTTGTTGATTTAGGAGATCGCCATAGGCTCGTACGTCAATGGCAACAACATTTGGCTCACATGTGAAGACTAGTCGAAGATCCAAGTAGATCATACGAGTATCGAGTCAAGTGGATACATTGATGATGGTACTTTCACAATCCCATGTCCTGAAAGAAATTCGATACCAGGATGCCAAAGCGCCGAAGTAACGCCTGAAACGACAAGATTGATGTTTGTTTCATCAAGGGAGACGTCTTGTCATCGTCATGGTTTGTTTCACATCTTGTCAATCTATCGTGTTCCGTCTTCGGCCCTTTCCCGTCTCTGCGAAGGTGACCAACAGCCTGTAGATGGAGAAACCCTCCCAGGATTCGAATGTAAATCTAATCGTGACGGTAAAAGAACGTATACACTCAAAACCCCTGCGATTTCAGATGCCGCAGGCATCCTGAAGGGTATCTTCTGAGGTAGGTATCCGTAGATGTAAAGCCTTCTAGGACCCGACAACAATCGCAATACTTAGGCATTTATGTCTACGACCATGTTGAACCCTCACTATTTTCGCCCACGTTATCAACTAACGCAAGACTGACATTCAGAATAGCTAGTATACAGTCATCTGAGTAAAATAATATGTTTTGCAATCCCTCTCATTTCCATAGGTATCCCAGATATATCCAAAACCAGCCAGCGAGTGAAAGCCTCACACATCTCACAAGTGTCAAAGCCCCATCCCAGCCATTGGTCAAACAACCACGGAAGGACTTGTCCAGCACCAAACGACGACACCTTCCTAAGCAGGCAGGTTAGACCCAATGGCGTCGATTCCTGATGATCACTTTCCCACCAATGACCATCCCATCGTCCACGGAGCATCAGGCACCCATGTATTCACACAACAAAGCCCCGATCAAACCGTCTCAACCCCCACAACCCCTCCATCACCAACCCATAAAACTAATCCGTTTACAATGACACCCCCAAACATCCCCTTCATCTACCGCCTCTGGCATCTCTACCTCGAGCCAATCGCCGCGATAGGCGGAACTATTCGCCTCATCGCCGCGCCGGCCACATACTTCGACTTCATGCCCGCGACCGCCGCTTACAGCCCCACCTCGCACATCGTGTACAACCAGCTCGCGGCTACATACTTGTTGTTTGCGTTCAACCAGGCGGTTGTGCTGCGGGTTGCGAGGGATTTGCAGGTCTGGAAGGCGCTGATATTGGGCATGCTGTTGTGCGACGCGGTGCATATATACGCGAATTGGGCGGAGATGGGCACGCAGCTTATGCTGAACCCTTGGTTGTGGCGGGGAGGGGATGTGGTAACGATGAGTTTGAATGTTGGGCCGTTTTTGCTGAGGGCTGCGTTTTTGGCGGAGGCGGGGTTTGGGGGGAGGAGGAAGACGGCTTGAGGGACTTGTTTGGAGGGGAGCGACCTGGGAGGGATGTGGTTGTTTGGATAGGATTGATATGTGAGCGGGAAACGGGGTTTGCTGGCTTTCATGAGATTACAGATCGACTCTTGCTCTTCTTTATTATTTCTACCCCAATTTGTGACACCTAGACATGCGCGATTCGTGTAACATTTCAAGTTCTTCCTTTGCAATACATTACCTACCTTGTTTGAAAGCCACAGTTCGACTCAAATCCATTATCTACTTCGGCTTCCATCTCATCCCAGATGAGATGGACAGAACCAAATGCTCGTGATTGGGTAAGCGGTTGACCTAGCGTTGTGATGGGTTATTCACTGATATCAATACCAACAACTCGCTTTCCGATTGTAGAGGTTCAAGTTTGATGTCATCAAATCTCCATCTCCAGGCTCGTACTTCCAAGCCACTTAACCGCCAAAGCGAACACATTCTCTAAACTCCTTTCGTACACGGACAGTTGAAGAATCACTTAACTCCCTTCTAGGACAAAACGAAGCAGCATGCTAAAGGCGACACAATGCACATTTACACACTTCTATACATCTATCTATATACACAAGCGGCAAACCCCTTTCCCCCATCTATACACTCCGCCTCCAATGCAACAGCTCGTCAGCCAGATTTACTCCTTCTTCGGCCTACCGTTCTGCACACGCGCCGCAACATCTGAGTTCAAACTGCCCTTCTGGATGAAGTAAGCGCGTTCGACAAACTTCAGCACCTCGTCGATAAGACTATTTTATCTGTTAGCATATTTGGGAGATGGTCATGGTGAGGTAAGGGGGACTTACATGATGGGCGCGCTGATGGCCAAGACGGCTTGCCACTCGCTCCAGTTGAGAGGGATAACGCTGAACAAGCCCTGCAAGAACGGTAGGTAGAGCAGCGCGAAGTGCAGAGCCATCGAGAGGCAGATAGCGTAGACGAGCATCATGTTCTTCCACAATGGTAGCGTGAGCAGACTCTCTGACGAGCTCAGCGCGTTCATAGCGTTCAACATCTCGATAACAACAAGGATAGACAGCGAGACGGTGGACGCAGACTTGGCCGAAACATCCGTGAACATTTCGCAGCCGATTTCGGGGAACTGGGCCGAGCAGCTGTGGAAGTTGCGGAGCTGGTAGAAGGAGATTTGCGGGCCTGCGCTGTTGAACATGAACCACCAGGCGTAACCGAAGACGGTGGCGGCGCCGACGTACGTGCCGATGACCATGTAGCGGAAGAATAGCCAGCCTCCGATGAGGGCCTCGTCGCGCTTGCGGGGCTGGCGCTTCATGACGTCGTGGTCGGGCGGGTTGAAGGAAAGGGCTGTGGCGGGGAGACCGTCGGTGACGAGGTTGACCCAGAGGAGTTGGACGGGGATGAGAGCCTCGGGCATGCCCATGGCGGCTGTGAGGAAGATGGACACAACCTCACCAATGTTGGAAGAGATAAGGTAGCGGATAAATTGTTGCGTGTTGTTGTAGATGGAGCGGCCTTCTTCGACGGCGCCCTCGATGGTGGCGAAGTTGTCGTCTACGAGGACCATGTCGGCAGCGAGTTTGGCAACGTCGGTTCCTGAGCCCATAGCGACACCGATATCTGCCTTCTTGAGAGCGGGCGCATCGTTGACGCCGTCACCGGTCATGGCGACGACCTCACCAGCCTGTTGGAGGAGGTCCACGAGCTTCGACTTGTGTGTAGGTTCAGTGCGAGAGAACAGCGAGGCGTGCTTGGCAGCCTCCATTTGCTCAGCCTCGCTCAGATCGTCGAATTGACGTCCGGTATAGCTCTTTCCTGTAAGATCTTCATCCTGGCCAAAGACACCAATCTGTCGGCAAATGCTCTCAGCCGTGTTCTGGTTGTCACCGGTGATGACCACGACGCGGATACCAGCGGAACGGCACTTGGCAATCGATGCCTTGACTTCAGCACGAGGAGGGTCCAACATGCCAACGAGACCGATGAGAGTCATGTTCTGCTCCAGCTGGGCGTACTCTTTGGTGGTCTTGGCCCTGGATACAAGTGGGTTGGAACCGACATCATCAACGGAGGCTATGGCAATCACGCGGAGACCACGGTTGCCGTACTCGATAATCTCTTCCTGGATAAGGCTGGCGAGTTGTCCGATGAGGGGAACCTTCCTCCCGCTCTTGCCGATAACAACCTCTGTGCAGCGATCGAGAATAGACTCGGGAGCACCCTTAACCAAAAGCTTCTGCGCGTTACCGTTCCTGACCAAAACAGACATACTCTTACGATCGCGGGAGAATTCATATGTAGCAAGCTTGGAGTACTGGTTCTCGTAGAAATCGCTCGAATAATGCACCAAGTTCTCAGGAGAAGTGCTGGCTCGGGTCGCGTTGAAGCTCACGTCAGGAGTGCCAACCTTCTCGACCAGAACGCGGAGGGCGCCCTCTGTAGGCTCACCAACAAGCGCGTATGTACCGTTCTTGTCGTCGTAGGAGAGAGCTGCCTCGTTGCAAAGCGCGGTGACTTCGCAGATTTGGCGGACGGTTTCAGAAGAAGCGGCGAGATTCTGCATTGGCGTTCCCTGGAAAGAAATCTGACCCTCGGGGGAAAAGCTAGTTCCCTCGACATCGAATTCCTCAAGTCCCCTGCCGTCCTCGCTGATGAAAACCATTTTGTTGACGCTCATTTGGTTAGTAGTCAGGGTACCAGTCTTGTCCGAGCAGATGACGCTGCAGCTTCCCAGGGTTTCGACTGATGGGAGACTTCGAACAACGGCATTCCTAGCAGCCATTTTGCGCGTACCCAGAGCCAAACAAGTCGTAATGACAACAGCAAGACCCTCAGGAATAGCAGCCACACCGAGCGACACGGCGATCTTGAGGTAGTAGATGGCGCCCTTGGTAAAGCTTCCGTGCGCCGGGTCGCTGAAGTTGCGGATGTTGATGAGCCAGACCAGAATGCAGATTACAGTGATGACCTTGGCAAGCGTGTCGCCGAAATCGTTGAGCTTGTTCTTGAGCGGCGTGGGCTGCGAGATTTGGGATGTGATGCTCTCGTGAATGTCTCCAATGGCCGTGTTCGCGCCCGTCAAGACAACCAGCGCATTTGCATGTCCAGTGACTACGGTGGTACCGGAGAAAAGCATGTTGACCTGGTCCTGCTTGACAGCATTTGCATCTTTGATGGCCCGGGTGTCCTTGGACACACTCTCGCTCTCGCCCGTGAGAATTGACTGGTCGATGTTGAAGCTGTTGCTCTGGATGGACAGGATCCTGCAGTCGGCGGGGATCCGGTCGCCAATCGTCACCGAAACGATATCTCCAGGCACCAGATCCTCAGCCTTTATGCGCGTAATGTGTCCGTCGCGAACGACCTTGGCCTCATTGGCCGAGTATTCCTGAAGGGCGGCGATGGCCTTCTCGGCGCTCGTTTCCTGCGACACACCAACAACGGCGTTCAATATGAGAATGGTGAGAATCTAGACAGACGCCTTATTAGCACATGCAACAACTCTCCTCTCTAAGAAAGCTACTCACAACCGCAGGATCCACAAATGCCGTCCAGCCCTCGCCATCTTCCAAGAGCGCGAGCACAAAGGAAACGGCTGCTGAACCGAGCAGAATAATGACCAGCTGGTCCTTGAATTGCTCGAGTATGAGCTCCCAAATGGGTGTAGGCGGGTCCTCTGGCAGCGCATTCTTGCCATGCTTCTCGCGCAGGCTCGCGACCTGCTGCTCCGAAAGACCCTTTTCCTCTGTGACCTGGAAATGCTTCAGCGCATCTCCAGGCGTCTGTGTGTACGCATTCTCCATGCTTCTTTCCACGACTGCGCCCGAATATTCCGATTATGTATTAGTCGCCTGACACTCGCGATTCGATTCGATTCGATTGTGAGGCGTTGGGCGTTAGAAAGGTGGAGATTTGACTGAGGCGTAGATAAATGTCGACAAAGCTCGAGGCGTTTTAATGTCGAAACGCGCCAGACTAAACCGTAAATGTATGCAAACTCGAAAAGACCGACTTCCACAAGCACAGCGAGCAGAGAGGGAAGAAGCAAATGTAAAAGGATTGAACAGCGGCTCCCCAAAACAAAAGCGGCTCGAGGTTTCTAGAAACAACTTTGGTACTGGGTCGAGAAATCTGTCCTCTCAAATCGCCGCCAGTAGGAAGCGCTAGCTTAGCCACAACAGCCCGCCCTATCGCTCGCCACGTTTCAGACCTGTCAGTGACGATTTGACTGCAGATGTTTTGGTGCTGCTATTTCCTAGGGCAAGTCACGGACACTGGAGATGTAGGTGTTCCAAAACACAATACTTGCGACAACTTTTTCTGCGGCATCGTTGCGCCTGCCCTCACAAGCGCGGTATTGCCCCGCGATTCAACGTTAGCCTGCGCAGGAACCACTTCACCAAGCCACAACTTCACCCAATTTGGCTGCATCATCTTGCATTGACATGCAGCTTGTCCGCGATGACAAAGAGCCTCATCGTCATCATCACTTGCATGCACACGTTTCTTGTCAACAAGTCTTGCATATCATTACTATTCGTCGCTCGAGTCGTTCCAGCTATCATCGTTCAAAAGGTATCATAACAAAAATCCGAGACAATTGGTCTCTCCTCCCAAGGTAAGCCCAAGGCTCTGCCAAATGGTCGTGCGAACAACGTGCGGCTATTCCGCGCCCCCGTACATTATAAACTATAAATATTGTAGGAGTATGCGAAATGTGTCTTGACTATATTCAAGGTATTAAAACTTCAAGACCCGGCGTCCTACGTGGTCCTCTTACTCGCACAGTACGTCCGGATCAAACGGACAATGTCCCTCGTCACAAACGGCTTCGTGATGAATCCTTGCATCCCGCTCTTGCCAGCCTTCTCAAGTGCTGCATCAGTCACGTCTGCACTGACTGCCAAAATAGTTGGCGTCCGACCAGTCGAACTCAACTCCTGCATATCAAGAATCAACTCAGTGGCCTGGAATCCGTCCAACAATGGCATCCACAAGTCCATCAACACCACGTCGATAGCTTCAGAAGCAGGGGCGAGCGCATTGCGTCGCATGAGCTCAACAGCGTCGTTTCCGTTGAATGCGGTAATGACATTCTTGTAGCCTAATCTACTCAACATGCTGACTAGGACGCGCCGGTTGATCGAGTTGTCGTCCACAACGAGAAAGTTCAGAGGCAGCTGTTTAGCGAGATCAGCGGGCGGCGAGTCTTGCTTAGAGGTAATGACGCGATGGCGGGGAGGCGGTGTGTTGCTCTTTGGTGTCATGAGCCCAATGTTTCTAGGTAAGGGAATCGTATCAATGACGATGGCGGGAGTATTTGGTGGTGGAACCGGTGTGATGAACTCAAGTTGGTTCTTGAAAACATCGACGGCCAGGGGTGGGGTGACAGGCGCGCCTGGAATTGCAAGGTGCGATGTCTCAGAGTCGATTGACATGCGCGATTTGACAGAAGGACTCGGCGACCCAAACGGTGATGCGGGACGACTACATGTCTCACCTGGCGTGAGTGGAATACGCAGTTCGAACTCGGTGCCCCTCCCTGGCCCGGACACGAGTGAACGCGCACAGAACAGATCGCCACCAAGCTTCCTCGCAAGCCCTTTGGCAACCATCAATCCTAGACCCAGGCCTTCGCTCTGTCGGGTAAAGGAATCATCTTCCCGTGAAAAGGGCTTGAAGAGTTTAGGCAAAAAGGCAGCGGGAATACCAGGGCCGGTATCCTTGACGTTGACAAGGATATAGCGGCCCTTGGAACTGAGAGTCGCCTTCAGTGTGATCAATCCGTCTTGTGTGAATTTGATGGCGTTCAATGTGAGACAAGAGATCATCTTCGCCAGATCTCTCTCGTCAATTATGATTGTATCTGGTACATCAGGGGACACACTCCATTCGATCCACTTGGTGTGTGCATCGTTGTTTGGGCTGCGTGTGCGCACCTCGATCCTTTCTCCCGTGTCTGTCGCTTCAGCAATGGCGGAATCTGGTCTGCCTCCTACTTTAAGCGCGTCGTTGATCACATACTGAAGGACCTCCCTCAGGTTTGTATGCCGGAGCCCCGGAACCTTTGAATGCTCAGATGCAAACATCGGAGAGCGTGCCGACACACATTGGGCAGATGGGACTCCGTAGGAGTGGGCTATTTCCAGTTGATCCAGTGCATTGACACCGACCTCGGGAGGACAAGACAACGAGCCTCGAGTAGGGGAGTCTGCAGAGAAAGAGCCTCGAACACGTTGGCGAGCGTACTTGGATACTCGTGTTTGAGAGTTCTTGTTTGCCCGTGACATGTCTTCTCTGTTTCTTTTGATACCACGGAACTGATCTCGAAGCTCATTGTTACCTGAGATCATGAGATCAGGTCGCATCTCACGCCAGAAAGAGTTCCATTGAGCGGGTGCCTCATCCAGTGATGACAGAGGTGTTTCTGGTACACCCATGTTCATGTCATAGGCATGCACGACATTATCGGCCGCTTCGACTGCACGTCTTGAGCTGTCTATCACACAGTCAGTACTGTTTCGATATCATGACCAATAACTATCTGCTTCCAGCTGACAAATGTCCTAGTCGCGAGCTACGATCTATCAAGCACAGCAACTTTGTGTCAGATCTACGAAAAAACATTACTCACCTTGAACAGCTTCGATATTCTCTCTGATTGTGTCGAGCATTGTCCGAGTTCGTCCATTGAGGTCCATTGTCTCTGCAGCTTCCTTCACATTGGCCATCATAACATCGAGCATACCGACTACGCCCTGCATTGGCGTTCGCAACTCATGCGACAAGCTTCTAGCATATGGTTTCAAGGATTGAGCAACTGAGACGGCGTTGTGTGGAACGATTTTCGATTCTTCGCGGCACATGGGCTGTGCTGCTTTGGCGAAACGGTCTCCCTCTAGCACACGATCTAAAATCATGTCTTCAAAGCTATGAAGTATCATCTCTAGATATCCCCAAGTTAGCACACGGCGTGCAGCCGCCTCATGACTCCACATGACACCGAAATGAGCGAAACATTTTCCGTCCGAGAATAACGGTACCCCGAGATACGCCTCTCCGGGAATGACCAGATCGTTTGGGTTGTTGATGATGAACTCGTTTAGCCTTTCTGGAATGATGAAAATCTTCTCGTGCTTCATGTAGGCGCAGGGACACTGATAGGCATGGTACTTGAAATTCCGAAGGAGGCCCGGACCGTTGCCTTGGTCGTTGTTGATGTAGAAAGCCTCTCCCATTAGACACGCTCCAGGTTCCCCGATCGGTGGCATTTCGACGGCAACATCTTTGTCGTTAACCAGGACCCGTTTGGAGACAAAAGCGTACTGAGCATCGGTGATGAGAGCTAGGCCTTCAGTAAGCAGGGCCCAGAAACTGTCCGTGTCGGCGTTGCGGAGAGCGTCCTTGAGTTTGACGACCTGCTCGGCGGCGTTGCTTTCGGCTGGGTCATAGATTCGCGATAACTCTTGTTTGAAGCCGTGTTCGCCTGCCTGGGCTACCATACCAGGCATTGGCATAGAGATGGCGAGGGACTGCCTCTCGATTATATCAGGCGGAATGGGCGCATCGTTGGACTTGTCCATCTTTCAGAATGCCCATCCAGGCGGGCTCGATATTTGCCGATGCAGGGATATGATTTAGTCAGAAGCTCCCGTGCTGATCGTTTGTAAAGAATGCAAGGCCACGTTGTGGATGAACAAAGCGATGCGACCTGTAGGGTGACGGTGAGATCAGAGCTTGGCTACCGAAGACGAGTATTTTGCGAAGATCAAAAGCGGACGATGCCGACGGACGAATGGTGAGTGGTGTTGTGGAGGCAGGGTATCGGGGTGTGAAATGCAGTGGTGTACAGGACGAAAAGGGCGGGAGACGAGGGATGGAGGGTGCTCTCGGCGATATGGGGATCGTATGCAAAGGCCCTCTGCAAAGAGCTGCTAAAGTCACACATAAAAGGCCTGGCCGCAGGTTACGCTCGAAGACGATCTAGAACATGTCCCGATACTGTGGAGGCCTCTGCGTTGCCTTGCGACCCCGAGCGTCTCCGTCTGTGAGTGAGATAGAGAGACGAGCCGTGGGAGCTATGTCGCGCGGCTGCATCGACAACATACCTAGCCCACCCCAAGTGAATACGTGCGCTCGAACTGAGGACGAACGCATGGTGGTTGTCGTTTATGGAACGCATCCTGATCGACGCGGGAGACGTGTCTTGGCTTGGAGGAATCTAGGCCCTGTCCGACTTACGCCGCTAGACACGAACACACTGGATCTGCTAGCGGTTGTTTTATTCGGTCTTCCGTGTCACCCCGACTTCCGACGAGGTCACTGCCCGCAAACAACGTCAACATTCTGAGCTTTCCATGACGGCCGCCTGGCTGAGTGCTACATGCAAGCGCGGGAACAAGCATGCAGCGCTGCGTGCATATGCACACAGCCCATAGTGTCGTCTATGGCTGACCTACATCTGAGGTCAGCTAGTGTGAAATCTCGATCGAGGCAATGCGGGGACGGCATCGTCCCCTACTTGTGTCATGCGCATGGACCGTTCGTTGGGTCTCAGCTCTACACCGTTCGTGTGTTCACCGTGTCCCTCCTGGGTAGGCGGATGCACAATGTCACTTTTGTTGACGCGGCTCTGGGTGGTCGTGAGATCTCTCGTTGGCATCAGCAATCCGACGATCGCAAGTCCCGCAAAACTTTCCGCGTCTCTCGATGGTGCCATCAACGCTTGCTAAGGGTTGAGCGAATCATGTCTGGATCTTGTCTCGTTATTCCCATGCCTTCATTCCCACTCCCCTAAACAACCGTTTGTCCTGGCTGGCGAATCATTTGCATACAAGAGTTACAAGCTCTCCTCTGGACGGCGAACAAACCGTCTGGGCATTGGTTGGGTAACGTTACATGGCGTCACCTCAGATCAAGTTCAGACGGACAGGCACGGATCTCTCAACTATCAGGCAAATCGAGCTATCAGACAAATCGAGCCATGCAACTGACACATGAGTCGATCTTGAGCATGAAATCTCAACCCTCTGTCAACACCACTTAGCGTGTCGGACGATCGTTTCCTTTTGCATGGCGTTCTGTGCAGAAACAACAACATCTACGCCACATTAGTTCCTTTTCCGTCCCCTAAGGCTCCACCGTCCAGAGTTGATTACTCGCGGTAGCCACCCGGCAAGATACACACGCTAGAAACATACAGCACTAGCTTACCTGGTACTCATTATGCAACCTTGGGAAGAGCCCACCACAACCAGACTTCAAACCTGCCACGCTGCTACAGCTGCCTCACAGCAATCTTACTAGCACACCCCTAACGAACGTTTCCCTGACTGCAGTTCTCTTGCCTATGGCGCTTCTTTACGTCGAGATTCATGGGCCATCCAGGGTTCCCTTTGTCGTCGAGCTTCTAGACCACGCAAGGTACAATCGCTCAATCTGCTGGACCAAAAGCTCCGCACGGAACCCGACCAGCAGATCGCGTAGATACCACTCGTTCTACACCAGTTGACAGAAACGTGCTGACTTTGCTGCATACGCGTCGATGTCATTTGTCCTACCTGGGTCACCGGAAGCCGTGGACGACCGCAGAAGCGTAAAACGTATGCCAGAGCATCCCGTTTCCTGTGCGCAGAGCATCGGCTTCCCGAGGACCTAGAGTAGTCCAGACTGAGCCGTTCTGTCACACTACTGCTGCAGCTCCCGCCTCACTCTGAGACGTCGCGATGGCTGTTTCTTACACTATGACTGCATGCACGGACCCGCTTTGGATAACAAAAACATACCACCACCCCCCCCGTTCTGAGCCCAGACGCTCAGGCTTGCGATGTATGACGATGTGAGCGCGTGCACGCATTCAACCCTCAACATCAACACCATGCGTCTCTTGGCAACGGTCTGGACCGGCTCTCTGTCACAACGGCACACTATAACTCACGGACGAGGTCATTCATACCTCATCACCTCCCCGGATCACGTTTGCTCTTTCAACCTTATTCTATGAAGACGTTGACACTCTGATTGGTGACGCGTGGTTTGCTACAAACGTTGCCAGTGCATTGCAGGGATCGCTGACCACCATTATGGTATGTACAGGGGAGGCTTGCTCCAGGCGCTGGGTCCAGACTCCATGGCCTCCGCCAAAGATGCCGCACCGTTGTTACGAGACGTAGGCCTCGATCAACATGGAGCACGATCCAGAGCTCCCCACCTCATGATTTCATATAAAGACATCATGCTCGAGCGTACACCCTCAGATAGGCGACATCCGTGAGTAGGGTCCAGCCCTGCAACAACGAGTGTCCCAAAATGGCAGTCCACGATGCCCAGCATCGAGGCCAGCCCTTCCGGAAAAAAGCCATATCTGGGCTTCTCTAGGCATTCAACAACGCTGCACTGTGATACGCCACTAAAAATACAGGCTGACAGCCACCATACCGCCTTGAAAACGAAGAAAGTTTAACCCATTCCTACTCGTCCGCTGATTTGGCCCGTCATCACGTCAACGGAATAAACGCCGGCACTGTTTGTCTCTGGAGTCTATGTCTGCTGAACACATGGCAAACCACTACTCTCCTGTCATATCAGCACGCAAATTCCCTATTCACCACACTGTTTACATTCCCACACCTTTCCTCCCGTCCATGTTTCCACCCCGTGCCTCATCGCTACAGACTGCTCTAGATCGCGCCCCTGCCTTACCGTGTGCATCGTGTGCACCGTATCCGTCTTCCAAGCAGGTATCATGGTAATATTCATGCATGCATCACCCGGCGAATCGAGCCGTTGAAGTAGGGGTTAGACGTATGCTCGCTCTGTAAGTTTCGACTCACAACGCGCGATCTCGATGTCTTCCGCGGCCACTGAAACGGAGCTATTCGTCCGAGTGAAAAAGTAAGTTCGGGAGTTCAGTGAGGGGGGATTAAACAAGGGCGTAAACAGCAAACAACGCCATGAAACATCAACGCGTAAACACACAAAACGTTATCAAGAATAAAGCCAAATGATACACATGTGTAGAAAGACTGCATTCTATCTCCCCCTCTCTATGAACACGTACCCCCACAAACAACCCTAGTACGGAATCCCATTAGTGATGAGCTGGAAGCGATCATACGTGCCGGTGGAGTAACTACTAGCACTCTTCTGAATCAAGCCCCTCATATAATCCGCAGCCTCCCTCTCCGTCCTCTCAAGCACAAAGCGATCTCTGAAGTTCTTGATCGTCTCGGGCTTAAAGCACGGCAACCCACTATCAAGCATGACCTCGACAATCTGACTCAGATGATCGCAGTGTTGCCTCGCCGCCAAAAAGGCCTTGATAGTGAGCTCCTCAAACCACCTGTACGGCTGCGACGTCGTCGAGCCGCCCATGACGGCAATCATCTCGGCGGTGAGTTTGAACGGGGCGCGCTCGAATTTGATGCCGCCGGGCGCGATGTCGAAGCAGAAGCCGAAGTCGATGTGGATGATGTGGCCCGCGTCGTCGATCATGATGTTTCCGTTGTGCCGGTCCTTGAACTGCAGGAGGAAGGAGATGACGCTGTACGCGGCCATGCTCTTGACGAAGTTGCTGCGTGCCTCCTGGAAGCGGATCGAGTCTTCGTTGCCGTAGCGGCTCACGAAGTAGTCGTCGAGGCGGTTCACGGCTTCGCGACCGAGCATGTCGCGTGATATCGAGTTGGGTAGGACGTCGATGACACCGCAGCCAGGGGCCGTGGCGGTGACGCGGTAGGGGAACACCCAGACGTCTAGGCCGACCGTGTTGAAGATACCACGGAAAGCGGCGATCATCTGCAGAGCGAGTACGTCCTGGCGGCAGTCGTCACCTACTTTGAAGATGGCGGAGAGCCACGTCTCGTAGGTGTTGTCCTTCTCCACAACGCGGTCGTTCTCCTCGACCTCTTCTATGTCTACAACGGGTTTGTTCTTGCGGATGCGGAAAGTTGCCATGAAGGGTGTTTTGGCGTGACTCTGCAGGGGCTTGCCAGATTTTCTGTCGATACCGATGACTTGTCCGTCTGGATTACTTGGAAGATAGACGCCGACCTCGACCTGAATTTTGCGCAACTCTTCTTCGATCTTTTGCTTCTTGACCTCCTTGGGCTCGTGGAGAACCGAACGAAGCGTTCCGGAGATGCCAGTGACCTCGTTGAAGAAGGCAAATTCGCGCTCGTAGAACGCCCTGTCTTCCGTCGAGAAGCTTGACTCCAGACTCCCCATGACTTTGTCGAGTGTAGGTTTCACTGGGTCCGGCTACGAATACGTCAGCATGTTTATATATCACTATACAGCAGGGGCACTTACAATTTCAGATGTCTCGTCCTTGTATGCGTTTGCCTTCATGTTCCAGATGATCTGATGAGCGAACAGCTGCGAAAACTTCGCCGTCTCGATTATGTACCGTTCGACGTAGCCGAGAACATCATATCGGAGCGTTTGGACAATCTGGTAGACGTAGAAGAACATGACATCCACGGAATGACTCTCCAGCGCCCTCATAGCGTATTGAATGATGAAGGGGTGGTTACCGTACGCTGGCATGAAGAGCGTGACTGCCGTAATGGGGTTGACCGGAGCCCAGTACAACAGGTACTTTTCACAGTTAGCCGCAGTAACTATCTGATTTGGGGCTACATACCTTCAACTGGAACGACACATCACTTGGTAACTGGTTACCGAGAAGTATCTCGAGAGCATCCGGTTCGTCTAGGACTTTGTGAGGGAAGTTAAGCACTTGCCAACGAACTTCAGTATTCAGGCGCTGAGACTGAAAGCGCTTGGGGAGATGCACAGCGATGGCAGGATTTTCTGCCCAAGCTGTCTTGAGATGGGCCGTCACAGCGGTCTAATTGTGTTAGTTTCAGATCGAGTTTTTCCTTTGAAAGATCACTACTCACATCCAAGAGTCCACCTTTTGCCCCAGACGTAAAATGACTCTTCTTGCCATAGTCCAGAGGAAACAGCCACACCGTCAGACGAGTCTGCTCACTAGTGATCAACAGTGACAAAAGATCCTGCTTCGCCTTGAGGTGTTTCGGAGCGGAGTCCGTAGTCAATGTCAGCCTTCCGAGGACGTCGAGATTGGCCTGTACATCCGCTAGAACGTGGGTCTCAGCCTTGATTTGTAGGCGATTACCACCGAACGACCATCTGCTGTTGTTAGCACAAGAATCTAAAAAGAAAAGCATTGGTTGAAACATACTGTGGCGCTCTAGCAAACCATGCCAAAGCAGCAGTCAGGATGCGATCCATCAAACGCCATCTGATAACTGCCGACAGAGTAGTACAATGACGAGCAACCCGCAACCCCAACAAGATGGTATGGAAGTATGCTTCACGTGCGAGAGGTTGCGAGCAGCCCGTGCTCATCGCATCGAGGGTGATGTGTATCAATCGAACGTACACATGCTCAATATCCGGCTTGCTCAGCCGCGATGCGCTGAAATGGCTGGAGAGGAACTGCAACAGTCGAAAATGAGGTGCTATCAGGTTGTAGATGTGTTGCTGGTGTTTAGAAAGAGCCTCCTTGTCTGTAGCAGCAAACTCTTGTTTACCATAGAAAGGGTCTGGATGCCTTTACACAAATTAGCAGGTGACTGAGTAACAAATGTCGAATACGTACTTCAAAGCAGGGCTGAAGAGACCCCGTTGCCTTCGTACTGTATTCTCCCAGTTTTCGGCGATTGCAACCAGAATGCGAGACTCCATTCGTGGGTTCTCCTTGGTTACGCTCGTCCACAATGATATGCCAAGCTTGATGGACTGCTTTGAAAACACCGCGAAAGGAATTCCGACCAAATGCTGAACAATAGGCGATTGGTCCATCTTGACCCTGCACAAAAGCGCAGCTGCTCTACGTAGTATGTCTCGCAGCTCTGCGATAGTGACATGCTTGTGGCTCAATGTGCGATTCTCCAGATCTAGCAAGAGGTTTGTTGCGTCTTGTATGCTGCGAGAAAGAATACTGGAGGTATTTCCAGAAGAGGGCCCGCCTTTCAGCCACTCTTCTTCCTGGTCTACTACATCCAGAAATTTGTATTCCTGTCTGGTAGTATACTGGGTGATGAAGTCTGATGCAGTGTTGATATTGATACCTTGTCGTTCCACAGCGCCCAGACGTTGATCAGTGGATGGGATGACAGATCCCATCTCCAAAGCAAAGGAACGCCCGAGAGAGACGTGTCCGTAAGAAGAGTCGTCATCAAACTCGGAAAGATATGTCTGGAGAAGCCCTTTGATGTCTAGAGGGGCTGCGTCCAGGGCACCCTTGATCCAAGCTGTAGCGCGCTTGTGTAGAGAATCCAGAGTCGCGCGTCTGAAATTGTAGTCATCGGACAACTCTACCACGATGTTCGTTTTCTTCGAAGTGAAAGTAGACTTCCAGGTATATTCATCGGTTTCACCCTCGAGGCAACTGTACCACATCATTGACAAAAGCTCCACAAGAGCAAACAGTGCGCTCTTTTGACACAGAGTCGAAGGCACCTCGCGAATGATCATGTCTGCACATAATGTAGCAGCTTGCTGAACTCTGGCGATGCGGTGACAGCATGCCGCAAATATTGTCGCTAATTGTTGTGCGAGATATGGCGTAGAGAAGGCGTGAGATTGACCAGAAAGAGTTTTGTTCAGATAGGTCCTAACTGCTGTCGTCGTAATTGCTGACATGCAGTTACCTACAGCGCCACTTCGTAGCTTCGGGTCCAGAAAGTAAGCCAACGCCTTAGTACAATCACCTGTGCTGGCTCGGAGATCTTCTACCAAGTATGCAGTATTGAGGAACACTGCCTCCGAGTAGCTGAGTGATTTGGTGTCGGCCTCGCAGGAAGGAAGTGACATGGCCAAACGCTTCCTATGCTCGTTAGTATGTTCAGGTGATTTACCACGGCGCAACACCGTGTTCAGCTCAATATCACTCTCTGAAAGTGATGGACGTTCTTCCGCAATCAAAGGTTTACTGAATCGAGCTAGGGTCCTGAGTTCTTCAATGTGCTGCTTGCCAAGATCGGACGAGAGATCAAAGCCGTGTACAACGATGTTGAACCAAGCATCACGATGAAGAGTGCTGATGCAATCATCTAGCTGGGAGAAGTCGGTATGTTCGGCGGTGCGTGCTAGGAGGAGGGCAAGAGGTTTCAGTAATTGGGCTATCTCCTGAGCTGCCAATTCGGTATCCCGCAAATGCCGATGCGACGTCTCGTGAGCATCTCCCTTACTGACAATCGTGTCCAGGAGGTGGGTGAGGTACGTCTCAAAACCTGGGTCTGTTGCAGATATTTCTCTTGAGATATTCAGGCGCGCATTCATGACCTGAGCCAATGATTAACAATTGTACAAAAGTAAGATAGCGAACGATACTCACGGCTTCCAGCAAAACGCGATCATCCTTCACAATAGCATCGTGACACAACTTGGAATAAAGTTTGAGTAGTGACCTGAACTCTCCCGGCGGACTGTGAATTCCTAGGAACGCTGATTCGGTGATGATCTTGACGTCGACTGCTTTGCCCGATCGTCCCACCTTTTGAATGAGCATAGACAAAGCCAGTGCCGTGACTTTCTCATCCTTGCAATTCCTCGCAACAGATACAACCGTCTCCACGACAGTAGTGTGTACGTGATGCGGCTCCTCCACGTCACTGGGTGCAAGTGATATAGTACTGCCATGCTGATGATTGTAGATACCAGCAGTGCGGGAGGTCTTCTCAGCCCCATTCAACATGGGCGGCGATGCAGTCATATTTCTGTCTGTCGCAGGACCCGCACTTATAATGTTACCAAGACTGTACAGGGTCGTGATGATGGCATCTTGAGGCAAGAGACTAAGAACTGCGGCGAGTGAATTGGCTGCAATCGATGTGGTTCGGTGGTCGAAGTTGCCCTGGACAATCGTACGTGGCAGCGAACGACCCAAACTCGATGCCATGGATGGAGACGTCCCAGCTAGGATAGCCAAGGATTTCAAGACTGTGGATGCTAGGTCGTCATCCGCACTCTGTACTGGGTCATTCAGGACATTGTCGAGCCAGGCCGTCAAAACATCTGCGTCCGCAACACGCTCATCGTAAATTGTACAGCACAAGTAGGTAATGATAACCTTCGCTTTGACCGAGGATGCTTGTCGTTGCTGCCAGGCAGATCCTACACGCTGCAGGTAGTCAATATTGTTTTCCAGCCGCTCCATCTCTTCTACGGCAATGTTCGTGAGTCCTTCCGCGAGCGCGTCCTCAGAGGCATCCCCAAGCGACGCGCTGGGCTTAGGTGACGACCGCAAGTGGTCGAGGATAGATTCCTGGGCTTTACGGTCCGGGGTTTCGACTAATATCGAGGCAGATGCAACCACAAGTTTTAGAAAAGCATCGTGAAGGATCATGGCGCCGAGTGGTCGTCCGATTGCTGCATAATGCTTCGTATAGCGCTTCCACTCTTTCAAGCCGTGCTGATGTGGGCGCGCATTACGCACAATAGAAAGAGCAGTCTCGAAAGCTATGTGAAACTTCTCGGACATGGCTTCGCGCACATACTCGACGATTTGAAGGCGTTCATAGGCGGTCCAGAACCTTGCATGCTCAGCAGCAGCATTCAAAAGGCCCAGGAGAGACAGACTCTGTGTCATGACACGTGAAAGCTCACCGTCCGCAGCATACTCCATTCTTTCGTCGTCGTCAAACTGATCCGCCGACAACTCGGTAGCTGCAGCGGTCCACTTGTCCACATAGCTTGCAATAGCCGTAGCAACCTGCCCTCGTAGCTGGTCATGGCGAACCCCGAGTGAGAGAATTGCAGATGTCAGGCTATATGTGAGGACTTCGTATGGCGAAGGCTCGATGTTGCGCAGACTTGGAGTTGGTGATAGTATCTGAGCGAACGACTCGGGTAGGTACGACGACAACCGGTGTAGGAGTGGCGCTGCAACATCGAGCGACTCAACGAACGGCGCGGCTTTACATAGGGCTAGGATGGCTTCCAGTTCTTGCAATCTCTACTCGTGATATCAGCTGTTGGTTCCCAGGGTCCGACAGATATGCACTCGGGGTGCTGTTTAAGACATACCATCGCCGTACGCGCCCGGGGAACATCATCTGCTCCACTCGATCCATTCTGGGCTCCAGATGCAGCCGGACATCTCTTTAACAGCCGCGAGAAATCGGAGGATGTAGTCGCGGTCGGTGAAGATTGCGCGGAAAGACGGGCAAGCTTCTCAAGCGCATTACTGCGGATAGTGCGCCTAGCAAATAGTTAGCAAGTTGTGGAAATACATAGTGCGCTGTACGTACGCCATAGTTTGTTGTAACTAGCTGCGCACTTTTGCGCGTTGAGGTTGATGTCAGGCTCGCTGAGTGACGAAACATCGCGGAGGTGTCGTACGCTGATTGGCTGCAACTTGACAACTCCTTCGACATCGACATCGTTTGCACGGCATTGCTAACCTTGACTTGGACTCGTAAGATTGATAATCCAACATAACTGGTGTGTTCATTTTCACGCGTATCATATACGTGTTTGAGAGAAATGTCAACTGCAATTTCTCAAGATGTTCAATCTCGCTGAGCCAAAATGCTACTGCTGTCGATTGGGAACAATGTTCTGGCCCGCAAAGAACAACAATATTCGCACAACCGAAGCACGAATTAAACGACTAGAAAGACGTTATTCCCAGACTCATACATTTGGGATTGTGAGATCGTTCGACGTAGACCCAAGTCAACTATATGCTCAATGAAACACTTGTAGTATTGGCTACCCCGAGGAGCTCTTCAGTTAGAGACTCGATAGCATGAACAAGCTCGGCTAACGAAGCATACGAGAAGGCTTAGAGAAGTTGTCTATGCACAAGTACAGACTTGGGATAAACACACAAGGCTTACTGCAGTGAATTTTCTACAGCATGTTCAAAGCGAAAGTAATCCAAGATTAACACACACAAGTATCTGTGTAGCTAAAAAGTAAAGAGTTCGTGTCTAATCGAATGCAGGTGTTCAGTGGCAAGCAACACAGAACAAACAGGAAGGACACTGCTTCGAATCCCGGTACTGTACTGAATAGAGTCGCAGTCATCGAGTCTGATACTACTACAACATAACACGGTTGATTCAGGTGATACAAGCTGTTACTACCAACCACTTTTGTAGAGCTTTCTTGGCTGAGCATGCTCATTCTTGAGAAGCGGGTTTGATGGACGTATGCGTAACAAGATCTCAAGATGTCGCGAGTGCAGATGGTACATTAAATCAGTGATGGTTTTACCACTGTGGATAAGGGAAGAAAACTTGACGTGTCTATGGGGTGACTACGTTCGACGCCACGCTTGAATGTGGAAGGTTGGCATTGGCTGACATCAGTAGCACAGTCGGGTGAGGTTAACAGTAAAAAACGATGGTATCCGCGGTTGAGCGTCCATGCTATAGTATGTTAGGAACTAAGCCGATAGTTTTACCAGTGTCCGCCGTATAGAGTTTGCCCAGGCGCGATTCGAAGATCCAATTGACAACACATGGTATTCTCTTTCGCATGAAAGTCGCAACACCTTGTAAACCTATCCAAGGTTATTGGTAGCGCCATACCTGCCGCATGCAGATCGTAAACTTTAGGTGGCATGAGCAGACATGCCAAGTAAGGTTTGATGAGTGAGTTCACTGTTGGTTGTTCAAGGTTGCTGTAACGAGCGGCAGAACTTTTTCAACCTTTCAACCCTGGTGTTATGGATAGGCCGGGAGTAACGTGGATATACGGAAATCCGGCAATCTAGTACCCTCAATCGGGTGCTTAGCCAATCAATGGACCTGCTCATGTAACACTGTATGTTTGTATATCCACATTGCTCTTAGTCGCAATTTTTGTATGGTTAGAATATTGCTCTACCCACTTAGAACTATAACTGCATATTACACTTACAAGATAGTGTTCTTGGAACATCCAGGGTGACTTCAAGATGGGTTTTTTTGTTGAGCAAAGTCAGTGGGCTGAACTGTTGTGGAATATACGCAAAAGTCGTTCGTGTTGAATGATAGCAAGCCATGACCCTGTGCCTGACGATCAGAAAAACCGCTTTGTAAACTAATTGATTCCGGGAAATTCGTGCCGATTGACCAGGATGAGCACAGAAGATTCAAGGCCCTTGTTTCAACGACGGTGGCGCAGATGACCCGAGCTGAGTGTGGCGTCAGACGTGAAGGGAGAGACGTACGCCCAGTCGCGTGGGTTTGACAATGTTTCGCCTTTACTGGCTCGGGATTTGTCGGCTTGTGGTTGCCTGTAATTCGACGAAGATCTATGTCTCGTATGTCTACAGCCCGTCAAGCAAAGCTGAATGTCTACCTACCAAAACTGCTTGAAGACACTGGCATTGGCGGGGAAAGGATCGGCGATGATATTCGACATGTGCCTCTCGATTCGTCCTCGTTACAGACTACCTCTTTGCTGTTGCGACTGATCCGGTAGAGGCCATGTTGCTGGCAAAGCGTCTGCGCCGCCACATCCGCCACGTCGAGCACATGTCATGGCCTCCACGTCCCGCGGCGGGACTGGCACCGCTATTCGCAAAATGTTTGCGCAGATCCTCCCTTGGTGGCGCCCCTCTACCTGGGCGATTGACTCGATCGGCGGACATGGTGAGATCTTGTGGCAGCGCGACGACTGCACGCTTGGCTGTGGCGTCTGAAGCGTGTCAAGATGTCCTGGTCTGGTGGATGATCGGTTTGGTGCCCAATGCGGTTAACGAGCGGGTCTTATTCAGCGTACTAGTGTGCACTGCCTCAGCGTCGTAACTCGATCAGCGCCTATCCGCTCTGCCGCGTGAGGCTGCCCACTTCTTTGCCCACGAACTTGAGTGCTGCTCTCCCTCATTCCGTTCGATCTGATCCATCGCATTATTGCCACCACAATCGACGGGTAGCAGCTGTTGAACACAAAAAATCAGCCGCAACTAAGGTCCGAGGGATCGGTTGGTCTGTGACAGTCCCAGGCACGTTGTTCAAGTTCAGCCACAACAGTTCGTCCTCTCTTGCAGCGTCATCGCACCAGCCTTCCAGACGACTTTCAGGAATTCGGACTGCACCCTACCACAACACCCGAACCTGCGCTTCGCCAGTCACCCCTTCTGCGCATCGGAACCCTAAATCACGGCCCAGTAGCACCCACGGTTGCTCAATTTGCATCTTCTGGTCTTCGCTGCCAGTACCGCGTGCACACAGCCTCACTGATCATCGCTCGATTGCTGGCGCTGTAACCTCGCTTCGGTCGACCGACCTAACGCCGATCCAGGTCCAGCTCCGGTCGCATTGTCGACTGCCGACCACTACGGCAGCTGCGCACGCTGTCAGCCGCGTGGTACCTTCGACTGAGAGATCTCGCGCGTCCTGAACATCTGTTCGCGACGTCACCTGGAACCTCGATCTGTCGCCTCTGACCCCAGTTCGCCTTCAACTCGCGACTTAGCGCGTTGTCAGCGGCTCCACTTCAGCTTAATCGCAGAGCTGGTCGGGACAGCGAGACTCAGTGTGTCTGGAATATCGGGGGCAGCATATTCTCTAATGAATGAGCCCGATTCGACCCTGACGGAACATTTGCATCACAGCGCGCACAGTTACGGCTGCTTTGAAACATAGGTCCGTCAAGTCCACCACAGCTCATCTTCCACTTAGCAAACACTCTATGATGTCGCGAAACCGTTGTCGCAACTTTGTCTGCTCCGTGGTCGTCGCTCGAGTGCGTGTGTGCTAACACAACCTCAAAGATAATTACCCTACGATCCATTCGATGGCCACTACAACGCGTGCGGTCACGCCTACGCATACCGGCCCATTTGCTGCGCCAAAAAGACCCATTACTCCTGGTCCTACTGCGCTCAACTCCCACAGTGGCGCGACTTTTGGAACGCACCTTACCAATTCACCGCGCGGTCTCTCACCTCAACTGCTCACCGGAACACACCTTACCAAGTCACCACGCGGAATTTCGCCTCAACCGCTCACTGGGGCAACTGCTCTGGCCGACGAGCGGCGCTACAGGGAGCACGCGTCGCTGCAGACGAGCCCCAACCCCGCCATCGCGGCTCTCCACAGCCTGACCGGCAACCTCCAATCTGCAAACAAGTCTTCGGCTGCACTACACGGAACATCACAAATGAGCACACAAGCAGATAGGATCACCAAGCCCCTCGTCATTCCAGAACAGAGTGGGTTGACAGGCGAAAGCATACAAACAAGCCCAGTCAGCCTGTCTAGCTTTGGTGATGGCGAGTCAACCACCGCAACCGCCCTCGATGCCGCTGTGGGTCCCATGACAATTGCTGGACAAGCAACCGCACCCCAGCCACAACAGCAGCAGCAGAATCATCATCAGCAACAAGCGCATCACCATCAGCTTATTGCTCCAAATCCTGGCGATAACCCTGGTAATCGGGCCTTCACATTTCCAGGGCCAATGCCACCGGAGCCTGATCCACGCGGCCCAACACGACAAATGAGTTTACCAGGATATGGCCAGAACAATCCAAAGTCGCCGTCGTCGACCAAGCGTCACAAATGCCCATATTGCTCGACTGATTTCACGCGTCACCACAACCTGAAGAGCCATCTTCTTACTCACAGCCAAGAAAAGCCTTATGAGTGCCCCACGTGCCAGGCGCGTTTCCGCCGTTTGCATGATCTGAAACGACATACCAAACTACACACAGGCGAACGCCCTCATACCTGCTTCAAGTGCGGTCGAAGATTTGCTCGTGGAGATGCACTTGCACGACACAACAAAGGTCAGGGTGGCTGTGCGGGGCGACGCTCGAGCTTTGGCATCGATGACGATATGCCAGATGGTAAGGGTGATGATGCCATGGACGGTGTGCTCTACACTGGCGAGCCGGAGGGAGAAGGAGACGAGGATGACGAAGGCGGCCGGCCAGCGCGTAAGAGGCAGAACACGGGCAACTCTACGCAAAGCTCGTATCATCAGCACTCCAGTACCTACCCGCCCATTGCAGCCAACCGAGCGTCAGTGGGCCAGAACAACATCCGGCCTTACTATCCAGCACAGGCCAACCAAGCAACCAATATGTCGCCCAAAGCAGCCCCTTCCAGCATCTCTTCACTTCACAATGCAACTCAGCCGAACGTGTTTGCGCAGGGTGGCATCACTGAGAGCCCGAAGCCTCTTTCTCCTGGCCAGCAAGAACACCCTCGTGTCGGTGGGCAAGAGAGCAGTGTTCCTGGCTCGCGTTCACCGAACATGTCACAGCACATACACCAGCAACACTTTGGGCGTAGTGCAGTGCGAGGCACACCTCCTCTAGGTCTGGCACCACCAAATACAAACAATGGACCCCATCTCCCATCGCTTCCCGGGCTGAGCCCAATGGTGTCGAAGCAGGGCTCTCAGGGGGGCGGTAAAGGAAGTGGTTCCAGCATGCTCTCACATCAACAAATGCCGGCTCCTGGGTCATCGTCGCAGCCGGGCAGCTTATCAAGTCACGGCGGCAGCGGCAGTAGCATGCGCGAAGTGATGGGCAATCAGGTGGACGTGTGGCAATACGTGCGTGAGATAGAAAGCCGTATGGCGAGAATGGAGAAGGAACACGACGCCAAGATTACGACGCTCCAAAACGAAATCACGACGTTGCGAGCCCAGCTTGCTCAGCAACATGTCAACAACGCGCAAGGCCAGCAACCAGGCCAGTAGGCGTTGCGTATGGATGTCATGTTGAAGCTTGATGGTGTGATGCACTGTCTAGCAGAGTACAAGGGTTGCGATGTTGGACGAGGCTCCGCGAGTAGCAATGTACATATGCTTGGTGCTCCCATGGTGTGCAACACGGTCCAGTATCAATACGCCACGTGGGAGTCGATTGGCATGTCTGGCCAGAAGAGTGGGGTCGAGGCAGGAACATGGGATGTGAAAAGGAGGTTGAGTGAGAAAGAGGTTTAGAAGGTACGAAGAGTTAGATTGGAAGCATTCTGATACGAGATCGACATGAGGGGTTGAGGGGGATATATGCAGGGACAATGCTATGTGGAGTGGCTGGTGTTTTTTTCTTCTCCCGAGGATGGGGCTGGGAACGTGTATATTATACGGATGGATGGGAGGGTCTTGTGGTCATTGTTCTGTCGGCTCGTTTCCGTCGTCTATTCTGTGTGTGGAGAGAGAGTGTGTAGCGTTGTTCTTATTTTGCACTTGATACCTCTGGGACTTGATACTTCTGGGACTGAGCAGGCATAGCGTGTGCATGAATGGACGGATAGGTGGATGGACGGATGTTAGTCTGAGTGTCGACATGTTGGTGTGCAGTCTAGGTGATGCAGGTGTAATGGTAAAACCGTGGTAAGCCAGTGAAGGCCCGTTCCGGCTAGCGATCTTTTCCCTGCCAACGACTCAGGCACATGCAGCCCGACCTTTACACGTCAGTCCCTCCCAACAGGCCATACCGCTACAACGACGCACGATTCCCCTGATTCTGCTCTCGCCGGCCGCGTTACCGTCACCGACACGCAAAGAAACCTCGCCTGACACGGCTGCCCAAGACTGCAAATGCATGGCCGTCTGGCTCGCTGATAGGCGCCCTGCGCAACAAGCCGGACCGCACACGCCCAATCGAACGACGTGGTAGCCGCGCTGGCGTGAGCCCTCCCGCCTAAGATTTACGGCGCGGTTGTCCCCGCGTGCAGTCACACCCTCCGCCGCAGAACACCATGGACTCATCCGAGTCCCATCGCCGCCGCAAGAAAGAAAGAGATCCCGAACGCGACCGCGAACGCACCAGCCCCAAGACCAAGGACCGCGAGCGAGAGCGGGACCGAGACAAGGACCGCGAGCGCCACAGCCACCGGAGCAGCAGGTCCCACAAGTCGCGCTCCTCGCTCCAGGACGACGACGCCGACCCGGAACGGCCCCAGCGCCCGTCGAGAGAGCGCGCCGGCACCTCGTCGTCGTCGCACACGTCGCGCTCGCTCCGCATGGCCGTCGTGCCCGAGATGGAGCGCCGCAGCTCCCTGGGCTCCGCCAACGCCTCGCGCTCCAGCCTGTCGTACCCCACCCTGTCCAAGACGCACGCCAAGGAGAACATCTACTCACGCGAAGAGGCCGAGAGGAGGAGGGCTGACGACGCCGCCGTCGACCATCTGTCCGACGACGACAGGCCGAGCCCGCCGCGGCCCACACGTGCTGCTCCGCCCCCACCTACATATGCTCCCCCTCTGCCGCCACGCTCGCCCAGCCCCCCGTCCAACGCCCCCACGGCCGCAGACCTGAGGAAGGCGGCCGTGCACAGGGAGATGGAGGCCGGCAGGCGCAGTGTGGACAGCGGCACCCGTATGACGTCCCAGTCCGTCTCGCGGGGGCCGTCTCGCTCGAGCATTAGAGAAGACGCCCTCTACGACAGCACCGAGCTGACGTCGACGACGGGATCCCAGCCCAGCACCGTCCGCGCACCCTCGCCCAAGCGAGCGACTGCCAGGACCAAAACATCGAGCCCGTCAAATGCCAACCCGTCCGCAAAGAGGTCGGCGACGATCAAGGTCAGAATGCGGCCAGCAGCGTCTGAAGTGACGCTGGAATCAGAAGCCACCTCTGTCCAGCACCATGAATCATCCCCCACCAACTCCGAGATATCCCCCTCGTCTGTCGTCGATTCCTCCCCTCGCACACCCACCCAGCATTCGGTACTCCCGTCTGTCATGTCTGCCGCAAAGGAAAGACCAGGCACAGTCGAGTTCATCGTAGACCCTACATCGCGGGCGCAGTCGGTGAACCCAAGATACTCTTCCGACTCTCACATGCCCCCGCCGCCCCCACCGCCTCCGCCGCCGCCTCCTGCCATGATGGATGCACCCCGCGTAGACTACCTGCTCCAAAACGGAGGTCTGCCTCGCGCAGTTCCGCGTAGTCTATTGGCAGCTGTCGAGGGATCCCCGGTTACAGCGTATTCACACTACACTTCGCCTCGCGTCTCAGGAGCCCAAGGCCACGATGTCCGCTCCATATACAGACCGCTGCAAAACGTGTTGAACAGCTACAACGCCGTCATGGACTCGAGTGGCTCTCTCGCCGTCGCTACGGGCTACAGATCGGTTGCACGTCGTCTTCTCGATCGTCTTGAGAATGTGTTTGCTCGTAACATCTCCTCTGAGCATTGCCAGTGTATGATGTGTTTCGACCAGCCACTCCCCGAAGAGGACGAGGGTGTCAACTGGGGCGAGATCCTGGAGCTTGTCTCCGGACGATGCGAACTCCCCGCATGGCCCCCATACGACGACCTCTCCTCTGGACTGGGTATCTCGAGGCTCGAGGATCCCTGCCAGCGCATCGACATCGACGTCCCCGAGCAGTACCGCGAGCACTACGAGAAGCAGTCCAAGAAGACAAAGGTCGCAGTCCAATCGTGGCTGTCGGACCAACAAGACAACCTCCCAGAAGACGCTGACGACGAGACACTCACCTTCATCATGCTCACCCGCTTGGAACAGCCGCAGCGTCCGCTCTACTACGCCCTCCTCTGGGGCTTGGACAAGCTCCCTACCCCGCGCACACAGAAACCCGAATCCGGCACGCCCCCCTACCTAAACCGAGCCGGCCTAGCCCTCCAGCGTCTCTACCGCCTGCACACCCCCCCACGCGACCAACTCACAGTCATGTACCTAATCCGCCACACAGACATGCACAACATGCTCGCCACCCTCGCCGCCGTCACGCGCCACGAGTGGGAAATCCTCGTCTCAGGCCGCTTCGACGGCTTCCTCTGGTCCGGCGCAGAAGACTCCCCCGGCACGGGCTCCGGAAACACACCCCCCCGCAGCTCCTCCCGCGCAGGCCAAATCCCCCCCTCAGACGGGCCCCAGCGCTTCACCTCTCCCAGCCCTTACTCCCGCCCGGGCTCCACACGCCCCGGATCAACCCGCCCAGGCCCCGCCCCCGTGCAAATGGACGAGGAGACCGAAATCGCCGTCCTCGCGGAAATCGAGCGCGAAATTTACCTCGGCATGGAGGCCATGGAGGATGCATTCGAGCACCTGCACAACCAAGCTGAGCTCGTGCGGCGTCGTCTGCGGGAGCGCGGCGCGGCGCTTTCTATGGTCGCTCAGGCGCGTCGGGGCAGTGAAGATGGGATTGAAGTCCGCACTGGTACGCCGGCGAATCTTAGAGATGGGGATGAGGGGCTGGATGATTGTAGGAGTGAGATTGGGCCTGATGACTCGGCGAGTAATGTTAGTCATAATCGGAGGAGGAAGGCTCATCGTGCGCGCGAGAGGAGGACGCCGGCGCCGGTTGAGGAGGAGAGTGAGGGGGAGAGTTTGGTGGGGGAGAGGGTTAGGAGAAGGTATTAGGTGGGTGGATGGAGGGGTAGGTGGGTGGGCGGGTTGGGAGATGGAGGGTGGGTTGGGAGATGAGGGGGGAGATGGAAGGTGGGTTGGGAGATGAGGGGGGGGATGGAGGGTGGGTTTGGAGATTGGGAGGGGGGGTTATGAGTTATGACCTGGCTACGGCTTTTGCGTTGTTTTTTCGACCGCTGATGATGATGATGACGATGACGATGATGAGACAGACAGAGACCGAGAGTAAGTGAGAGAGAGAAAATATGGATACCCGGTTTTTTTTCGCTGGTTTGTTTGTTTGCTTGCGTTTGCGTCTAGTTAGTTTAGTTTTTCCTAGTTTTCCATTCCATTGCGAGCGGCGTAGTCTGGTCTGTGTGGGTTTCATAATTATCAGAAAAATGGAAAAGAGATTGAAATTGCATGTCCTATTCTCTCCGTTGACACGATATGATATAACAACTCTACTGTACACTCCCCCCCCCCCTTTCCCAACCTCTTCCCCCCTTCCCCCTTCACCCCCCAATCAATCATCAGCAGGTTCAACCCTAACCAGCACCTCCTCGAGGAACCCCTCCAAAAACCCCGCAACCTCCCCCCCCATCCCCACCTCCCCCCTCTCATCCCACCGATCCAGCTCGCGAAACCTGCCCACCAACTCCCCAACCAGCCCACGCACCCGCTCATGGCACTCCTGGCGCTGCTGCCGTCTGTGCGCGAAACCCGGCGCGTCGGATAGGGAGAGCGCGCAGTCGGTCTTGTTCTTGACGCTGAGGTTGTAGGCGCGGCGGGCGAGGGCGGCTTCGAGGGCGGGGACGACGACGCCGGTTAGGGCTGTGATTTCTTGGGTGGGGGGCGGGGTTGTGGTTGATTGGGGTAGGGGGGGTTTTGTGCGGGCGAGGGATGTGCGGAGGGAGGGGGGTTGTTTTGCGGGTGGGGGGTGCTGGTATGGATGGGGTGTGGTGTGTTGGGTTGGCGAGATGAGCGGGCCGCCGAAGGGGTCGGTTGAGCGGGGGGAGTCGGGGTGTGAGGCGCTCAGAGGTGGGAAGGCGTGCTGGTGTGTTGAGGGCAGGGGTTTTTGGCCCGCGAGCGAGGGGAGGGGGTGTTGGGTTGTTGTCAGGGGTGGGAGGGGTTTTTGGACTAGTAGTGTTGAGGGTGCGTGATCTGCGATTTGGAGCGGGCTTTGCAGGAAGACGGATTGGTGGGGTGGAGGGGGCGGTGGCGCTTGTCCGTTTGTTGTTATGCTCGAAGAAGGGCCTCGGAAGGGCGGGATTTCGGGGATGGACATTTGCGGGAGGACGGAGGCGCGGCTTGGTGTTGGGTTGCGCTGCGAGGATGCGATGTCCATCTTCTCCACGTCCGCGGCGATGGAGCGCTGGAAGTCATCGTACGCCAGGCCCAGTGGCGTCTGCCGTCGCGGTTGTTGAGATGTTAGTGGCTTTGTAGGCGTGACCAAGCCGCGGTTCATGGGCGGCGAGAATAGACCAGGCACAGGCGACTTTCGTAGAGGGTCCTGAGCAAGTGGTGGAAAGAGAGGCACTGACTTCTTCTCCGGCGATGGCGGTAGAGGTATCCTTGCGGCGGTGTTCAGCGAACTTATAGGTGAACCCTGTGTCCGCAACGGGGCTAAGCGTTTCGTGGGTGATGTCGGCGGGCTTGCTCGAACCGTGTCCTCGTTTTCATCCCCAAACCCACCACGCTGGTGAGCGAGGGGTTTTCTCTGTGGCGAGACATGCCGGGCGTTGGCGCCAGCAGCGTTCATCGGCGCAAGCGCAGGGCCTCTCGCACCTCCGACAGGTCTGACCGTACCAAAATCCCACAAGTCCTCATTGACTGGCTCCCTCCTTTTCACCGGAGTCAAGTCATCCTCATCCTCAGCGGCTGCCTTTGGATTTCTGGCCTTCCAGTCCTGGTATCTCGATATGAGTTCCTGCAGACGTGCCGGCTTGCCAGCTTTGCGGATGAAGTTTGTTTGGAGTAATTGTTTCGCCGTTGGTCGATCTCGCGGATCCTTGCGCAGACACAGCTCGACAAACTCCTTCAACGCGGGGGAGAAGTTGCCATGCAGTTGTGGAGGCGGGTTCTTGGGGATAAGAAAGAGGACCTTCATGGGGTGGATATCCGCGTAAGGGGGTTCGCCATTGGCCAACTCCAGCGCGGTGATACCCAGGGACCAGATATCCGCTTTGCCGTCGTAGCCAGACTGCCTGATGACCTCTGGCGCCATCCAAAAGGGCGTCCCGACGAACGTATTCTTCTTGGTCATGGTCGCGGAGAGCTGGCCCGAGACACCGAAATCCGCAAGCTTGACCTGTCCGTTTGCGCCGACGAGGATATTGGCAGCTACACCAGATCAGCAACAACTCAACCCACAGCATTCTACCCACTCACCCTTGATATCCCGATGCAGTTTGTGATCATCATGCAGATACGTCAACCCCATAAGCAGCTCCTTGAGTATAACAGCGATATCCGCCTCAGCCATAAGCCCCGGCTTCATCAGATCGGCACAACTCCCGCCCGAGCAAAACTCCATGACGATCCACAGATCCGAGCCATGCAGATAGGCGCCATAATATCTCGTGACGTAGGGCGAGTTCATGCCCGACAGGATCATGATCTCGCCCATGATGTCGTCGACCTCGTCCTCGGCGTTCTCAATGTCGATGACCTTGATGGCGACGGTGTGGCCGGTGCGCCGGTCAAGGCCCTTGTACACCCGCCCAAAACTGCCGCCGCCTATGCACTCCTGCTTTGTGTAGAGCGTCGTTGGGTCCACGGCCTCGCTGGCCCCAAAGTCTGCTGCCATGTTGGCGTGTTTGTGTGTGTAGATTCTATGCGCCGTCGCGGTCGTAGCGGTCGTGGAGAGCGTGGGAATCGTGATCGTGATTCATGTGCGGGAGGACAGTCTTCCAATCGCGCGTGTAGTAATCCGTCGTTGGCGAGTCGTAGACAAGCTGTAGTCGTAGTCGTAGCCGTAGTCGTGGTTGTAGTCGTGCTTGTCGTGCTTGTCCACTCTCCGCAATCGCAATCGCAATCCTAAACGAACCACAGTGTAGTCTCAGATTCACAACGCTTCACCCACGCATCGAGTGAGTTTGTGACATGCACCAGTATCAGGTTCAGTCCCCAGTCCCAGTTTCCCTCGCCGTTGCTTTCCCGCCTGCCAAACAAAACACGCGCTATTTCCAGGCGTGTAGCAAAGTGCAGGCGCGACACGGTATGGTGTGGTATGATACGATTAGATGCGTATCGCACGGGCAACCCAACTTAACACGAACCAACCAACAAACACGGTGATGGACCCGCGCTTAGATCACACCCCGGGCAGGTGAGGTGAGGGGAGCGGGAAAAGAAAGAAAAGACACCAGGTTTGTCTTAGATATGCCTGGAGAACACCGTTCTATGGCTTCCGCTCACGCACGCACGCGGTGTCGGTTGTTGGTGTCGGTGTCGGTGTTGGGCGTTGGCGTTGGCGTTGTTGATATTGGCGGGGATGGATACCGTATGGTAACCGGAATCGTAACTTGCACGCGCGCGTGTGGGGGGTTTGGTTGCGCAAGAACAAGGACAAGGACAAGAACAAGCAGAGGCTGCTTTTACCAGTCGTTACCATGTTATGAAATGAAGTCCCATCAAATGAAATCACACCCCATCTAATCCCAGCAGCAATCCCGACGGGGCCAATAGTTCGCCATGCACAGGGATAAGATCGGTGGGTTGTGTTTTGTTTGCGATCGGGCTTGTCTCGTTTCGTCTCGTGTTGTTGTTGGGGGTGTGATTGGTTGTGCTTGATTTACCGTTCATCTACTCCTTTCTCACCACCACCCGCATTGTCCTATGATTAGTATTATCCCACGACTGTCATAGGTTCACGGCCTCATTCTTCCTACCCGTCCAGGTCCATGTCCATTCCATCCTAGACAGAAAAGTGAACCTTACGCGTAAACCCGTAAACCCCCAAACCAGAACACTACACAGCGAACTGAGCAAACCCCAAAAAACCACACCTAACCCCCCCACTATGAGGTGTAAAACCCATCCCCTACTCCCACCAACCCTCCTACATTGCCACGCTACGTTACGCTACATACAACACCCAAGTCTTCTACAGCCACCTCTGCTTCATGTTCTTCATCTATACAGATGCATTGTCAGCAACATAATGTCACCCTGTGTCGCCTCTTCAGTAGGTTACCTGGAGATCAAGAGAGGGGGGGATAGCGAGGGGTAGGGGACAGTAATTATGCGTTTGCATTTCCTTGAACGTACTTACTTGCCTAGATGCTTGTGCAGTCTTGTGTTATATGTTAGGATTATGTAGATATATATATACATCCTGCCTGAGAATACTCTTTGACACGAGATATATCTTGCTACTAGCTCTAACTTTACGTGAGCTTCACTTGCACGGGCAGGGATTTATTCTGTCTTGCCTAGAGTCCGACTATTGTTAAGCAAGACATCGAATCAAGCACATCTTCCAACCCGATATACAGTCCAGTGTCCTTGAGTAATGAATGAATGTATTCGTCTTCTACCATCTACCTCTTATCTACTTTATATCTCCCCTCCTCATCTCCTTCCACTCTGCTTATTCTTCCATTCTTCATTCTTCCCCTCATCCTCTTCCATCTCTTTCCATTCAACCTCTCCATCTCACACCTCCATGTATAATTCTATATGCTTATTCCAACCCCACCCGCAATCCCAATCCAGTTTACACCAACAAAAGAGAAAACCCCAACAAAAAAACCGCTCAACACCAAAGGGACATATACAACCCCCTCGCCCCATCCCAAGAATGCAAAAACTGCGAAATGCCATGCGAATGATGATGCGAATGTAAAAGCGAATGCGAACACCCAAGCAGCGCTGCGTAACGTTCGTGTTGTTTCCCCCATCTCCCCCTCCTTTTCACCAACCCACCAACCACACTAACTCTTCCCCGCCTCAAACACCCTCCCCATAAACCCATCCACCTCCCTCCCCCCCACCTCCGCCCCCCTCAACACCCTCAACACATCCTCCCGTCCCCCCTCCCCACACCTCCCCTCCAACTCCCCCAGCACCGCCACCGCCACGCGCGGAGGAATCTTATCCCCCTCAACGACATAAACATCCATAACCCTCGCCGCCGCCTCCACCCCCAAGCGCGCACAAAACAAACTGCCGAACATATCCTGCAAGTAATCCCTCGGCTCCACACGCAGGGTTTCCAGCCGCTTCGCCAGACCGGCGTGTTTCCTACCTAACGCGTTGAGTGTAGTAGCGTACGCGGCGTGCGTAGCGTTCTCGTCGTTTATGAGGAACGACAAGGGGAGGGGGCGATTCAATAGGTTTGAGAGTGTGACGAAAGACTGCGCGGGGGACAGACTGAGCAGCAGGAGCGCGGCGATGTGATGAATTGGCGCAGACGCAGGGGGGATATCAGGCCGGTACGTCGCATACGCGAGGCAGATATTCACGAGATCTGTATGCAGGGCTTGGGGCTCTGCGCCCGTAGTCGCAGGCGGTGCGAACATGCACAGTTCGGGGAAGACGGTGCGGGTGCAGGCTAGGATTTGGGGGTAGCGGGTTGAAAGGGGACTCTGCTGTTGCTGGAGGGCTTGTTGCGCTTTTTGTAAAGCAATGGTGTAGGTGGTTTCTGTTACTTCGAGGTCGTTTCCTACTGCGCGCTGCCAGACGGCGCCGCGGAGCCGCGGGGGGATGCCGTTCCACCACATTTTTCTGTGTGTGGCGCGGAGTGCTGGGTCGGCCATTTCGGTGTCCCATTTTGGGAGGAGGGTGGTCCAGTATTCGGCTTTGATGCGGGAGGCTTTTTCGCGGGCGAGGGCTTCGGATTGCGCGCGTTGGGCTTCGAGGCGTTCTGATAGAATGTGTCAGTACAGAATTTCGGATCAGGAGTGAAAAATAGTCATGGCTTACCGGCTTCCTCAATCCTCGCAAGCATCCTCTGATACTCTTTGAGGTGTTTCTTCTCCTCCTTCGGATTCTTAGGCGGTAACCAACTCGGCCTCGTCCGCGAAAGATACTTCTGCTTCTCGACCGAAGGCTGAAACGGATCAATAAGCGGATCACTCTTACGCACCGGCGGAAGCGAAGATTTCTTGCTCTTAGGCTCAAGCTGGCTGACAGACGTCGAGCGCGTGAGCCCGGGCTGCTGGCGTTGAACTTCCTGTTTGCGCTCCGATTCGACCTGGAACTCCTCGAGCGCCTCAGTCATTTTCTTCGCGTCCGGGTCGAGCGATGTGTATGTGTCTTCCCAGTTATTCGTGCGCTGGCGTGTGAGCCCAGGGGGGAAATTCTCCCTACTCGCTGACCGCGGCGAGGGCATGCGTTGCGGGAAGCGCGTCGTTGATGGCCCGGGGGATGTGCGTGCGGAGGACCCGCCATTGCTGATAACGCTCAAACTCGGCGACCCCCTGGGCGGACTCCCGCACGTCGATGGCGCGGGTGACCTCTCCTGAACGGGCCGTGGCGAGATGGGCACGTTCCAAATCACCGCATCCTCAGGTAGTTCCTCGTCCTCCTCATCATCGCACTCCGCCTCCCGTTCCTTCAGCGTCTTTCGCTTCGAGTCCTGCCACGACTGCCTCCTCGCGTTCAAGCCCGGGCTAGGCATGACCTCCAGCCCGCGCGAGCTCTTCCTCGAAAGCGTCCTCGGCGCCGCAGCAAACGTGTGCGCACCCGACGGCGAGGGCGATCTGGACGAGCGCGGGGGCGCAGCAAGACTCATATTAGCGCTGGACAGCGAGGGCGCCGACGGCGACGAGAAGCCCCTCCTGCCCGGCTTCGCGGGCGCCTGCAGCTTCAGCGCGCCATTAACCTGGCCCTTCAAGCTAGGATATCTATTCTTCGACGACGCGGTCAAAGTTCGCGAGCTCGCCACATTAGATAGACTCGCACTCCGCGCATCGTACACGACTCTCGTCGACGTGCTGTTCTGCATGGGAAACGCCGCGGGCCCCTTGACGTCGTCGAGGTTGATGTCTTCGAAATGTGACAGGTCGCTTGGGCCCATGAGGTCGGACAGTGTCTCCGAGTGGAAGCTCGAGCTCTTGGAGCTCTTGGAATTGGTGAGGTCGGGCGGCGAGCCCGGGGCGCCCACATCGGGGACGTATGTAGTGATGGCAGCCATGAGGCGTCTTGGTTTCCTCCTCGGCGATCCGATAGTATAGGGGAGATGTGTGGTTGAGGATTTCGCGCAGACGTCGCGCAGCGCAGGGTTCGGGATTAACGAGCGGACATAGTCATGCTCTGATATTATGTACAAGGTATTATCACTCGGGGGGATGGAAAGAATAGCGTTGTTGGCGTCGTCGTCGTCGGTGATGTTGATAGTGTGGAACTCGTCGTAGTTGGTGTTATTGTCCGAGCAAGAAGTAATAATCGAGGGGAGGCGGTGTCGTTGAAGATGTTGCACGGAGAGCGTGGTCGAGGGCATGTTGAATTGCAATTTCGGAGGATGACGCTAAGCCCCTGATCGAGAACATTCATAAACCCTGCCAGCTCAACGTACGTTCCTGGTCAGCGGCAAGGGCCCAGTGCGCACGTTGGAATTGCAAAGCGGGGACCAAGATGGAGACTTTGTGCAAATGTCTTGATTCAGAGATTTGCTCGAGGGAAGGGAGGGGGCGTGGGCAGTGGGCGAACTATCAAGGAACTATCAAGGAACTATCGTCTCAGCACAAGATGGCGTACTGCCCCAGCTTTCAAGAAACCCGAGCCATGCATCCAACATCCCGTGAAACACGAGGAGGCCGGTGTGGGCTGGTCCTTGCTGTGTGGGCGCTTGACATCACGACGACAAATGGTGAAATTATACGGTCCAGCCAATCGACCGCTAGAATGCCTTTGGTCCAGAGCCGGTGTTATCTCCTCGAGGACCCAACCGCTCAATACAGCGCGATCGAAGCTTGCAGAAACGAGCAGCCGGGAAAATAGGAGGAGAGGCGAGAAAAGCAGGCTTTCATGATGATGGAAGTGCCGTAGCGGTATGCAAGCCATGCAGCTCAAGAGCCGCCGCTAACACCTAGTGTGGCAGACATCTCGATTAACCTTTCCAAGCTTGGAGACCGACTTCGTCCTCAACACAACGCATCTTTGCGCATCACACGCACACCGCCAGCCCTTCGACTTACCGCATGCTTCATATCTCGCTCGACTATCTACCGCCCCCACGCACATGCACTCTCCAACACCCCCCTCTCCATCTCACTCGAGAAGCGTGCTTTGCGCAGTTCGCCCCCAAGCCACTTGAGCAGAACGCAATGTTTTGTTTGTCTCCGCTGAAACACCGTTTGAAAAGCCCTACAAGCCAGCCTATTCTTTCTGTCAGCCACACCTAGTCCCTGCCTTTCCATGTTGCAATTCTTCGTGTCCGGTCCGAGAACTCGAGACACCGAGGCGCGTCCTGCACTTACCACATAACATGGCGGCGCGAGACGGCGCTTTGCAGCGGTTGACCGCCGGACTGGATGCTGCGCGACCGCGACCGACGCTGCAACATCACGAATGCAAGTGCAATGATGTTGTCTACCGTTTCTGCCATGTTGTTAGTGGATCGCCCGGCTTAGGCACCGTTGCACACCCCGCTTCCGATTGGGTGGAATCGCATGTTTTCGCGCCACCGGCTCTGGGAGGACGTACTGATAAGCAAGCTTGAACACGCTGTCCGCACCTTAGCTAGCGCGCGTACGTACTCAAGGCATCTTGCTGCTGCTTCGTAGAAGCTCTGGTAGAGATTGGCCAGGATCTTCGCCATGCTGTTCAGTGATGTATCGATGAACATGGCTTTGAGTTGGATCTTGAAGCCGCTATTGGTTGTCAGTGAGTGGGTCGGACATCTTGAGCCGCCGTACAATCGATTGGATGGCGGTCGAGCTTCCCAGCGAACGACTGGAATGGGATGAAATCCGGGGATATTGTTGTCAAACTTACTTGAGCGCTTTGCGATGAAACGTCTGACCCGGCATCTTGGACAAATCGACCGTCAGCGAATTCTCAACATCTGCACTTGTCAGCTTCCCACTCGGCCAATCCCATATGGCAATGCATCTCACCGGCCTTTGCAAGGCGCTCATCGTTCTTGCCGACTTCCAATGTCCTCGTGTCAATGCAAACACCACAATACGTAAATTTGGTATCTGAGACGCTTCTGGGTACTTGATAGCCATCATCAGTAACTGCATCGAAATTGGCCAACGTCTTGGATGGCTTGACGACGACGCCATAGTCCGCATGCCCACGGTGCATCATATGTATGAAACGCTCTGCGTGTTCTCGATTGATTGTTATCAGCAGAAAATCGTCAAGTAGTCGGAGCAGCAGACAATCATCGCCGAGTGCAAAGCTCAAGACTTCGCGTTCGAGTTCAGCGTAGAAAAAGTTACACAAGATACTTGACAAGATCGAGCCCTGAGGGATGCCCGTCTTTTGACGGTAGAAGCGCTTCCCAATTTTGACTAGGTTGCGCTCGACGTGCTCACGAAGAAGCAGCATCAGGTCATGCTTAGTCTCACGCTGCTGTAGGTCCGTGTTGACGAAGACGGTATTAGCCTTCATGCCTGTGAACCTGTCTTGCACAAGCTGGCTGAACGAGGCTACCTCTTCTGCAGCGCCACTGTGCGCAACATACCGCTTCAGAGGCATGGGGTTGATGTGTTGTCCGTTAAGGCGTTGCAGGGCGCCCAGGGGACTGATCTCTACGTGTTTACCTGTCTGATACGCCTCTAGTGACATCAGACTGTCAATCATACTGAGCAAGCGTGACTGCGGGATGGTGTCGAAGCAAGATTGCACGTCAACTTTGGCAAAGTACAATGGCCTGTTGCCCAATTTTCGCTCCTGCAACGAGGCCTTGAAGGATGTGAGTTTGGGAAACATATCATTTACCGAGAAGAGAGAGCACCCGAATCTGTCTGGCTGGAGGGACTGCTCAAAGTTAGTGTTGAATTTGGCGAATAACGTTGTACTTACCTTTTCATACGTGATGGCGTTGAACACGGGTGTCATGGTTGCGTTGATGCTCCGGCCAAGAGACATAGTGCCATTCCGCATCACTTGCTGTCTCCTTTTGAGATTCATAATCGTCCGAAACCCGTACTTTTTCGGGAGCAGGCGTATCTTGCTAAAGCCCAGTGGGCGAACCGAAAGCAGTTTGTTGGCCCGTTCAGACGGCATCTCTTCGAACATGTCTACCCTCAATGTTGACAACGAAGGTTCAGACAACATGCGCCAAACGTCGTGGCGGAAATAGAAAAGCCGGTTGCGGTGGACGTTGGACTCTGTCACATGAAAGTTGGACCGGATCAGAGGTATCAGCAAAGAGTCAAATACCCAGTACACAAATTCTAGCAATAGTTCTGTTCGTTTCTCGAAGTCGGACCTTGCTAGCTTGGTGCTTTCGTCCTGACCGGGTAGCCGGAGCCATGCTAGGCTTGCGATCTGCATTGCGTGTCAGGTTGATATGCGTCACAATGCAAGGTGTGCTTTACCTGGAGCTTCTGTGTGACTTGGTGCAAAGTAAGACTTTCAAATCGTCGCAAACATACGAACTGATCTATCCAATACATGACCTCACGCTTGTTGCTGTCGTCGCCCCAGAAGCTCTTTGGAATTACTCTGGCGATCACGGCTCGACAGAATGCTGACACGTGTGCTGTAGGACATGCCATGTCTGTGAAGCAGGTTTTTTCAATTGTATGGCTTTCAGGATAATCGGTGCCATCTTTGTGATCGCATGCTGGGCTGTCAGCTGCAAGTAAGTTCACCGTCGGCCGAAGTGGATTGTTCCTCCACTCTGGCCTTGGAGATAGAGGTATGCCCTACTGGTGTCAGTACGTTCACTCTTACCATTTTCGGTTGCATACCTCGACAGGACAGTAATGTCGGAGCAACTCCGTGTATGAACAACGTTTGTTGAGAGTTCGAAGTAGAGCCACTAGGGTAACGGTATCACCTCTCAGCCTCTTTGGAACGCGACCTTTCCATCGGTTCGCCTGCTCAATGTCTGTCGCTTTGCCGCCGAGGTCGCGGCGCATGCTTTGATGAATGTCTTTCTCACGCAGCGTATAGTCTTTGAAAGGCATGGCTGTCTCACGAGGATCGACTTTGGAAGTAAACACGTTATGCAAGCCAAACTGCCGGGGAAAGATGTAACGCATAACGTGTATCGTCTGTTGGTCGTCATCACATTCAAGGTAACGATTTAGCACGTCTGTGTTTCACCTCAGCGGTCAGTCGTGACACGGATGCAATGTGAACTCACGGATATGGCGCATGCCAAACCTGATACCTCCTTTGGCATTGAGAGCGGCCTTGGCATACAACATGCGACTCCGTACAAACACTATTGTGTTTGGTGTCTTATTTTCACTGACGAGATTGCGTTTGTTGCTCATTGTGCCGTCTGTGGGCTCCTCTTTCGAGGGTGGTTCAGGTTTCAGCTCTGATATGGGAATACCGCTCAGTTGGCAGTAGTTCCCTAAGCTGTCCTGAACCGGACGGAAGATGGCGCATTCGAGAAGCAGATCCATCATGATGCGATCTCCGCCCTGACCAAGCACCGCATGCAGTCGACACCACAATGGTCCCTTGAGCGTCTGTGCATAGCCATTGGGGTGGCGGGCGACAAGTCCAGGGATGGAAGAAGTCGGGTCAGTGTCAATGGCATGGCGCCGATGCGGGTTTCCTGAGCGCTGAAAACCGTGACAAAGTAAATGTGAGGGCTTGTGGGTTGTCGAGCGCTTGAAGAGGCGCCAGATGACAAAGTCTACAATCTGTGCAGGTGTGTTTAGCAACCAGGCCTGGTGTTGGAGTCACAAGTGATATTGGCAAAGTGTGATGTGCAGCGTTATACGACCTACCTCGGATTGCAGGAAGTAGCCAGGCTTGAAGGTTCCGCCCGTCGCTAGCTGCGAAAGCTGTTGGGTGAAACTCTCAATGTCTCGGCCGCGTTCTTTCTCCTCTTTCTCCTCTGTCTCTCGGCCGTCCACGATGGCATCTGCAGCTGCTCCCACTAGGGTTGTGTCAAGTAGTTTTCCAAGCTCGACATCAGTGATGCTTGTCGAATCTGCATCTGGAGACACGGGCGACAGCCCGAGTTGGGAGATTTTCCGACGCCTGTTCTTGGACGATGTTGGAAGACGCGACGACAGATAGTGGCGCAGGGTGAGAAGTTGGGGATAGAGGCGTTGCAGAACGGGATGGGAAGGCGTGGCATTGATGGATTGGTCAACAGCTGGCCTCGCCTTCTTTCGAGGACCCCCACCAACGTGGGAGGCCAGTTTTCTTTTCATGCTGGGTTAGAATGACGAATGGTGGTGGAGTGGCGTAGGCGAGGTCGGCGTGGTTGTGTTTGCAGACGGACAGACAGGGGCACAGTTAGCAAGTCGCGCCGAGTGGCAGGCACGGGTCAGAGATTGGTGAGACTTGGAGCAGCCGTTGGTTTGCAGTGGCATGGCGGAACACGGATATTGACGTCTCGAGTGCAGAGGTGCAGCTGTCCGGGATGGGGCCTGGAGCAGAGGTATGCGGTTCTATATCCGTCTAGAAGATGCGCTAGAGGCCGGGAAGTTGTGGGGTTTTGCACACTTCCCGTGAATGCCCCCCCATCACGACCCAGACACGGATTGCGGCCCAGCTACGTCTGTCCTGTGGTCCCGGTGAAGAGCATAGCGGTCGCTGCCCTTGCATGTACTTGCATCCCGTGCGACACCAGACGACAGACGACGCAGGACCATCACGTAGCTCATCTAAACACGGGGTGCATGGTCATTCCACACGGTGTTACGGTTCTCAGTCCCCGCCAATCGAGGACTTGGCTGAGCAGCAGTTCACGGCTGTTGATAGCACGGCTGCCCCGAGTGTGGCGCTCCAACGTCGGTGCCCTCGCCGTCCGGTGCGGTGTCCCCAGGGCCTGCAGTAGCGCGCTGGAGACGTCGAAGCGCGTCGTCGTCGCTGCTGGGAGCTGTGTGCTTCGTGCTGCCCACTGCCTGTGCCTCCCCTGCGACCGACTGAGCATCTTGGGCGCGGCTTGATTGGACCATCTGCGACGAGTGGACGGCGGTGCCCTGATTCGCGCCGAACGCTGCCTCAGGACCATGGTGCGCTAGGACAAGATGGCAGAGTCGGACCCAGCGCATGGCTATGCATTCCACCCCAGCGTCGCCAGCTGGGTGCACTCGACGACGCTCGCCCAGCTCGATGGCCACGACGGCCGCGAAGACGCCGACCCCCCGCCCCCCGACGACGCCCTCGACAGCGACCCGGACGCCTTCTACAAGACGCCCGTGACCAGGAACACGCTCGACGGCACCCACGACGCACCCACACCCGCCGCGACCATGGCCCCCTCGCGCCCGCGCCCGCCCTCGACCTCGACGAACGGCGCCCCCCCGACCACCACCACCAAGGGCACCGGCCCAGCGAACCCCCGAGCTGCTGCCCGCTCAGTCTCCGCCGCCCCGTCTGCGGCCTCGACGACGCGCTCGCCCCCGCCGCCCACGAACAAGGTCAAGGCCCTGGCCGAGCGGTTCGAGCGCTCGCCGGGCAGCGCCATTGCCCCCTCGCCGCGCGCCCGCTCGCAGTCCAAGACGAGAGAGCCGTCGCGCACCGCTGCCCGCGAGGCTGCCCGCAGAGCCAACGCGCCCACGTCCCCGCCCACCACTGCGGCCACGCGCTCGAGCAAGGACGCCTCGTATGGCGCCTTCAAGCTCGCCCACACCAAGCCGCGGGAGCGCCCCCAGCCCGCGCCGGCCACCCCTCGACCGGCGCGGCGGGCCCACGGCAGCCGCAGCAGCCTCGACCAGCACATCTCGACGGCCACGCGCCAGAAGCTGGCCACGCCCGCCCGCCGGCCTGTGTCGAGCGGCCGCCAGCCCTTTTTTGGCGAGGTCGTCGGCGGGCAGGACGACACGGCGCCAGGCTATGGCATCCCCTCGTTCGAGAGCACCCTGCAGCAGGGAGACACGCCCTCGCAGCACACACGCTCCGCCAGCGCCAGCGCCACCCCGTCCGCCGCAGAGGGCCAGGCTGCCCAACGCGTGCGCTCCCCGCCCTCCAGAATCCCCGTCGCCAAGCGGCGCTCCAGCATTGGCTCTGACACGGGCTCCTCGACGCGCTCCGTCAAGTACACGCCCACACGCTCCGCCAACTACAGCAACAGATCGTCGCCCACGCGACTCAACAGGAAGCCCATACGCAGCAATGCTGCTGCCAAGCCGAATGGCGCAGACCACTCGATAGCCTACCGCGGCTACAGCGAGCGCGGGAAGTCTAGCAGCCTCGCAGCCGCCGTTAGTGCCGCGCCCCCGACGTCGCCCCGCCTGCGCAACTCGCGAGAGAGACACCCGCTCCCGCAGTCCCCCAACGCCCACGCCAAGAGCTCGGCCGCCCACGACGACCGCGACTACTTTCTGGCTGGCGGCGGTTTTGTCCAGCAGGACTCGCCCAATGCCTATCCGCTGTGTCAGCCCTCGCCCGAGCACCCGCCACAGGACGAGCATCGACACCTCAGTCTGCAGACCTCGCCGCGTCGACCTCTGTCTTCGGCCACCGAGTTTGAGGAATCGCCGGTGCTCGGCATACCGGGGAGCTTTGTCCTGACGCCCCCGGTAGTGCATGTCGAGTCTGAACAGGTGCTGCTCCGCCCAGCAGTATTTCACCCTGCCTCTCGAGAGCCGCCGCCTCCGTCGCCTATCATCGATGAGTCGGAGCTCGGTGTCAGAGAGTCGATCCCCATCATGCTTGCTGAAGATCAATCACCTGGGTCATGGTCTTCCGGCACGCGAGACACGAACGAGGGTCTCCAGGCTCTATCGTTTCCATATCGGCCCGACCGCGCTTACGGCTTTGAAGGTGGGCGGCATCCTTCAGGATATGATGGCGACAACTCGCCAATAGAGCCTTTTGCGAACAGAGAAGCCCTATACTCAACAGAATCGGCCAACGTTGGCCCGTACCGAGCAGTCGGATCGTTCCCACTACATAGTGAAACCTACAGTGTGGTGAACTCAGTGCTGAATATCTACCATCGTTCACCAGTCATCACTCCAGAGCTGGCCTCGCTTTCACGCGACAGGGTACAACACGTGTCACCCGTTATTGCCCAACATGAAGATTGGGAGTCAAAGGAAGCGACCGAGACGTATCTTGCGCGGTTGCTGAGCGACGCGAATGGTGCAGCCAACGTAGCGAACGTCGCAAACACCACCACAAAGTCACAACATCGTAAAGTCACAACCCAATCGCGGCCTGATTTGAGGACTTCCCGATTGGGAGACGATTCACCAGTACATGAAGCAGCGGGGACGGCCATTATCTATCCTTCACAACCGCGTTATTCACGCGGCTCACCGGGGTCAACCACCACCACAATCCACGAAGATGCATCCCGCTCTGACAGCTCCTCAATGAATCAATCACGCAACCAACTCGTGCAGGACCCGATGGCTGATCGCAAATCACCATCAACAAAAGGTATTGATCTTCCTCAGCTGGCGTGGACAAACGAGGGCCTTGGCCTCTCTTTGCAAGACGGACACCAACCTTCACTTATGCCACCACACGCCAACCCGCCTCGTCCCGCTTATTCACCGCCTCCTCCTCCGTCTGCAACAGAACAACAGGCGACCTCGAGTTTCCACCAACGCCACCCTCAACCACCTTCACCTGGAACACAATTTGAGCAGCATCTCGCTCGCGCACAAACACCAGTCAACGAAGGTTTCGACGCGAATTCCGAGGACTGCTTTCGCACGCCGCAGCCACCGAAGGTGAACTCAGCCACACGTGAACCCGAGACGACGGCTATGGCAGAGCAGGCGGACCCTGCGTTGCAAGCGAAGCAGGCGCTGATAAAGCGATATCGAATCCTCGAGGAGCTGCTCTCGACGGAGCACCAGTTCTGCACTGACATGATGATTGTCCACAACATCTTCGAGGCGACTGCCCCGCCAGAACTCATGAGCGAGAAGGAGAAGAAGATCCTGTTCAGCAACTGCAAAGAACTAGAGAAGTTGTCCCTCTCGTTTTTCCGTGCAGCCAAAAAGGCGTCTAAACCTATCATCAACTTCGAGACGTCCCCACCCACTGGGCCATGGAATCGCGACTCCACAGACAGTCGGCCTTATAGCTCTTCAGGCTCTCTGAATCCCCGAAGTCCGTCCGAAGACGCTCCTGATCCGTTTGAGAATTGCACGCTCGAAAAGGACCATCTCACAACGATCGGCCGCGTGTTCCTCGAGAACAAGGACAAGATGGAGCGACTTTACACATCGTACTACCTCAATCAAGGTAACATGAGCGACTACCTCAAGAAGCACAAACACGATCCTGAATTCACAGGCTGGGTCATTGCATGCTTCGAACAGGTCGAGACCATGACCCAATCGTGGGATCTAGATTCGCTGCTCGTCAAGCCTGGCCAGCGCATCTTGAAGTATCCGTTGCTTCTTGGCGAGCTCAAGAAGGTTACCGACGCGAGTCATCCTGACCTGAAAAACATCGAAGCAGCCCACGAAGCATTTCTTGCCGTTAACAGCCGCATCAACGAAGCAAAGGCACGCTCAGATACCTTCCGCGCCGCAACTTCAGAAGGGAAGAAGGAGAAGAGCAGAGGAAAGGCCATAGGTAAGACATTTGTGAAAGCGTTCATTCCAAAGCCGGACAAGACCAAGGCGTATGATGAAGCCGATAAGATCTTCAAGGATCATGACTACAAGTCGAGAGAGCAGAAGTTTGGTGGCCATTTCTTCCAGCTTCAAATCGTCGTGCGTGATTTTGAGAAATATTTGGATGCAATCACAGAGCACTGCTCCTCGCTCAACAAGGTCGTTCTGGACTTCATCACCATCATTGAGACCGGTCCGTCCATGCATCCCGAGCTCGAGAGCACGTGGCGGAAGTGGGCCTTGGCTCATCAGGAGCTCCAGAACAAGGCCCTGGAAGAACATGTAAGTTTGAGTGTGCGTCTTGGTCTGCGTGGTACTGACGACTTCACAGAAAACTGCTGTTCGCACTCGCGTGTTGAAGCCTGTCGCAGATTTGTGGGAAGTATGGGGTGCGTACCAAAGAACGATTGAGCAACGCAAAAAGCTCTTGCTGTATTACGTCAAGCACAAGCAGGCGGTCGATCGTAGCGAGAAGGTCGACCCGCTTCTCGAAGAATCAGCCCAGAAGTTCACGGCGATCAATGATACCCTCAAGCACGAGCTGCCACTCCTTTACGAAAGGACCAAAGACTTGATGCGCATGCTGATGGCACGATTCCTGGGCCTCCAAAAAGACTGGTACAAGACATGCTCGAAGAAGATCCTCCCTCTCCTCGAGAGCGAGCCACAACATACTACCTCCCTCCGCTACGACCTGGAGTCGTACGTCGACCGCTTCTACTCGGACTACAAGCCAATGCAGGAGTTGATGAACAAGATGAACATCATCAATCGCAACTTGCTGGTTGACATATCAAACATGGCCTCACCCGTGCCAACGTTATCCTCTGATGGCGGCAGCTCAGCGCGCAACTCATCCTCCCGCAACCGCACCGCATCCATGGGAAGCGACATGTCGATGGTCGACTCCCGCAACCGCAACAGCGGAGGCTACGGCCCACAACCCCAAAGACGTCCCTACGACGCCCCACCACGCTCCTCCCCCGCAGGCCCCGCCTACCCATCTCTCTTCCAAACCGGCACAAGCGCAAACCGCCTCGGCCCCGGCCCCACCTCCCTCCGCGAAGCCCGAGCCCTAAGCCCCGTCTCCGACGCCAGCGACGCAACAGTCATGCGCAACGACCGCCCCTCAGGCCGCCCCCGCAACCCCAACTACCTCACCCTCGACGGCGCAGCAGACTACGAAGACTACTCCCCCCTCGGCGTCAACACATTCGACTTCCCCCCCCAGCTCGGCGCGTCCTTCCTCGCACCCGCAAACACCCTCACACAATCCATCTCCGCGCCCTCCTCCCAGTCCCCCTCCCTGCCCGGCTCCTCCCGCACATCCGCGGTCTTCACCTCCGCACTGCCCATGTCCGACTCCGTCCGCGGCTCAGCCGAAGACCTGCCACCTACCCCCGGCGACGCAAATGAGCCCGAGGTTCTCTTCCTCGCTGCCAGTCTGTTCGAGTTCAATATCGCGCATGATCGGCGGGAAGGTGGGTATCCGTATCTCGTCTACGTGCCGGGGGAGATTTTTGATGTTATTGGGATGAAGGGCGAGTTGTGGTTGGCGCGCAATCAGGATGATCCGACGAAGACTGTCGGATGGATTTGGGAGAAACACTTTGCGCGGATATTGCCGGAGGATGCTTGAGCTTGCTTCCTTCCCTCTCTCGCGCGCTTGAGATGATGTGAACTGGATTGGACTTGGAGTGGACTTGGACGAAGCGCCTCGTGCGCACACCCAAAGATAGGGCAGAGGATGTGCATGTCTTAGTCATTGCATCCGCGACTACGGCTATTTGGACTCCCTTACACCGTCCGCATCTCATGGCTTTCCCCAACAACAACAACAAAAACGACGTGTAGCATCCACGACCATTGGATCACACCACCACACCTCTCCACACAACATATGTATCTCTACCTGTACCCGTGCATCTTCATCTCATCTTCTTCTCCCTTTCCTCACGGTACGTTTCCCCCTCACCGGTGTTCTTCTTTTTTCTTCTTTTTCTTTCTTCCTCCCCACTTCCTCGGCTTACGAGTGGGACGGCTGGCGTTTTTGGTGCTGGGTTCTTCTTTTTACGTTGTGCTGCGCTGCTGTGCCGTGCTGTGGGTTTGGATCGAATGGAGTGGGGTGTTCTTTCTTTCTTCTTCTTCTTTTTGAGGTTGGTTGGGTTGGATTTGATGGGAGGGGAAGGGAGGGGGTGGCTTTGTATGTGTATGGATGGTTGGAAGGATGGAGGGATGGAAGGATAAGGATGGGGGTTGGATTAGATTTATCGACCCGTATTGCAATGCTTATATTGCATACTTTACTTTTCATTTCTCGCTCTGTCAGAGCGTGGATGTAGATGTTTGTGTTTGTGTGATACCGCCTCGCTTCGATTTAACACGACTGTGGCTATGGCTATGGCTATGGCTGTCCACATCCCCCCTCTCTTCCTTATATCCTTCTATCATTCTATCCTCATCTAGATCTAAATCCAGATCCACATCTCCTCCAAGCCGAACTTCCACCAGCTCAGTCCTTCATCTCGTCTGCACTGTCAGTCTCGCCGCTTCCTGACTCGTCATCCTCATCATCCTCATCATCGTCGTCGTCGTCGTCGTCGTCGACTTCATCGTCTTCGTCGTCGCCTTCCAAACCATACGCCTCGCTAAAGTCCGCGAGCTGCTTGACTTGCACCGTGAAACCCGCGTTCTCAAAGTCCTTCTTGAGGCCCTATTTGGACGTTAGTACACGCACACAACCCAACCCCCAACCACCCCAGGCCTCAATAAGAAAAAGATAGAACTCACATCCAGCATAACCCCCCCACACGTAACCACCAAATCCGCCGTCCCTGGTTCAAAAACCGCCTTAACTACATCCCTCAACACAGCCTGCACATCCTCGACCCCCACCATCCTAACCTCCCGCAAACACCACTCCTGCCAATCCTTCGCCACCCCCCGCGTAACAAGATCCACAAACGAACTCCGCGCGGCATCCACAACCGTCGCCCGCTCATCCACAAACTCCCTCACAATACTCGAAATCGCGCCCTCAAGCGCCAGCCTCTCAAACACGCGCGTCCCATCCGCATACTCACCCACCACCACCTTAGCGCGAGCAAACGCCGAAAACGCATTCGGCGACTTGACGATGCGGAATTTCAGCAACCCCGTTTCCACGTCGCGGAAGAATTGCGTGCCGTATGCGAGACCGGTGCCGCGGATGCTCTGCCACATGGGGCCTTCGACGGCGTCGAGGTAGGCGAGGGCGACCATGAGGGCGGGGAGGTGGGGGTGTGTGTAGCCTTTTGGGGCGGCGGAGGTGAGGACCGCGAAGGAGGAGTCGATGGGCATTGGGATGAGGAAGTGGGCGCCTCCTGGGGAGCGGCCGTGGGGGGAGAGGACGGCGTTGCGGTCGTCTATTGGGGTTAGGGAGGGGGGGTTGGTGGCGGGGGGGATGGCGGAGGTGAGGAGGGAGAAGGTTTGGACTGGGTTGGGGAGGGAGGTTAGGTCTGCGATTACGAGGAGGCGGAGGTTGGAGAATGTGAGGAGGTGGGTGCGTAGGGCTTCGAGCTTTTCGAGGACGGCGTTGGGCGTGGATTTGAGGAGCTTGAGGGTGCGTTTTAGGTAGCGGGCTTTGACGAGCGTGTTTGTTGCGCGCACCGAGGAGGAGGGCGCGTAGTGGATCATGCGGTCTACGGCGAAGGCCATGCTGCTTCCGTCGCGCTTTTCGTCGGGGACGTCGGCGAGCATCTTGATTACTGTGGCTATTAGGCGCTCGGTGTCGAAAACGGAGTCTACGAGCATTGTTGTAAGCCATTGGACGACTATGGGGTACTTGTCCGCTTCGGCGACGAAGGTTATGTATATCATTTCTGAGTTGCCAATCTCGGATCCGCGGTCCATGGAGTACTCGATCGTGTCTTGTTCCAGCTTGGTGATGACTTCTTCAAATTCCATGCGCTTGCCGTCTTTTGTGATTGGGGTCGCGAAGAAGTTGCTTAGGTATACGCCTAGCAAAGGTTTGAGGTCGGTGGGTATGTTCGCTGTTCCGAGTGCCAGACCAAAGTGGACAAAGGATGTCGGTATGTGCTCGAAATGGATGAAGAGCGGTAGGTTCTTTTCGTTCTGGTCGACAATCTTCTGGATCTGGTTGTCCTCGGTACCTAGTTCCTTTGCGAGCCCCGAGCGAGCCGTGGTGGTCTCGAAGAAGTGAATTGATTCTGTGCTGGGCACGCTCAGCCCTGCGATGATTCCCTCTGGGATGGGCTTGTCATTTTCATCTTGAGCCTGCTTCAACTTGTCTGCCAGCTTCTTCAGACCGTCTTCGCCGAACTTCTCCTGCTGTGCCTTGACGCGAGCAACCTCATCTGCCTTGATCTTCTCGGACAGTGCAATTGAGGGTTTGCCAAGCAGCGAGACATGGTGGGCATCTGAAAGCCACTTCTTCATGAAGTTTCGCCACTCCTCCTCCGTCCATTCCTCTAATTGATCAAAGACCTTGAGAGTGGCCATACCCTCTTCGAGATCAGACCCGTCTCTGTTCCCGTAGAGGTGGTCTTTGAGAATCGGGCTGTTGTACTCGTCGTTGCTGGTCTCCGACAGGAACTGGGCTTGCCTCTTGAAGCGACGAAGGCAGTCTTTCATGTAGCTCAAGTCCAGCGGCTTCGACGCATGTTCTTTGAGGACCTCGAAGAAGCGCTTTTCGGCATCTGCAAGCTTGTTTGTCTCAACAGAGCTCAGCGTGAACCAAATGATCATGTCGAAATTGCTCTTGACCCAGAAGTAAACTTCACTGGCAAGGTGTTCCTTCTCAACGAGAGTGTTTACCAAGATTGACACGGAAGAGCCGGCGAGATACGTCAACACAGTGTTGAGTGCCGTTTCGCCTAGATCGTCTGTCGCCGGGGGTCCAAAGAAAGCAATCTGAACCTCACCAGTGGACTCATCTTCCTCAGGGAATTCGACTGTGTCAATAACCGACTTGGTGAGAGACGGTGTGCGCTTAGACCCTACCCATGGACGTTTGAAAGGTGCATCGTAAGATGGCACGCGGTCGACAATGTCATCCTCAAACCTATCCAGAACATCCAGAAGATTGGTGTGGTCAACCTCGCCAATGAGTACAAGGCGTAAGTTCTTCGGTTGGTACATGTCTCGGTGGAATTGGCGGATGCGCTCAGCAGACAACACACGAAGGTTTTCCATCAAACCTCCAGTCTCAGCTCGGAATCCGTCTCCGTCTGGGTAGAGTAGCCGGCGCATCTGAAGATCCATCAGGTCGCCTTGCAGATTTTCCCGCCCTTGCATCTCGGAGTACACGACACCTGCATCTTCGCCCTTCCCGTCAATGTGGTGTACCTCGGTGTAGCAGCCAGCATCGGTAAGCGTAGGTACGACCAGATGGTCCAAGTAGATTGGGAGAAGCTGGGCAAAGCCTTCCCAGCCAGCGGTAGAGAGCGTGTAGACAGTCTCAGCGGTGTCTGTCCATGCATTGGTGTCTGAATATGATCGGGTTGCAATCTTGTCTAGTACACCCTTGTATGGGTACTTCCGCGAGCCCATAAAGCAGAGATGCTCGAGGGTATGTGCTGTGACCTGTCAGTGGCGACTAGCCCGATGATTGCATAACTTACGAGATCCCGAGTCATCGTGGATTTCTGTCGCAACGGTAAAGTAGCCGTAGACTTTGGGTCCTTTTCGGTCGACTACCACCACTCGCAGACCCGTTCGTTGAGATTCATACTGTGTGAATGTGGCGTCGGCGTAGTCGGCCTTGAAAGTCTGGATCTTCTTGAAATGTGATTCTTGCTGTATGGAACCCATGATGTCGTACTGAAACGGCTCTTGAAGAACTCCGAATAAATCTTTTGGAAGAGCAGATGATGATGCAAGAGTTCTTTGGGCGCACACTTGCTCGATGTCTAGGTTGAAAGGGGCCCCTTTGCTCACAGCCGAATTGGTATTACTATTGTAGTGTTAGCATCTTTGCGTGTTTAGTTGCGCGTAGACCCCTTATAGGCGCTTGTCGATGCACTTGTCGATGCACAATGAGTACTTGACAAACTTTGACGTTTGGCAGCGCAAACCTCAAATCGAGTACGTGGGTTCGTAGGGCTTGATGGACATATTGTCATCCCAGCAAATGACACATACTGTAGAGATTGGTGAAGTAGAACAATAGACTTACACTGGAACAAGCAAAGTCACAAGTAGAAACAAACTTCCGAGGAAGAAGTGTAGATTGTATTGCGAGGATAGCGAGACTGCTGAAGTTAGCGCCACCGTCTGTCCGGCGAGGCCTTCCCCGACTGTCAAAGACAACCAAGCAAGCGTTGCTCTGTATGTAGGTACCTCGGAGCGTCTAGCCTATGTAATTCTAGATGCAACTGCTCAGCCTAAACACGTTCTCAAGTGATGGCGGGGTTGACCTTTGTGGCGGGGCAGCAGCGTGGATTGAGGCTTGGGTACGGTCGGCCATCTTACTGAATCCGCCAACTACCAAAATTAAAACTAAGAATCGCAAACATTACATTACATAATTATAATAGATAATAGTAAGAAGAAGAATATAAACTAATATAATATTATTATATACTTTACTTACCTTTAATATTATCTTTATATATCTGTATATTTATAAGTAGATATTCTCTATATATAAATACTATATATAGTATATATACTACTGTGTACTCCTACTAATGTTTACTGTGCAAAAAGGGGCTGGGTATTAGCTTCTACACTAAGTTACTATATTAAATTCTTACTGTGTTGCGTCTATCTGCCTGTACTATAAGCATAAATACGCTATAAACCTAAAATAATATAGTATATATACTAGTACTTACTTTATTAGAACTTTTGCTATATAAAGCTATAGTTTATTATATATCTAGTTATATTTTACTTATATATATTATTTTACTTTAGTAGTACTAACTAAGTAATAGTTAATATTAACTATTACTACCTACCTACCTAGTGCTATTTAACCTTACTAGCTATACTACCTATAATTAATCTTACTCTATTATAAGATAAAATTACTAAGTACTTCTATAATAATTAAAAAGTAAACTAACTAGTAAAATATATAAAAAGAGTATTAAAAAAAAGTATTAAAAAGTAAACTATAAAGTAGTAACTTAATAAATAAAAATTATAGTATAAAATTAAAATAAAGGTTACTAACTATATAAAATAATAATTAGTTATAATAGTTTAAGGCCTTAGATTAAGTAATACTAAGATTCTTATAAAGTTAAATAATCTAAAAATAAATAATATATAGATTAATATATAATAACTTTACTAAATATACTAATTACTTAATATTAAATATAACTTTATTCTAAATACTAACTAGTCCTATACTAATATAAATAAGGTTATATTTAAGCTAATCTTCTAAAAGCTTCTAAATAACTCTAAAATTAATAAATATAAAAAAAAGTATATATAAAAGTATATAATTATAAAAAAATACGTTATTATTTTATATAATTAATTATACTAATAATACTAATATATTAATCTATAGGCTATAAAGTAAAGAGGTTAGAATACCTAGTACTAAAGAGGTAAATATATTATACTAAAACTAAATTATATCTAATCTATTAATAGATATAAAAAGCTAAAACCTTATAAGATTTATATCTACATTACTATTAATATATACTTATAATATATTATATAGCTCTATATTAGTATAACTATATCTATATTTATTAGTATTACTAACTAATACCTTAGAATTATTAACCTAGATACTATTAGTAATATACTAATATTTATCTAATCTAATTATAGTATTAAAACAAATATACTAGCTTTTTATTATTATATAATATTAAAATTATTTAATCTAAAACTTAAATTTAAATAGTATTATATATATAGTATAAGTATAGTAAACTTATAAATTAAGGTATAGTAGTAGTAAATCTTAAAATTATTATTATTTTAATACTAAGTATAAAAAGTAATAGTCTAAATAAACTATTATATAGTACTAATACCTACTAGACTTTCTTTAACTAGCTGTAAGACTTAGTTATAGTAGTAACGTAGTATAGTAAAGATAGAATAATAGTATTTAATATATAATAAAATAAATTACTAAGAGACCTATATTCCTTTATAAGGTACTTTTATCTGTATATATAAGCTAAGAGGCTAAAACTAGTATAATAGTATATAAACTACCTATTACTTTATACTTACCTAATAATATCTTTCTTTTTAGATATAATTATTCTAATCTAGTAAACTATATCTTCTATTACCTATATTTAGTAATGTTAAGTATATTATAGGTATATTAGAGTAACTATTTAGGTAGATTACTAGATTAAGCTAATTTAGCTTAATTAAGATACTTTTAGAGTATATTATAACTAAAATCTTAGTTTAAAGTAAAAGAAATAGGTACTTATTTTTACTTCTTTTATTATTTACTTACCTAGAAGGTAGCTTAAGCTTTAAGGGCCCTACTAAAGTATATAATAGAAACTTTTCTCTAGTTCCCTATACTTTACCTTTTTTCTACCCTTAATTTTTAGAAGTTTCTAAGCTCTAGGTATATTTTTAGTAAAAAAGTAGAGGGTATTAATTAGCTCTAATTAGTATTAATTAGTAGGATTTAGGTCTAATAGGCTTAGTAGGTATTAGATATTAGCTAACTATCTTAGTAAAATTCTTTTAATAACTACCTAACCTACCTTACCTCTAATATAATTAAGATAGTTACTTTAATAAAAGCTTAGTACTTTAAAGACTATAAGAATACTAGTTACTATACTAAGGTCTTCTATATATACTACCTAGACCTTTTAACTAATAGTAACTTTACTGTAGATAATTTAATCTACTTTTTTAGTACTAATATTAATTTTTAGAGTAAGTTCTATAATAGTAACTATTAAGGTATATAGTACTATTATTATACCTAACTTAGCTAGGACTATTTTAGAGTATATCTATTAGCTTTAATTAGTATAAGTTATAGCTAATTAACTTTTCTAGCCTTTTAATACTTACTATAAGTATCTTATTAAGCTTAAGAAGTAACTTACTTACTACTTATTTAGTAAGAATATAGTTATAGAAGCTATAAAAGAAGGTAAGCCTATATAGTATAATTATATCCTATATATACTTTTTCTTTATATTATAATTAAAGTAAAATTTATTAATACTACTAATAAGATTATTAGCTTAATCTATAAGTAAGTAGTTAGAATTAGTAATAATTAGCTCTAATAGTATTTAATTATTTATAATAGTAAGTACTTTTTTTATTATAAGTTTCTTATAGTTTATATAGGTATAGCTAAGATTAATAAGTCTACTAAGTTTAGTATTTATATTAAAAGTTATAATTAATCTAAAGCTAGCTTCTAAAAGAAGGCTATAGCTAAAAGGTAAGCTTTTAAGGCTTTTAATAATAAAGACCTAGATCTTACTCCTTATAAGAAGATAAGTAGCTACTTATAGGCCTTATTAGTATAAATTAGTACTTACTATCTAAAATTAGTTTAGTATATATAGTTTTAGTAAGACTTTAGCTAAAGTAGCTACTAAAATAAAAAAAAAGGCTACTATAGCTATTATTACTCTTTAAACTACTAAGGTAGATCTTATTACTACTAATAAATACTTTATATCTACTAAAAGAGTAACTAAGACCTATAAAAAGAATAAAAATAAGAATAAGTATACTTAGGCATTAATTAGTATAGATTAGCTTAGATTAGTAGTAGTAAGGCTAAGATATAGCTATATATATATTTCTAGTATTATATACTAAAAGAGTTACTTCCTAGCCTTATATAAGCTTTATAAATAATAATTATAGTTAACTTATACTAATTTATTCTAATTCTTTACCTATATTTTAATATTATATAGTAACTTAGAGTATTTTAATTAACTTAGTAATTTCTTATATTTACTTTTAAAGTTATTTTCTTAGACTTTTTTCTAAGAATTTTAACTACTAGGTATAATACTATTAAACCTTATAAAAATCCTACTAAGTAGGTAATAATAAAAAAAGGTAGCTATATAGTTATTTTTTTATAGTTCTATTCTCCTTTTTTTAAGAAGTTTATTTTAAAATTATACTTATAATAACCTATTTTTTCTTTTAATATATCTTAGAACTGCTTTAACTTTATTTTAGAATACTATAAGTATTTTCTTACTTAAATTTATTTTAGGTTCCTAAAAGTTCTTATTTTCTAGGTAGCTATTCTACTTTACTAGATATTTTTATATACTTATACTATTTTATCTTCTATTAACTACTTTCTTTATATTATAGATATTATCTTCTATTTTATAATATATATTTATAAGTAGGAGTTTATTATATAAGATTATCTCTCTTTTTATATAAAGTTCTAATAAGGATATATAGTATACTAGATAAATATTATTTACCTCTAGAAGATTAACTTTAAATATAGTAAGGCTAATTTAGCCTATAATCTTCCTAGGTCTTAATATCTTCTAATTAAGCTTCTTCTTTAGTCTAGTAGACCTTATATACTAATTAAATATAAAAACTTTATTTCTTACTTTAAATTTATAGTAGAGTCTTTTCTTATTAGTATATTTCTTTTAGTATTTATTTAAAACTAGAATTTTTCTCTTATACTTTACTTATAGTACTATTACTCTTACTACTAATTTATTCTTTAGAAAGGCTTTACCTTCTCTAAAGAGTTAATTAGGCTAATTAGAGGCTCTTAAGTATACCCTATAGTAGACTTAGAATAGAGTAACTTTAATTATTATATATATACTATTATTATAGG